GATTTGTCCAGTTGGAGGGATACTCAAGGAATTCCTGTAGAAGGGAAAATTATTATTGTTTTGCCGTTTCCTGGAAACTTATGTACAAGAAAAAGAGATCCTTACTTTAATGAAACCAGACAACTTGTTAAGCATCCCTGGGCCTTTAGAACCCTATAGAAGACAAGGTAATGATTTACGTGTTAGACCTGCTCATAGCAGACCTTGACATGTCAGTTTTAGGTAGGTTAAATTCATGGCACTGACCTGTTTTTAGGTGTATGACAGTTATTTGTATCAAAATGGGTCGTTAATGTCAAACCCTAACAAAGTGGAGCTGGGATGCGGGGAAGGAGGGACCCTCGCATACTTGTGCCTCTGCCTATGACGGAACTATGCAAGGAATTCCTCAAACTGCGGTGCTACAGATAAGCCCTGCCCAGGGCCCCTTGCCTACCAATGTCTGTCTGCACCCGTGAGCTAACGCCGGCTCCTACAAGCCCCGTAAGCAGTGGTCTTTGTTTCAAAACGGCTTAGTCTTTAAAAGCAAAGCTTCAGGCTGGGCGGTGGCTCACGCCTGTAATCCTAGCACTCTGGGAGGCTGAGGCGGGCAGAACGCTCGAGGTCAGGAGTTCGAAACCAGCCTGAGCAAGAGCGAGACCCCGTCTCTACTATAAATAGAAAGAAATTAATTGGCCAACTAATATATATAGAAAAAATTAGCCGGGCATGGTGGCGCATGCCTGTAGTCCCAGCTACTCGGGAGGCTGAGGCAGAAGGATTGCTTGAGCCCAGGAGTGTGAGGTTGCTGTGAGCGAGGCTGACGCCACAGCACTCACTCTAGCCTGGGCAACAAAGCGAGACTTTGTCTTAAAAAATAAAATAAAAGCAAAGCAAATCGTCCCTCTTGCCCTGAGCCCCTGGGATGCGCCCACTGTCTGACACAGCAGGGTACCAGGCTGCGGGTCCTGCTCTTCCCAAATAAGCTCTGCTTTGGAGAGTGGCCTCTGTGGCTCATCTTAGGCTGACAGGCGCTCTGGAGACTCCGCCATTTAACTTGCATAACTAAGCGGTGTCATATAGTGTGCCCGTTTTCTTGAGGTGTCTGAAGAGGTAGGATGGGAGAGTGGAGAAAAGTTGCACGAATTCCAGGCCAGCTCGGACTCTAAGTAGAGAACGGCTTTTAACCTTCCGGGCTTCCGCGTCACACCTTGTCAACCGTGCGCTCTTCCTAGGACTATTGTTTTCTTGCACTGTGAGCCTGAGTCCTTGCTGCTCCTCAAACAGCATAGACTTCGATTCCGGAGAGGAGAGGAAAGACCACAGAGCTCTTCAGTATCTGCCTGAGGTGCTGCTTAGGCCTCTCCCGGCCCAGGGCAGGGTGCAGGTGCGGGCAGCAGGGGGCAGCAGGGCACCAGGGGCAGCGCGGCACAGAGGCAGCAGTACAGTGGCAGCAGGGCAGGCCGCGGGCACAGGCAGCCAGGCAGCAGGGGCAGCAGGGCAAGGGCAAGCAGGGGCCAGGCGCGGCAACAGGGCACAGGGGGCAGTGCAGGGGGCAGCAGGGGGCAGCAGGGAAGTCCGGCGAGCAGGGGCAGCACGTGCAGGCGTGGGCAGCAGGGGCACAAGGGGGCACAGGGCAGCAGGGGCAGCAGGTAGCAGGGCGCGGCACAGGCAGCAGGGGGCAGCAGGGGCAGCAGGGGGCAGCAGGGGGCAGCAGGCAGCGGGCAGGGCACAGGGGCAGCAGGTGCAGCAGGGGCAGCAGCAGCAGGCAGCAGGTCACAGGTGCAGGCGCGTCCAGTCAGGGCAGCAGGTGCAGGCGGCAACGGGCCAGCAGGGGGCAGAGGGTGCAATCAGGGGGCAGCAGGCAGCAGGGCAGCAGGGGGGAAGCAGGTGCAGCCGGCAGCAGGCGCAGGGTGCAGGCGGGCAGCAGGCAGCATGGCAGCAGTGCATGCGGCAGCCGGGGCAACAGGGCAGCAGGCAGCAGGTGCAGGCCGGCACAGGGCAGCAGGCAGCAGGGGCCAGTGCGGGCAGCATGCAGCAGGGCACAGGGGCAGGCCGGGAGCAGGGCCAGCCAACGGTCAGGGCGCGGAGCAGGGCACGGGGCGCAGGGCAGCAGGGGGCAAGCCACGGGCACAGGCACAGGGGCAGCAGGACACAGGGGCAAGCAGGGACAGCAGGCAGCAGGGCAACGGGCAGCAGGGTGCAGGCACGGCAGTCAGGACAGCAGGGGGGCAGCAGGGGACACAGGCCAGCCAGGACAGCAGGAAGCAGGTGCAGCCGCACAGGGACAGCAGGGGGCAGCAGGGAAGCAGGGCAGCAGGGACAGCAGGACACAGGGGCAGCCGGTGCAGGCGCAGGCAGCAGGCAGCAGTGGGGGCAGCAGGGGGCAGCAGGGGGCAGCAGGGTGCAGGCGCAGGGAGCAGGGGGCAGCAGGCGCAGGGGCACAGGGCGGCAGCAGGGCAGCAGGGCGCAGGCAGGCAGGGCAGCAGGCACAGTGCAGGCAGCAGGGCACAGCGCAGCAGCAGGGCAGCAGGCAGCAGGGCAGCAGGGGGCGCAGGAGCGTGCTAAGGAGAGTCCGGAGCTGGCCCCGGAGGCCGGAGGAAAGGGATTTCATGGTTTGTCTTTAAATTTGTTTGTCTCATCCATCTGATGGCAACTCAGAAAAGACCAATAGTCTTTGGGCAATGTATCGTTGGACAGGAGTCTGCAGGGATGCCAAACCGTGAGTAATCCCCACTCTAGGACACGGCCAGTTCGTGGGCGTGGATTTATTTACTGCCAGTCCTCCGGATGACGGGCTTTGATTTGTTTAGTTTTCTACATTCATTTATTCTATAGTCATTCCCCCCTCCCCCGCAGAGATTCTTGGGGGATTTTCTCTTGCAACATTGTTTCTATTAAACGGGAGACCTGGACTTTGTTCTACCCACGTGGTCTGAAGCCGGTCCCTTTGTTTAGTGTCGCTCAGAGCCTCACTGCAGAGGGTGGCAGGTGGTGTGTGTGCCATCTGGCTCTCGGAAAGGCCTGACACTGTCTCAGTGGACCCTGTTCTCCTTGTTTGATTTTCTTTTTTTAAAATTTTCTCAATGTTAATTTTTTTTCTGTTCATTATTAAAAAGTTAGAAAAGACAAAATCTTGTCAAGGTGAGAATGACAGTGATCCAAATTCCAAACATTCAAAGGAATCACTGTTCAAGGTTTGGTTTGTTTATTTTTTGGTTTGTGCTTTTGTCTTTCTTGTGCCCTTGAGTAGTTCCTGCTGTACAAATAACAAGGTTTCTCTCCAGGAACAGACTGGAGACTGTTAGGACTGCTGGGTGTCGGATCTCTGCTCGCTAGCCGGGGCACTGTGGGCTGCCGCCAGGTGGCCAACTCGCTACCGCCCAGGCGCCTCTGGCTTGCACACGCCGGCGGCTGCGGGCTGCCGCTGAAACCCACTGGCTCGGCCGAGCTGGCGGGACGCCGGGCTCTGCTCAACCTCAGGTCTGGGCTGCCCATGCCCGCTTTAGGGCGCGCTGAGGGGTCAAGAGTGCCCAGCGCCTGCTCTGCTCTTGGCAGAGGGTGGCGGCTCCCGGAAGGCTGGCGGGAACACGCCACGCATCTCACGGCCTCTGCTGCACACCAGCGTTGACATTCCACCATGTCCTGTGGCCAAATCTAGCCATGTGGCCACGCCCGAAGTCAGTGGGGGTGGGGCGGGGATATCCTCTCCCAGGGAAGCCCTGGCGTGCTGGTTTGCTGGGGCCGCTGGAGCAAACCACACGCTGGGTGGCTCGAGAAACAGAAGTGGGTCTCAGTCTGGGTGCGGGAAGCCTGAGGTCAAGGTGCTGGCAGGGTTGGTTTTCCTGAGGCCTCTCTGCTTGGCCCGCCGGTAGCTGTCTTCTCCCTGTCTTCACCTGGGCTTCCCTCCGTGCACGTCTGTGTCCCAGTGTCCTCCTCTTGTAAGGACACCGGTCCTAGGCCGGGCGCGGTGGCTCACGCCTGTAATCCTAGCACTCTGGGAGGCCGAGGAGGGAGGATTGCTTGAGGTCAGGAGTTTGAGACCAGCCTGAGCAAGAGCTAGACCCTGTCTCTACTAAAAATAGAAAGAAATTAATTGGACAACTAAAAATATATGGAAAAAATTAGCCGGGCATGGTGGCGCATGCCTGTAGTCCCAGCTACTCGGGAGGCTGAGGCAGGAGGATCGCTTGAGCCCCGGAGTTTGAGGTTGCTGTGAGCCAGGCTGACGCCACGGCACTCTAGCCTGGGCAACAGGGTGAGACTCTGTCTCCAAAGAAAAAAGAACACCGGTCATAAGACCATGGTCATGACCTCATTTAGCCTTCATCACCTCTTTAAAGGCTCTTACCTCCATTCCAAATACAGTCACATTCTGATGTGCTGGGGGTTAGGATGTCAACCCCTGAATTTAGGGTGGAGGACATGATTCAGCTCCTAACACCTAACGAGGTGGGAAGCGAAAGGAGGATTGTGGACTGAGGCTCATCCTCCTGGTCCTTGAAACAGGGCTGAGTCTCTGCTATATGGTCTGGGGAGACCGAACACGAAATGCATGCCAAGGCCTGCTGTGGAGGGTTAGGGATGGGTGTGGCTCCACCTCAGAAGGAAGGACCAGCACTGGCCTTCCTGGCCCGTCTCCTTGTTCCCTTCTCACCTTGGGGTGGATGGTGCTTTGCAGAAGAGCCTGACTTCTACGGAAGCTAGACCATCAGGGGATCTTCAAGGCTAATCCAGCCAGTAGGGCCTCAGTCTGTGGCCTCCCTTTTGGTGACACCGTGTTTCTTCCCATAGCTATGTCTCTAGCAGCTTCCTTTTCAGATAGTGACTGCAGGCCTTCTGTGACTTGGCAGGGCTGTGGGCCTGCGGGTGCAGACACGCCGTGTTCTCAGGAGGCTGCCGCTGAAGGCCTGTGGAATGAGCGAGGCCATCCCAGTTAGGAGCCTCCCTCCCCCTGCCTCCTGTGTTCAGAGCCAGCCGCCTTACCGTTTTGTGAATGCCCTTTTGGTTTCCTTTCCTAGAATATCGTGCTAAGGAACGGCACGGAGCTCTTTGACTCCTGGGAGAAGCCCCCTCTACCCGTGTACACCCAGTTCTATTTCTTCAATGTCACCAATCCAGAGGAGGTCCTCAGAGGGGAGGCCCCCCGCTTAGAGGAAGTGGGGCCGTACACCTACAGGTGAGTCCTGACTGCCTCCCTGCCGCGTGGGGATGTGGAATGTCCCCACCGTGGCCCCTGCGAGTGCTGCCCTGGGGGCTGTGCGGGAGCAGGGCTTTTGGTCCCCTGCTGTCTGAAATGCTGCTGCCTTTTTGCAGGCATGTGTGAGGCCTCAGCAGGGGTGGCTTTGTGGGCGGGCTGAGTTCAGCCTGCTGTGGTCAGAGACGCACTGGCTTCCTCCTGAGCTGGCGGAATGTGCTTATCGATCCTGTGGAGCTGCTCCCCACTCCTGACCCTTTTAATGTCACCGCTTGATATTCTTTAGTGAATTTTAGGGCCTTTACCCATTTCGCTGCTCCACATACCTAGTTTTAAACCAGTTTCCAAAATTTATTGTTGGTCCAGGATGGTTCTTTCTGTTTCTTGTCCACTCCTGCCCATGCTTGGCATGAGTGATGACCACATGGCAGGAAAGTTAGTTGGAGTCTCTGGTGGTCATCGTCAGTTCCAAACACTGGGGACTCGGGATTGCCTTAATGGGTTTTAAAAAAGTTAGTAAGAGGGGGGCGCCTGGGTCAGAGCATTTTCCCTGTGGCAACTAACATTCCATCCCCTAGTGCAGTGATCTTTCCAGTAAGTCTCTCCTTACCGAGTTAAAAAAAAAGATGAGTAGTGGAAACAGACAGCAAGGTCTTTCTTCTTCAGACCTGCTAAATGGTGAGCGTGCCTCATAATCCCATATCGATTACTTAATGAATTATTGCCGCCTGATTCATTTGTTATGAGTCGGTACCATTCTCAGTGCTGGGAATACAGATATTTAAAAATCCTGATCCTTGCCTTAGGAGCTCTTGTTCCGGCTCTGGAGTCAGATGGCCTGTTTCGAATCCCGCCTCTGTGACTTGCTAGTTATCTGTGCCTCAGTTTCCTTATCTATAAAATGAGGATAAGAATAGGTCCTCCTCTGTATGACTGTTATGAGGACTAAGTGAGCCGGTGAGTCAGTATTTATGAAGTGCCTAGACTAGTGCCTAGAGCATAATTAGTGATAATTGGTTCCTCTTATTCTTACTGCATTAATTATCTGTACACATCAATATGCAGAACTATAAAGATGAACCCTGTTGCTATATAAAGGAATTTTAAGAAAACACCTTCGTCCTCATTTTAAAAAGCACTTGTGTATGTGTTTTAAGCCTGAAGAAACCACGTACTGGGTAGAGCAAGTCTGTGTCCCAGGCTGTCCTGCTATTTGTTATTGTTTTTAAAACTAAATTCCTCAGGCTGAGAGGGAGACCCCGCCTCCTGGCAGGAATAAACCTCAACTGAGAACTAAAGAAAAACTGTAATGAACAATTTTCCTTCTGGGCCTGCTGGCCTGTTCCTGTGATCATTATCCTTGTTACTTGAAAGGAAAAGACTTAGATTTCTAATCATAACCCACAGAAATCTCAATATTCTTCTGCCGAGCTGTCTTTGGGGCAGCCGTGGCTGTGGGCGCAGGTGGGCTCTCCTGGCTGTGTCCTGGCAACAAATTCTAGAAGCAGAGCCCGGTCCGCTTGTCCCCACACTCCCGCCCTGTGCCCATTTGTTAGGGACCTCAGCGGATTCACTTCTGATGAAAGTGCAGGAATATTTTATGGGACTCTTGACCTGGGATCCATGGATCCCTAAGGGCTCACTGGGTAGATTTCAGGGTTGTCTATGGCTTGGGTGGGGAAAAACTACATTTGCTTTTCCCTACCCTCTCACTGACATTTAGCGTTTCCTTTAAGTATAAATGTATACAACAGACCACAGCAGTGTTAGCAGTGACCTCACCTCTGTTAACGCAAAAATAAGCCAAACTCTGTAAAATATTTTAAAGATATTTACTCAGAACCACATTTGAGGGCCATGACCCAGAGCCATGCTCCAGAAGCTTTGAGCAAGTGGACTCGCTGTGGCTGGGCTACAGTTTGGTTTTACATGTCAGGGAGACGGGGGTTACAGGTAAAGTCATAAATCTATACGTGGGAGGCAGACATTGGCTTGGCTGGAAAAGGTGGGCCATCTCGAAGCAAGGGCTTATAGGTTACAGGTGGGTTTAAAGATTCTTTGGATTGTAATTGGTTAAAAACATGAAGCTTTGTCTAAAGGCTTGGAAGGTTTTAACTTAAGGAGCTGTGATCAGAGACCCACCACTGGACATAGATTCATTGTGTAAATTGAGGACCTGCAGGTGTGTCTTGCATACCATTAGGCCTGTTAATGGGTTACAAAGAAAGTCCCCAAGAAAAGAGGAGGGCATGATAAGGCATGTTTGACCTCCCTCCTCATGGCTGGAAATTTAGTTTTAGGGTATTCCTTTGGTCTGTTCAGTCAGCCGGTGGGGCGGGGAGTGACCCTTAAACTTTTATTCTAGTTCACGCCTCTAATGGAAACACAGGTATTGTTGGCCCTCATTATAGCTGTCTGGAATATCATTTATATTCGTAAATACCTCAACATTATAGTAACTATTCAACCTGCTGCTACATCTTAAAAGTGTTAATAAATAGGCACACATATTGCCATATCACAGATTTTTAAATGAAAACTGTATTTCAATATAATTGGCTTCCTTTGTAATCCTGGGCATTTGTTCTCTATATTTGAAAGTGTTGCTCTGAGAAAGAGCCCAGAGGCTCTGTGTAGGGCACCAAAGGGGCCGTGGCCCACAGCAGGCTCAGAGTCGCCAGTGTGCAGGGCTGAGTGAGTGGGACGTCTTCAGCCATGGTTTAAGTCCACAGGACACAGTGGAGAAATTGTTTAAAACCATAGGACACAAATATAGTAAGTGTTAAATATCTTTTTGTATGCTAGTGAGTTGGCCAATATATTCAAAAAAAGAAAAAGAAACAGGTGAAATTAATTTTAATAATATACTTTTGGCTGGGCGCAGCGGCTCACACCTGTAATCCTACCACTCTGGGAGGCCGAGGCAGTAGGATCGCTCAAGGTCAGGAGTTCGAAACCAGCCTGAGCAAGAGCGAGACCCCCGTCTCTACTAAAAATAGAAAGAAATTAATTGGACAACTAAAAATATATGGAAAAAATTAGCCGGGCATGGTGGCGCCTGCCTGTAGTCCCAGCTACTCGGGAGGCTGAGGCAGGAGGATTGCCTGAGCCCAGGAGTTTGAGGTTGGTGTGAGCTAGACTGATGCCAGGGCACTCTAGCCCGGGCAACAGAGTGAGACTCTGTCTCAAAATAAAAAAACCAAAACTATATATATATATTTTTATTGTATTCATTATATGTAAAATAGCATCATTTCAAAAATGTAGTTGATATTAAAAAGGTAAGGAGATATTTTACATTTTTTTGGTATTGTTTTTGAGAGTTGAAGTGGTCAGTGATCACATGTGACTCGTGGCTACAGTGCCACTATCCCTGCATGGAGGAGGAAGGAGGAGAGGCGAGCAGAGAGAGAAGGAATAGACACTGGGATCACTGAACATCTACTGTGTCCCGGGCATGGCCAGGACTAGCCTGAGGCATGTGATACACAAAAGATCAGATTGTGCTTTTATTTAAAATTTTCATATTTTGTTCATCATGAATTTTCGGCACTAATTTTGATTTTAACAAATAGTACATTAAAATATTGATTTTGATTACTGAGTATCTTGGCAGCCCTTGATGGTGAGTCCTCACTCACACTCGCTCTGGGCCCAGCCCTGGCACCGCACGCTTTCTACGAGCTTCCTAAGGCCACATCCGGGGACACTGACTTGAACCAAACTGAACTGCATGTCAGAAATGGGAGTGAGCTCTAATTTACTGAGCCTTGGGCATCGATTTTTTTTTTTTTTTTTTGAGACAGAGTCTCTGTCACCCAGCCTAGAGTGCAGTGGCATCATTATAGCTCACTGTAACCTCACACTCCTGGGCTCAAGCGATCGTCCTGCCTCAGCCTCCTGAGTAGCTGGGACTACAGGTGTGCGTACCATCACACCTGGCTAATTTTTCTATTTTTTTTGTGGAGACAGGGTCTTGCTCTTGCTCAGGCTGGTCTAAAACTCATGACCTCAAGCAATCCTCCCACCTTGTCCTAGAGTGCTGGGAGGACATTGATTTTTAAAAAACAAATTTTTAACTGAATTCAAGTTAGAAATAAAATGACATTGGTAAATAAATTGAAATTCCAACAATCTATAAACTGAACTGAAAATTTTGAAAATATTTCAGGACCAAACCTTAACCCAGGAGGGAGTTTATTGACTTCAATTCCTTGGTCAAGGTGCACCTTGACTGTTGTATTTCCTCAATCATGGGTGGAAAGAGTGAAAACAACAGTTTTTTGAGAAGACTATCCTAGGCCGTATTTCCTTCCATCATTACAGCTTTAATCTCCTGTTTTTAAGGGCTTAGTGTTTGCAGTCTCTCTCTGTATAATGTTATATTGAAAATGTAACTTTGATGTTCAAAGAAAGGAGAAGTATTGCTTACTAAAGTGGTGCCTATTTTCAAATCAAATCCTTTTTTTTTTCCTTTAGGGAACTCAGAAACAAAGCAAATATTCAATTTGGAGATAATGGAACAACAATTTCTGCTGTTAGCAACAAGGCCTATGTTTTTGAACGAAACCAATCTGTTGGAGACCCTAAAATTGACTTAATTAGAACATTAAATATTCCTGTATTGGTGAGTAGGCCTTTTGGTATCATTATTGTGGATTGTGAAGAAAGGAAAAAGTTAAGTTAATGCTATTACAATTTTACATTTAAGAGCTATTAAGTTATGCTGAAAGTATACATATATAAAAAGAAAAATACATTTTCCCCTTCTTTAAAGTCCATCTTAGACTTTTTTCTAAGATCAATCAATCAAACAAGGTCTTTTCCAATGATGACAAAAATGCAAATTTTAGGATTTGTTTTCACAATTTCTTCTTGTGTGTTTGGGATTAGCACTTGTGCAAATAAATAAGCCCCTCGGATTTTTTTGGTAGCTAGTAATTTAAAAAGTATTTATTTGCCTCTTGCAAATGACATTCAAATTACATTGTTCAGCAATGTAATTTGCATACCACTTCTTTTTTTTTTTTTTGAGACAGAGTCTCACTCTGTTGCCTGGGCTAGAGTGCTGTGGCATCAGCCCAGCTCATAGCAACCTCAAACTTCTGGGCTCAAGCGATCCTCCTGCCTCAGCCTCCCAAGTAGCTGGGACTACAGGCATGCACCACCATGCCCACCTAGTTTTTTCTATATATTTTTAGTTGGTCAATTAATTTCTTTCTATTTTAGTAGAGATGGAGTCTCACTCTTTCTCAGGCTGGTTTTGAACTCATGACCTTGAGCAATCCCCCCACCTCGGCCTCCCAGAGTGCTGGGATCACAGGCGTGAGCCACCGCGCCCGGCCCGTACCACTTCTTAGCTCAGATTTCTATCTTGGATTTTATATTCTCTAAATGTATAAGTTGACTCCTCCCCTTTTCAAATAGAAACCACAGACTGAGCTGTTGATCGCAGGCTGCCGTGATTGCACTGGGCTCTGTTTATAAAGGCGATTCTGCCTAACAGTGACACCTGTTCCACACCTGTGCTATACTGAGACCCAGGACACTTTCTTACTCACCTGCAGCAGCCCCTTCTGAGGCTCCCACCCTAACCCTGCTCCGTATGTCGCTGGACACCGATGGTGGACCGAGGACCTGGAGAATATTGGATCCCAGATCTGGGCCTGCCCTGCTGCCCAGGCGTGTAGGGTTCATAGTGAGGGCCCCGCCCAGGAGGGAGGTGGCACCACCTTGTGCCCAAAGATGCCAACATGTTTACAAGCGCTTTGCCCCGTCTCTGGTGTCTGGATAGCTCAGAGCCTGCAAATGGGGATGCCAAGGTCAGAAAGGACAGCAGCTGAAGAGTCTTGCCCTTCCACATGCAGCCAGAGAGGAGCTCACTGACTGATTTTTCAGCTGTTTAATCTCAACCTTTACATTTTGAGTTTCCAGCCCCATCTTTGAGGGGCAGTAGGAGGGCGTGGACAGGGGTGTTTGGGGGGTGTTTGCACTGCTGTCTCAACCCGCCTCTGCCCTTCAGACCGCCATGCAGTGGTTCCAGGTCCGCTTCCTCAGGGAGATCATCGAGGCCATACTGAAGACCTACGAACAGAAGCTCTTCGTGACCCACACGGTGCATGAGTTGCTCTGGGGCTACAAGGATGTGATCATGTCTCTCATCCATCCTTTCAGACCCGACATCTCTCCCTATTTTGGCCTGTTCTACGGGGTGAGTTGATTTTTCTTTTCAGTGCCTGTTTGTTCCGCTGACCATGGGGACAGGGCACCCCAAGCCAGATATTGTTGTGACTTTGGGTGTCATATAGACTAAAATGACCTGAAGGCTAGATGCCTTGTGCTGTGGCCCCCAACCTTTTTGGCACCAGGGGCTGTTTTCATGGAAGACAATTTTTCCATAGACCAGGGAGGAGGGGGATGGTTTTGGGATGATTCAAGTGCTTTACATTTTTTATGCACTTTATTTCTATTATTATTACATTGTAATATATAATGTAGAGGACCATAGGCTGGGGACCCTGTGTAGAGTATGTGAAAAATCAGAAAGCCTTTTTTCTTGAGGGGGGGAACTTGAGTAAAATGGGTAGTTGGGAAGTTGGCAAAAGACAAAGTTAACCTCAGGAAGAAAATATTAGATTGGGGTGGGCCCTGGGATTGTGATGAGTTTGCCCAACTTTAACTCTGTAGTTATTTTTTGGCTCTGCCTGTTCAAGAGCCTTACCCTCATCTACTGAGAGATACAAAGGTTCCCTCAAGGCCTTTCTGATCCAGGAAATCCTGTTTTCTGTTTTTAAGGCTTTGAACTGACTAGGTGGAAGCCACCCACCACCCACTTGCATTGTAGAGGGGAATCTTCTTTACTTAATGTTAACCGACTGTAGGTGTTAATCACATCTGTAGAATACCTCACTGGGCTAGTGTTTGACCAACAACAGGGCACGGTAGCCTCAAATTAACTGTCACAGTTGCTTTAAATTATCATATTTACTTATTTTCAGAAAAATGGGACTAATGATGGAGACTATGTTTTTCTAACTGGGGAAGACAATTACCTTAACTTTACAAAGATTGTGGAATGGAATGGAAAGACGTAAGTCTAATGATTTATCAGTGTGATTATTTTTTCAATTTTCATTTCAGTTGAATTTCAACTTTTGCATTGTTTAAAAACATTGGCACCAGGCACGGTGGCTCACGCCTGTAATCCTGGCACTCTGGGAGGCCGAGACGGGAGGGTTGCTTGAGCTCAGGAGTTTAAGACCAGCCTGAGCAAGAGTGAGACCCTGTCTCTATTAAAAATACAGAAATTAGTCGGGCATGGTGGTGCATGCCTGTAGTCCTAGCTACTCAGGAGGCTGAGGAAGGAGGATCGCTTGAGCCCAGGAGTTTGAGGTTGCCGTGAGCTATGATGACCACTGTACTCTAGCCGGGGTGACAGAGCAAGATTCTGTCTCAAAAAAAAAAAAAAAAAAAAATTAAGCAAAATTTTTTAATTAATAAAAGCATTCACTTTTTAGATGAAAAATGTCTAAATATATAAATATTCTTGTAATTATTATTTTACAAATCAAGATAGGGATAAACATATAACAAATGAAATATTAGTGATTTGTAGATTTATAATAGTCAAGCACGGGTTACATAGCCAGGGAAAAGCCTCACTCCTACATAGTCACTGAGTGCTGTGTAGCAGCCATAGCACAAATACTTTCCAAACCACTTGCTTTGAGGAGTGAGGGAGAGGTTCTCTTTTTAATTTAATTTTGTGTTTGTGGGTTATTGGTATATTTTTCTCCAAAGATGACCAAACAAATCCAAAAGGGAGGGGTATTTTACAAGATACCTGGGTTGAGTACTCCTCAAAACTGCCAAGGTCGTCAATACGAGGAAAGTGTGATAAACTATTGCAGAAACCCAACGAAATATGAAAACTGAATGTCATGTATTCTGGATGGATTCTGGAACAGAAAAAGGATATCAGGGAAAACTAAGGGAATCTGGATAAAGTACAGGCTTCAGTTAATAATAAGGTGTCAGTAGTCCTTCATTAGTCCTAACGAATGTACTACAGATAAGACGCTAATCGTAGGAGAAGCTGAATGCAGAATATAGGGGAACTCTGCACTAGGTCCACAACTTTCCTGTGAGTCTAAACTATTTAGAGTTTAAGTTTTAAAAAGCACACACGTACACAAACATATATTTACACACACACAGACCCTGCAGTACGTAAGATCCCCGAAAGGATGGGGGGGACTGGCAGGAGTGTTGCCTCAGAGGGGCCTGAGGGATCGGGGTCCCAGGCTGGGAGGAAATTACTTGTAAACAAGATGTAAGTACATTTTATTTTAAACCAGATCTCTTATTTTCCAGTCTTTTAATAGCACAGCTTAATTTTTTTATACGTATTGTAATTATAGATATATCTGTGATATAATATATATTATTTGATATATTTGGACTTATTTTTATATTATTTTCCAACTTTAGATTTTTATGATTCCCATCTAACAATAATTTTTCCAACAAAATCTAAACCTATTTATTATCTCTTCTCCTTCTAAACAAGGCAATAACTTGACCCATTTCTTTTTTTTTTGAGACAGAGTCTCGCTTTGTTTCCCAGGCTAGAGTGAGTGCCGTGGTGTCAGCCTAGCTTACAGCAACCTCAAACTCCTAGGCTCAAGTAATCCTCCTGCCTCAGCCTCCCAAGTAGCTGGGACTACAGGCATGCGCCACCATGCCCGGCTAAGTTTTTCTATATATATTAGTTGGCCAATTAATTTCTTTCTGTTTATAGTAGAGACAGGGTCTCACTCTTGCTCAGGCTGGTTTCGAACTCCTGACCTCCAGCAATCCTCCCACCTCAGCCTCCCAGAGTGCTAGGATTACAGGCGTGAGCCACCTCGCCCGGCTTGACCCATTTCTTAATGTACACATCTTCCTTGCTGTTCTTGTCTATAAATTGTTATAACCTTCTTGGGAAGTCAAATATAAATGTAAAAATTTATTATTTTAATAATAAATACTTAACTGAATTTAGCAACATATTTTGTTAATTTATTATTATTTTTTATCCTGCTCACATCTGCCCTCTGGGTTTATTTTTGTTCTTGCTAAAGATTATCCATTAGTACAATGGTTCTCAACCGGATTTGAATTTATTTTATTTATTTGGTTTGGCCCATGAGGCATACTTTCAATCCAAGCCCTCATGTCTGTCTTAAATTTTGGAAAACTCTGAGCAATGATCCTGTCAATTACTGCTTCCCTGTTACTCACCTCATTCTCACTCTTCCCACTCCCTAGCCTGAACTTCTATTAATGTTTATTGGAGCCTCTCAATCTATTCTCTGTATCTTGATACTTTAATTTTTCATTTTTCTGAGTTTATATTTGTGCATATTCCTTAGAAATTATCTTCCAATTCATCAATTCTCTTTTCAACTGTGTTGTCTAGAGTTTTGTATTGAGTTTTTCTTTTGGAAACTACCTTTTGTTTTCAAGATTTCTAATTTTCTATTTTTTATCTCTCTACTCTCGTTTCATTATTTCCTTTTTATATTTTAATAATTTTCCATTATTTTTTTAAGATGTTATTCTTTTATTTATCTCTTTGAGGATACTAAACAATGTATTTATTTAAAGTATTAGTTGGATTGTTCTATTACTTTAATCTCTTCTAGAGTGAATTCACCTTGATTTTGTTGCCTGTCCCTTAGCATAAACTGCTTTCAATTTTTAAATTTAAATTAAAATTTTTTTTGAGACAGGGTCTTACTCTGTTGCCCAGGCTAGAGTGTAGTGGCATCATCATAGCTCACTGCAACCTCCAACTCCTGGGCTCAAGCAACTGATCCTCCTGCCTCAGCCTCCCAAGTAGCTGGGACTACAGGCATGCGCCACCATGCTTTGCTTATTTTTTCCTTATTTTTTGTAGAGATGAAGTCTTGCTATTGCCTGGGCTGGACTCCAATTCCTGTCCTCAGACGGTCCTCCCACCTCAGCCTCCGAAAGTGCTGGGATTACAGGGATGAGCCACTGTATCCAGTCCCTTCAATATATATATATTTTTAATGTTGATTTGTAGAATTATTTTGGTTGGGAAGTTAGTCTGTTATCTGTGTGTGTGTGTGTGTGTGTGTGTGTGTGTGTGTGTACTTGCTACCTACCTATCTCTCCATCCTCTTACCTCTCCCTGTATAACAGCTTTGCAGCTGCCTCCATGCAGCCCGCTTTGGAACCCCCAGTCCAGAGCTAGCATGCACAGGGGAACCTCCTCCCCACAGTTATAGTGGGGAAATCAACAGTCAGCTTGGCTCAGGTTCTGGTTTGAGGCTATGTCTGCGTCTTCCTGCCTCCCCAGCCCTAAGCTTTGCACAGGTTTAAATCCACATGGCAGCTGGAAGCTGCTTTGTTTGGCCTCACTTGATGAGCAGGAAATCTCTGCCCCTTAGACCCTGATTCCGAGCCTTCGGTGGACCACTTTTAATTCTTAATAACTTGAGAAGCTGAACTTCTGGTTCTTTCTCCTTATTCCCAGATCTGCAGGGCAGTGGCTTTAGGCCTGCTCACCACTTTGCATTTATCATCTTTTTATTGTCTATGGAAACATTTGTGTTCAAGGATAGTATGGATCCTCTAGATGTTTGTGTTCTATTTTGTGTTTGTACTTGGAAGAGCTCGTGCACGTAGAGTGCCATCTTGGCCAGAAATTGGGAGAATTACTATCTATTGCCTGTCCTTTCCTTCCTTTTGCATTTTGTACTGTTTTAGTCCATTCAGACTACTATGACAAATTACCAAATTACCTGAGTGGCTTATAAACACATGGAAATTTATTTCTCACAGTTCTGGAGGCTGGGAAGTCTAAGATCAAGGAACTGGCAGATTCGGTGCCTGGGGAGGGCCCATTTTCTCACATCTATGATATCTTCTCACTGTACCTTCGCATGGTGGAAGGGGTGAGGGAGTCTTGGGTCCTCTTATACGGGAACTAGTCTCATTCATCAGGACTCTGTCCTCATGACCTAATCACCTCCCAAAGGCCCCACCTGCTGACACCATCAACTTGAGAGTCAGGATTTCAATGTATGAATTTGGGGAGAGACGGGAGTCATAAACATTCAATCCATTGCATGTACCATTATTTTAAAAATTTAATTTAAAAAAAACTGCTGTCTCAACTGTTTTTCATGAGCATGAAGTTACTTTATGATTGAGCTTTCTTGTATTCCAAGAGAAGTCCTCCACTATTTTTGGAAGAGAGAATTGTTCAGAGGACAGACTGAGTAAATAGTCGGTCATGAATATTACAGAGCCCGACTAAGCCATGCAGAGTTTGTTGGTCTGTGGACTGGCTGTGAACAAGGCTGTTGTTAACGCTGAATTGGATCGCTGCTTTAAGTCAGCCAGCATTTCTAGACGTCTATGTAGGAAACAGCTTTTTTGGAGGAAGGAAAAAGGGGCTTTTGGCTATTGTCTCTGTGAAAATGAATCTGGGGCCAAGGGCCTACTTTCTCCCCCCTTGATCTCATCCCTAACACTGTTGTGTCTGTGTGTGGATAACACAGTGTGGGTAGCCAGCTACACTTACATCCTGTAAAGCCCTGACCATTTAAGAGAACCTAAAATCTAATTTGATTCATCTTTCCTCTTTCTTGTGCTTATCAATTACAGGTCACTTGACTGGTGGACAACAGACAAGTGCAATATGATTAATGGAACAGACGGAGATTCTTTTCACCCATTAATAACCAAAGACGAAGTCCTGTATGTCTTCCCATCTGATTTTTGCAGGTAAGAGCTTTAAAAGTAAGTTTTTTTTTTTTTTTTTTAAATAAGATCTTTGACTATAAGACCACCGAAAGGATTGAGAACATACACAGTACACTGACTGTGGGTGGATATTCATGCTGTGTCGTGATGACTGCAGATGGCATATTGAGACACGGTGTTGGGTCACAGCATCGACTCCAGAGCACCAACTCCAGACTACATCGGCTGGGTCTTGGTTCCTCCACTTATATCTGTGTGGCCTTGGGCAAGTTATTTAACCTCTGGTGCCTCACTTTCCTCATTTGTAAAACAAAGATAGAAGTAGTCACCTACCTCGGGTGTTGGTAGGAGGACAAATGAGTTAGAATCAGTAAAATGCTTAGGTAGGGCCTATCACAAAGTAAACGACATTGCGCGTTGGCTCTTAGTTACTGTGATATACTTGGTAAAGCATGAATTGAGCTAGTCTTCTTACAGTCTTCTTGCAGTCAACAGGTGATCTCTACACAGAAGATTAATAAATGACACTGTTGTCCATATTGGAGTCTATGGGGATATGCTTAGCTTTAACCTTCCTAATGGTCTCGTCCACTCTCCCTGGCCCTGTGATCTCCACTTCCCTCCTGCCTTCCCTCCTGCCCTGTCTCTGCAGGTGAGCATGGCTCCCTCACCCTCCCTCCACCCTGGCTTCCGTCTCCCTCACCCTGCCACTGCTCTGCTCCCACCCTGCGCCCTCGAGAGCTTGGAAGAGTGGCCGCCTCCTATAGCCTGCTCTCCTCTCCCACCCAGCCCACAGGCTCTCTCTAGGAAACCCGCTCCCGGGCAGAGCGGCCTAGCAGCACTGGACACTGGCGATCCGTTGTGCTCACACTTCTGCACGTTGCTGCCCTTCCCTGTTGTGTCTCACAAAACTGAGCCACTCACCCAGTCAGCTGTGCCAGGCTCGTTGGCGACACCGTCAGTCTCCCTCCTCTCCTACCCTGATTCAATCTGTCCTCAGAAATCGCGCTAGAACTCATCCCTAGCTCCCTCCCTGCCGCGTGTGCTGTGGCTCAGACCCTCCCTGTCCTTCAGATGGAAAGCCATGGTCACCCTCAGCCGGCCGCCCGTTCAGTAAATGTGTGCAAATGCTCAGTGATGTCTGAAGGAAGGGAAAATGGATTTGAGTGCTATGAGTGAAACCCTGGAACCCAGAAGGGCTGTAGGAAATTTTTAAAAGATGTGGCACAGAGGAAACACGTTCTGATCCGGTATAATCACTTTGGAGAGCAATCTGGTAACACTTAGTAAGGCCAAAGACATGCAGACTTCCTAATTCTGCCGTTCTCGCCTAGGGAGTCTCCTGGGTCGGAGAACTCGTGTGTGTACGTGCAAGGGGACATTTATGCAGAAATGTTCATTGTAATCTTATCACAGTGAAAGACTGGGAGCAATCTTGATACCTACGAAAAGGAGAATATAAACATGGTGATAGAGTATCCTGTATGATGGAATGTCATATAGGATTGAAAATAAAGGAAACAGCTGTGCACATTAATAAAATTTTTTTTTTTTTTTGAGACAGAGTCTGGCTTTGTTGCTTGGGCTAGAATGCCGTGGCGTCAGCCTAGCTCACAGCAACCTCAGACTCCTGGGCCAAGCAATCATCCTGCCTCAGCCTCCCGAGTAGCTGGGACTACAAGCATGCACCACCATGCCCGGCTCATTTTTTCTCTATATATGTTTAGTTGTCCAGATAATTTGGTTCTATTTTTAGTAGAGACAGGGTCTCACTCTTGCTCAGGCTGGTCTTGCACTCCTGAGCTCAAGCAATCCTCCCGCCTCGGCCTCCCAGAGTGCCAAGATTATAGGTGTGAGCCACCATACCTGGCCCAATAAATCTTAAAAATATAATGTTGAACGAAGAGGCAAATTACAGAAAGGCAATATGGTATACTGTTTAAGGAGCATTTAATGATAGCAACCAGCGCCACAGATTGTTTATGAACGTGCACATACGTAAAAGAACACAGATGTGCATGGAAATGGTAAACTCCAAATTCAGGACAGTCTTTCCTCAGGGGAAGCAGAGAAGGAATGGAATTAAGAGCATTATATAGAGAGCTTCAGTCCTATCCGTCATATATGTTTTATTTATCTAAGTGCTGGAAACAAGTGTACTTGTTATAGTATTTTTTTTTTAATCTTTTTGTTTGCCTAAAATATATTATTAAAAATGCTGTGGGGTGGGGCGTGCAGTGGAAGGCAACTCCCGTGTTATTCACAAACTTCCAAGAGACGTGTCAGCACCGCTAGTGCAGAGATGAAAAAGTGAAGCCCAGAAAGCTTCCCTGCCAGCCTTCAAACCGCGGGGCGTGGCGGCGTGGCGTGGCGGCGTGGCGTGGCGGCGTGGCGTGGCGGCGTGGCGTGGCGGCGTGGCGTGGCGGCGTGGCGTGGCGGGCGTGGCGCGTGCGTGGGGCGTGGCGGGTGGGGCGCTGTGGCGTGGCGTGGCGTGGCGGCGTGCGTGGCGGCGGGGCGTGCTGGCGCGGGCGTGGCGTGGTGGGGGGGCGTGGTGGGCGGGCGGCGTGGCATGGCGGCGTGCGTGGCGGCGTGGCGTGGCGGCGTGCATGGCGGCGTGCGCGGGCGTGCGTGGTGGGGCGGCGGGCGCGGGGCGTGGCGTGCGGGCGGCGGGCGGCGGGGCGGCGGGGCGCGGGCGTGGCGGGGTGGGCTGGCGTGGCGGGGCGTGGCGGGCGGCGGCGGCGGCGGGCGGCGGGCGGGCGCGGGCGTGGCGGGGCGGCGGGGGCTGGGGGCGGCGGGGCGGCGGGGCGGGCTCTGTCTGTGAGTCAGGCGCTGTGCGAGCGCCAGGGCCGCATCGCACGGGCGCGTGTTGGAAGCTCAGTGAGGACTACAGCACAGTTACGGTGCGCTCCGCTGAAATAAATGGGCAAAATATGGAAACTGATTATTTTTATGTGGGGAAATGGATAGGAAAGTATGTATTCTGATCAAATACGTGTCCAGGTGACACTTCCCGAGTCATCAAGTCCACCAGGCCAGCCATCGCCGCCTTTCCTGCCGTTGCTTTGCCTCCGGCCCACCGTCCACGCTGGTCGAGCGGACTCTGTCGTTATTATATTTGCGTGAGCCTCCATTCCAAATGTTATCTTCTTAATTTCCTGTCACATATTCTGTTTTTTCTTGCCCTTGTTTGCATATTGCCATAGTTGCTACCTCTTAAACATCTTTCACTGCAATTCATCTTCTCTTGTGTTACACAGTGAGCTGGCAAAGCTGCTTTCAGGCATTCTTTTGCCTCTTCGTTTTCTGCTTCCCCTGTCCGTTTCTAGCCATGTCGTACCTGAGAACTATTGCTAACCACGGGAGCCCATACGGACCTTTTTCTTTTTTTAATGAACCTAACATTGTGAACACACCACATTGACTTTTTATTCTTATGTCCTAACAGGTCAGTGTATATAACTTTCAGTGACTTTGAGAGTGTCCACGGACTGCCTGCCTTTCGGTATAAAGTCCCTGCAGAAATATTAGCCAATACCTCAGACAATGCTGGCTTCTGCGTCCCGGAAGGAAACTGCCTGGGCTCAGGAGTTTTGAATGTCAGCATCTGCAAGAACGGTAAGAACTCAGAGAGGGGGCATGATTATGGTTGTTTAGAATGAAGAAGGATTGGAGTTACAATAAAGAATATGTTGTCAGCCTAACAGACAAAACGATTCTGATCTTTCAAGAAAATGTTTCTGAGCTGGGTACAGTGGCGCATGCCTGTTCCCAGGTACTTGGGAGGCTGAGGCAGGAGGATTGCTTGAGCCCAGGAGTTGGAGGTGCTGTGATCGCACCTGTGGATAGCCACTACAGTCAGCCTGGGCAGCATAGCCAGGCCCTATCTCTAAATAATAATAATAATAACGTTTTATAATATGGTTATTTATTTATTTTTTTTTGGAGACAGTCTCACTCTGTTGCCCGGGCTAGCGTGCCGTGGCGTCAGCCTAGCTCACAGCAACTTCAAACTCCTGGGCTCAAGTGATTCTCCTGCCTCAGCTTCCCGAGTAGCTGGGACTACTGGTCCCACCAGTAGCTGGTGCCACCATGCCTGGCTAATTTTTTGTCTATATATTTTATTGGCCAATTAATTTCTTTCTATTTTTAATAGAGACGGGATCTCGTTCTTGCTCAGGCTGGTTTTGAACTCCTGAGCTCAAATGATCCTTCTGCCTCAGCCTCCCAGAGTGCTAGGATTATAGGCATGAGCCACAGCGCCCGCCTATACTATGGTTATTGAATGGTAAAAAAAAATTATTATTGGCTTTTCTGTGATGCTTTTTATTTCTAGAGTGCCATGTTGTATTTTTTTTTTCTGTGCAGTAGTTTAAAAATCTTAATAGTGTAATAACAGCTCATGTTTACTGGGCACTTAATATGTCCCAGTCACTGTTCTAAGTGGTTTGCATGTTTACATGTAGCCAATACATGTAAAGCATTAACTGATTTCACGTTGAAAACAATGCTAAAAGAGAAAGTGAATAACTTAGTTTTTAAGAAAGTCCCTATCTTAGCAAAGATTCTCAATGATTTTGAAGCAGTTAGTTTTAAGCCCTGACCACAAATTTCCCGATGTTTCTTAATGCCTGAGCTACTCCGCTTCTTTCCACGAGGGAGGCAGAATTACCGGCGGTGCCACTGACAAAAGGGCTTTCTTTGTCTTGAAGACTAGTTTAACAGCGCTGTGGCACAGAACTACTCACAGGGGCCTTGCGAGACATTCGGTGGGCTCTTTTCATAATTGTGGAAACCAGGGCTCAGAGTGGGGACACGATTTTAACACAACCCTTATCTCTGAGCAAATCTCTGCTAGAACTTAGGGTCTTCTCATGTTTGTACTGTGATTGCCTTCTTGGGCTGTAATTCCTCTTTGAAGTTTCTCTTGAGAGATGTCCCTCTTTGTCCCTCTTTTTTAAAGATGTCCCCCTTTCTCCTGAATAAACCCTTTTCTCCTTAATAATACCCTTTTCTCCTTAATAAAATAATGTGCTAACTTTTGCTCTCATGTCTAATTGGTTTTAAAATCTCCTTTGGGGATAAGTCTGAGTTGAGCAATAAACCTCCCTGTCCTCATCTGACAGGGCAGTGGCCCATACACCTGGCCTTACATCAGAATTGTCTGCAGAGTTATTAAAAATATATGTCCCAGGGCCCCACGCCAAACATACTAGAGCCCCAGAATCTACACTTGTAACAAGCATTCCAGGCAATTCCCATAAAGATGGTGGCCAGGTACCTAGGGACCACCATCCATGGGAACACGGTACCCTTACCTGGAGATAAAGACCAAGGGTGAATGGAGTCAGGTTCCTGGCTTTGATCTCTCCTGTTGCTTTACTCGGTGAATGGCCCTTTACCTGTCCCTGTCCTCCCAGGCCATTGTGCCTCTGGCTCAAGGCACAAATACAGATGCATTTGTCTTGTTGTTTTGTTTCCTCAAGAAGCTGTGCCAGGGTCCACAGCAAGATCTACTTGGTAACGTCAAACCTCTTGCTACCATCCTTTTTTCCTCTTGCCTGTTACATATTCCCAAATTTGGGCTGAAAAGTTAAATTTTCCAGGATTATCCTTAAGTGTTTTGAATTCTCTAGGGGAACATTTTGGAAGGTGGATGAGTCAGGCAGTTCTGGGTCTGAGCCCTGTTCCATTTGTTGGCAAACTGGCCAAGTTGATTAAGAACTGTTTCAGACATCACTTTTCTCAGCTGTAGAATGGGGGTGATTGTAAGTTCTTGGAAGGTTACGTGTGAGGGTTAGAGACAATGTATGTAAAAGACTCAGGACAGTGTCTCGCCCTTATTAAGCCCTCAATATACTTTTAAAAGGGTGCTGTCGGCCACAGAGAAGGAGCTTTTGGCGTTGTGGCACCATTAGCAGTAAAGAGCAAAGAGCTTGTGTGTGTGAGAGACGGCGTGTACCCTAACCACGGCTGGCGGATATGTAGGCAAATTTACATGACTTGCTAGTAAGCTCATTTCTGCAAAAATGTATTTCCCTGGCAGCAATTATTGGGTTCCTGTCTTCTTTTTAAAAATCAGATCAATGTTTCCTTTAATAACTTGTTTCCCTGTTTGGTTCTTAAAAGGAATAGAGAAGAAAAAAAATCAGAGTCTTCATGACGTGTTAGAGGCTGGGCATATAGCACAACCAGGCAAACTCTTAGAAAATCCTACATGAATATATTCAGGAAAACAATAAGGTCCATCTTTGGTAAAACAATAATAAAAAAAAACAAAAAAAAACAAACAGAAACAAGCAAAGCAAAAAACAAAAGCAGGCCGGGCGCGGTGGCTCACGCCTGTAATCCTAGCTCTCTGGGAGGCCGAGGGGGGGGCGGATTGCTCGAGGTCAGGAGTTCGAAACCAGCCTGAACAAGAGCGAGACCCCGTCTCTACTATAAATAGAAAGAAATTAATTGGCCAACTAATATATATACAAAAAATTAGCCGGGCATGGTGGCGCATGCCTGTAGTCCCAGCTACTTGGGAGGCTGAGGCAGGAGGATTGCTTGAAGCCAGGAGTTTGAGGTTGCTGTGAGCTAGGCTGACGCCATGGCACTCACTCTAGCCTGGGCAACAAAGTGAGACTCTGTCTCAAAAAAACCAAAAAAAAACAACAAAAAAACCCAAAAACAGATGGTCCATTTACTGGTAGAGAATTTTGTTGAAACGAGTGTTTTGAGACGGGATATCCCTAAATCAGCTAGAATTCTGCCTATAAAACCGGAAGGCTAGATGTCCATGGGTAAATTTTATAACTTCTGTGAGCCTTAGTTTCTTTACCTGCAAAATGAGGATAATAGTTCTAGCTTTAGAGGGCTCTTGGGAACATTCATTAAAATAATGTATATAAAGCACTTACACTTTATAGGTTCCGTAAATGTTTGTTAAAGAATAAATAGTGCAGACAGGACTTCAACACATAACTTAGAATAATAGAATAATGTGGGGTGAATAAGATGTCAGAAAATGAAGTATAAATCCTGAACTAGGAGGCATAGGGCGATATTTTAGCTTGCCCTCCTCCCCCAACTTCACTTAAGATAGCTTTTTTTTCGACCTTTGGGAAGCAGGTTTGTGATCAGGAACTTTATATACATCTTAGATTTTAAGAACAGCATCATTCATTCCTGTTTTCCTTAAAATGCAGGTGCACCCATCATTATGTCTTTCCCACACTTTTACCAAGCAGATGAGAGGTTTGTGTCTGCCATAAAAGGCATGCATCCAAACAAGGAAGCTCACGAGACCTTTGTGGACATTAATCCTGTGAGTACACACTCATTCCTGGCAAAAACAAAAAGTGTGTGTTTTATTCTGTTGATACAGTGTTCACTAGTTTAGTCCTGAGCAGTTTTGAAAAACATAGTATCTTCCTTTAATATACATAAAAGTGGGGGGAACTCAGCTCAGTGCTGGTTCAGGTACTTCTGTAATTTGAAGGCTGAATTCTGTGGATCTGCTAGAAATACCAGCAAACCTGCTTTATTTAACCAAAAAGCAAGAGTGAAAATTCAGTCATTGGAAACAACTGACATTGGACCCACGTAACCTGGGCAATCTTCTGTTACCTATTTTGGACCCGAACATATATACATTTCTCTCATTGGGGTACAGATCAGTTAGCTTGAAGATGTCTCTTTGTTTACTCGATATCAGGAATATTTTGGTTGAAATTTAAATATGTATATTAGCTTCAATCACTTTTGGCAAATCTCTTTCTATAGTACTTTTGAGAGTTTAATCTATTGTTAATTTAAAAAGTATCATATACACATACACTTTTATCCTGTATTCATAGAGGAGAAAACTGAGAACCATGCTAAGAGGATGTGAATATCATCTCACAGTGAGAGCCCCTCAGTGTAGAAACTGAATGAACGTTGGACATCTTCATTTTTGAGACCTTGAACACTATGGAACAGTAAAGAAAAGCAAGAACATTCTTTTGGCACAGAATTTTATGGGCCCTTCACTCTTAGCTACATGCATTGCATTTGTACCTGGGAAACCAGCAATGTTATCCTTTGGTGAATAAGATCGGGTGTGGTTTTCTCCCTTTTCTCTCTCTTAGCCATCGATCAATCAGTTCCCTTTCATCAGCCAAACTGTTAGCAGTGCTTGTCACCAAGGGATAATCAGGGCCCTATAATAATGAGTGGGACATCATTCTCTGGCAGTGACCATCCGGCTCTCTAGACAACCATGTGGGTTGTCCAGGCCTGAGGGCCACCTGCCAAGTCTCCCTCCCGCTGGAGTCTTTCTGGACCACTATTCAGAATGCCTTTCATGACCAGCCTGAGCAAGAGTGAGACCCCATTTCTACTAAAAATAGAAAGAAATTAGCTGGACAACTAAAAGTATACATATAGAAAAAATTAGCCGGGCATGGTGGCGCATGCCTGTAGTCCCAGCTACTCGGGAGGCTGAGGCAGGAGGATTGCTTGAGCCCAGGAGATTGAGGTTGCTGTGAGCTAGGCTGATGCCACGGCACTCACTCTAGCCTGGGCAACAAAGCAAGATTCTGTCTCAAAAAAAAACAAACAAACTACTACACAGAAATGGTGCCGTGTTCCTAACGGGTACAATGCACACTATCTGGTGTATGGGTGCACTTGTAACTTTGATGCAAACAGTACAAAAGCAATTTATGTAACCAAAACGTGTACTTCCATAATATTCTGAAATTTAAAAATTGATTAATTATTTTTTTAAAAAAGAAATGATGTGCTTAAGAGGGAGCTGTTCTGCCTCACCCCTCCTGGGCTCGCTTTCATTAGCAACAAAAGTAATGAAGGAAAAAACAAACAAAAGAAAAGAAAATGAATTCAGTTTTTACCTCAAAAAATATTGTGTATTGAAGAAATTATGTTTGCAGTTTAATAAATCCTAATGTTTTCTTTTCACTTTTCTGATTTGCAGTTGACTGGAATGATCCTAAAAGCAGCCAAGAGGTTCCAAATCAACGTGTATGTCCAAAAATTGGACGACTTTGTGTAAGTTTTGCTTCTTTCTACAGAGGCAGAGAATGATCTTGCTACGTTGCCTTTCTGGTGGGACTGATCTTGGGAGTACAGAGCCCTCCTGATTCTGCTCGTCCCTGTCCCTCCAGGGACAGGACCTGATCGGCATGTCCATGGGTGCCTGGGTCTTGGAATTTACATGTTTTATTTAATCAGACTGTCAAACTGTCGCTAGGGTGGGGAATCTACGGCCTCAAGGCCACACGTGGCCCTCCAGATCCCCAGGTGTGGCCCTCCATCAAATGGCTGAACTCAAGGACCCAGGAGGCCTCATGTGGCCCAAGGCCGCAGGACCCCACCCATCTAAGCACTTTATATACGTTCACTTATAACCTTATATTAGCCCCATTTTACAGATAAGGAAACAGAGGCACAGAGAGTTTAACCACTTCGGTGTGGCGCTCACCAGCCTCAAAACCTTGCCCACAGCCGGCACTCACAGTCTGCACGGGGGTCTGCGCTGCGCATTGACGGCGCGTCCGTCTTGCTCTTGTGCGATGAGGAAAGCTTGAAAGCACTGAAAGCTTGTTTTGCTTTACAGGCAGCTTTACTTGTCGTGTAAATCAGAATAGGTAACACATACATACATGTTTTCATTACATTATTTTTAAATGTTCACATTTTATTTCGATAAATGAAAAATTAGAAAAGTCCTATCATGGCTGTCGGCTAAAGTCGACGCTGGGCTGTGCGTCCATCTGTGGCTGTCGACTACAGTAAGGCTGTGTGGCTTCAGAGTCGGCTTCTATCTGCTACAGTAAGCCTGTCCCTCCCCACTGTGACTCTGGATGCCATCCCGATGTCCCCCCCGCCACCCCCCCCCCCCCCCCCCCCCCCCCCCCCCCCCCCCCCGGGCCAGCCACACCTCTCACTTGCATAGTTCAAACAGTCTCTCGAGTCCCGCCTTTTCTCCCCGCACTCGGTCTATAAACTAACACCTGATTAAGACTCCTAAGTATAATCTCCTGCTCAAGCTTTTCAATGGGGAATTTTTTAAATACGAGAAAATGCTTATGGTACAATGTCGAATGAAAGAACAGGATGCAAAACTACACATACAATATTTTATATCTCTCTATAAAACGTGGTTTGTTTCCCCCATCAAATCTGTCAGATTTAATGCCACGTGTCACGGATCTTTAAGAACCAAATGTAGTTTGCAAGAATGCATGTTGCCGCCTGTGCTCGTGCTTCTGAGGTGGTGTGACTTCGTAGTTAAGAGCTAGAACCCGAGAATCAAAATGGAATGACAGTCCTGGCCCCACCACTGACTTGTGGCGCTTCGTGACAAGTTAGCTAGCCTCCTCAAGCCATAATTTTCTCGTCTGTAAACCTGGGACACTAATACTCACCGCACGTGACTGCTGTAAGAATTGAATGAGATAATGTCTCCAAAACCCCGGCACAGAGCTGGCACCTGGCAAGCGCTCAGCCGGCCCCTGCCGCAAAGGCGGCGCCTCAGCGGCCTAGCACCAGCGCCCTGGGGAGCGGCGGCCGCGCTGTTCTGCCGGGCGGGACTTGAGGGACAACAGTCATCATTCTGAAGAATCTGCTTTCAGTATCTTGTGTTTTGGTAAAAACACCATATAAATGTGCAGCACTTGGAATTGCTAGACTGATGGACTGGAATCTAACTTCCGATTTATATGTATTTGTAAAGATAACTAAGCAGTAAATCCTAGGTAATTTAATGAAATAAGTGTACTAGAATTTTCGTATAAACTCGTCTCTCCAGGCAAGTGTGCCATTGTGAGGGTGTCTATAAAATAATCTCATCCTTTGTCTTTGCAGTGAGACGGGAGACATCAGAACTATGGTTTTCCCAGTGATGTATCTCAATGAGGTAAGTCCTGAGAGAGAGCCGTCAGTGTGTTTTTAACTGCCCACGCTTGGAACTCCTCTGTTATGATGTCTACTATTGCAGCCATGTGTGATTTGAGACATGAAAAATGAGGGAAAGATGATTTTTGAAACCCATTTGTCCTCAGAAAATTTCTTTTAAATGTTTATATGAACCTGCGAACCTGCCTGTATCTGAGAGTTGATTTGGAGAGATGGCAGAAATTTTCCTGCTTTAAGAACATTATTTGGGCAAAACTCCCTTCTGGGGGGCTGCTTATGTGAGACACAACACATAAAGTGAAATGAAGCATTGTCGGACACCACTGAAGCACAGTGGATAGCCAACGCCGAGACAGATGTCCAGTTAAACTTTTCTTTGTCTCCTCCTTTGAAATCCTGCCAGTTTAAGACACCTGTGATAAATTCTTTTCTAAATTACATATCTCATTAACTATTGTTCTATAGCCTCAATTTCTCCCTCTCTTCCACCCAGTTTTGAGGGGAAAAATGCAAAAAAAACTAAAAAAAAAGGTTTTTCTCCTTCAATAAATCTTGATTGGCAGACTTCTGTTACTAATAGCAGCATTTTTTAAAAAAGTTTTTATTATTCTCCTCTGTTCCCTAAAAATACTTGTAGAAAATTTAGTAACAGAGATTAGCAAGAAAAGGAAAAATTAAAATCACTATTGTTACCGAAAGCTCAGCACTTGTCCCCGAGGCTGCACCAGAAGAACGAGGACAAGAGGTTTGAGGAGAAGGAAAGAGAAATTTATTAAGTTTGTTAATTTGCAGGGAAAGAGGAGGTTGGCAGGCTCCCATCTCGAAGTACCAGAGTCCTGCTTCTGAGCAGAAGTACAGAGTTTTGACAAGTTCTGATCAATCCCATCTTTGGTTAAGACTATCTCATGACCTCTGCTTGGATTCATTCCATCTTTAGTTAAAAGAATTTTGTGACCTCCTAACGGATTAATCTCATCTTTGGCTAAGGTGATCTTGTGACCTCTGTTTGGATTCATCCCATCTTCAGCTAAAATGATCTCCTGACCTCTGCCCAGACAATTCTCTGGAGCCATCTCCTGTGGCACCAAGAACAAAAGACATTCCCCTGCCCCTGCTGACCACTGGCCTGAAGTGGGGATGCAGGTCCTAGTTCTCATAGAAGGGGTGGGGGATGTTTTAAAAAGACAGAAAACATTTTTGCCACTTTTTTCAAGCCATTTCTTCTGTTACACTAGTCACAAAATCTACACCAGCCTTACATACTGTTTTTAATTTAGTTTTATTTTATTCAATGTGTTGTAACAATAACTTAAAAAACAATTTAATGCTTTACATTTTGTAAAACACGCTATTTATAGAACTCTTGGAAAATTTTTTAAAAATCGATTTAAAAACTAAATTACTGACAAGCCTCTCAGAGACATGTATGGTGGACATCTTCAGATGTTTCCTCCTGGTATTTTCTGGTTTTTATTACATGGTTAAATCATACCATAGACAGTTTTATATCTTTTTTCCTTTATTTAGCATTATAGTGGTAGCCACATTTATAAACTTTTGAAGGGCAGTTCTAAGATGAGGCTTTTATTGTTTCATAGGAAAAATTGAGGAAGTATGTACCAATTTATAGGACCTATTTGAGATTGTTCCTAGATCATCATTGTTGTGAGGAGAGGCATGAAAGACTTTGAAAACACAGAAGGTCCATTTCCACCAGTTTATGTTCATAGAAGTGGCATATTTGAAGTCCCCTTAACCTCCAACTTTTGCTTGGCTTTTTTGTTAACGACTAGATTGAGTCCAGAAACATGGAGTGAAGCCTTGTGCTTTTACTGCTTCCTAGAAAGAGTTTAATTTTTCTCTTCTCTAGAAAAATAAATGACTACAACTGGACATGATTGGAGACTACTGGCCCACTCCCTTTTTACAGAGGAGGAAACTCTGACCAGGAGGGCCCTTGGCCATTTATTGGAAGAATGTCCTAGAACCCAATCCCCTGACTTAGCCTAATACAAATTAAGCCTAAATTAAGCCAGAATTGTTGCTTATAATTTTTAATGGAATTAAGCTCTTCAGATACCTTACCCATTACACTAGGTGATAATACCCCCGTTCTGCATTCAGAAAGTGTTATTCTAGTACGTTTCCTTGGTTATCAACAGAATTCTGGTTATAGCCCCATTACTTCCTGAACACTTTCTGTGGAGACCTCTGGTCCTGATTACTATCGATGTAACCAAGAGAGAAATTATACTTTCCACATACCATTTTTGGAGTGTTTGTTCACTTAATCAGCTAACATTAATTGAGCACATACTGTGTGCTAGATACTATACCCAGTGTGGAGGTGACTGAGAAAAGTCTTGCCTCAAAGAACCTCACAGGCACTGGGAGATAAATAGGCAGTGACAATGTCGGGTGCAAGGACAATGATGGGGCTAGAGAGTGAGATGGCATAGAGAAGGTTCCTTTAACCAGGCCCGGCATGGCCAGACAAAACTTCTGGAAGGAAGTAATGCTAAGCTGGATTTTGAGGGATGAGTTGGAACTGTCTCCTATAAAACAGAAGATGATCTCAGTATTTCTGAATACTTTTTCTCTTCTTTTTCCAAACTATTTTAAGTGTTTAAAAAATGTTCTTAGAAAAGAGAAGATATTAGTGAATAAATGCCCCTCTAGTTAGTCTAATTTTTAAATGAATTTTTAGTTATATCTGATTTGCTAACAGGAGGACATACCCAAACTGTGTTTAACACATTGACTGCCACACTAGAAAAAAAAATTTTTTTCCCTGGGGCCATGGTATTTTATTACAGAAATAGAATAAAAACTTTGAAAAACAAAATGATCCTTTCTAATTTAGTGAAAGATATATTTTTTATTATTTTCTGTATGTGAGAGTTATATGCAAGCTGAAAAATAGTTCACTCGGTTCCCAAGGTGAAAAGAGGCATGAGTTACATGTGCTTCACGAGGCCCCAGGCTCAAAACTAGCATGAGTTAAATACAACTCACATGGCAGTTAATGTGTTAATGATGTGAAAGAAAGAGACAGCAAAAAAGGGTACATTCTGGATATTCAGTCACAAAGGGAATATTATTCGTTTGCCCCTCCAGAGTGTTCTCATTGATGAAGAGACTGCAAGTCGACTGAAGTCCGTGATCAACACGACTCTGATTATCACCAACATCCCCTACATCATCATGGCCCTGGGCGTGCTCTTTGGCATGATCTTCACCTGGCTGGCATGCAAGGGACAGGGATCCATGGATGAGGTGAGTACTGGTTGCAGGAGCTTCTCCCTTCCTAGGTAACTTTACCTGAGGAATTCCTCAACTGTGCTTCATTGAGGGGTGGCCAGCTGGCTCGTTAGGATGGATTCTGGGGTTTATGCTGGGCCTGGTGACTTTGTGGTTATATTAATATTACTGTTGGACCAAATGGAAAGCAAAGGAAGTGTGGCAAGGAAGGCAGAGTGATAGAATAGTACCAGCTATTTAGGGAATGGAACTCCTGGATGTAGCCCCTGGGAGTTAACTTTATGTCTTAAAAAAACAATAGCCTGAAAAGAAAAGGAAGAAATGTAGCTGTTAAGCACTTGGGCTTTGGTGTCAGACTGCCTGGGTTCAAATCCCACATCTGCCACTTAACAGCTGCATGACCCCATCTGTCAATGGGGTAGTAAGAGCCTCCCTTGTGAGTTTTTTGTGCGGATTAGCTGGTGTAGTAAACATAAAGGTCCAGTGTTAGTGTGTAGTAAGAGCTCACCAAACATTATTTTTATTAAATATGATAAAACAGCTCCAAGATTATAGAGCAAGGCAGCCAGAGACCTGCTTCAAATGCATCCCTGATGTATCAGAAGATACCTATGATTGAGTATAATAAACAATTGGAACATAGGAATGGTCACTTTCCTGGAGGGATGGGACAAGAAATTGGGTTGGCCTCCTGAAGTGACGTAGCCCAGCCAGGAGTCTAAATACCTCCAGTGACTGTTTTCTGTAAGAGCCCTTCTTAAATTCTTAATAAATTCTCTTTTTGCAACAAAGGCATTTTTTTCTCCTAGTCACCTCAGCTAAGTGTCTGAGGCAACTGTGAAGTAGAAAATATCGAGTTTCCCTGAAAATAAGACTGGTAAAATACGCCCAAGCAAGATTTCTAAGCATTTGTGCAATATAAGCCCTACCCCCAAAATAAGCTCTAGTGATGGGCGTGGCTACACAGCTCATTGGCACAATCTATGCATTTCGTCGTGGAGCAGCAAAGAAGACCAGCAGCCCTTCTCATCTGTCCCATGAGAGCTCTATTGGTCCGCATGAGAGACTGGGGCCAGTGGTTCTAAAGGAAATAGAGTCACAAGAAATTCAGGATGGAATTTGGGGTTTGGAGAGTTATGATGTTCCAGAAGAAGATGACTTAACTATATTTGAATAAATATAGATTGCTGAACCGTACTTAAAAAAAAATAACACATCCCCTGAAAATAAGCCCTAGGGTAGTCTTCTTGAGAAAAACTAAACATAAGACCCTGTCTTATTTTCCGGGAAACTCGGTACATAGGTTGAAACCATCTGAGTAAAGTCAGCTTGGATGTCCCTGTATTCCACACCTTTCATTATTTCTCTTAACCCATGCCAGTCTCTAGCCTGAATGGGCCATGAGGCAAAGTATTTTGCCTTTTTATTTTTATTTTTTTTTAGACATAGGCTCACTCTGTTGCCATGGCTAGAGTGCCGTGGCATCAGCCTAGCTCACAGCAACCTCAAACTCCTGGGCTCAAGCGATCCTCCTGCCTCAGCCTCTCAGGTAGCTGGGACTACAGGTGCACCACCACGCCCTGCCAAGTTTTTCCATTTTTTGTAGAGATGGGGTCTCATTCTTGCTTAGGCTGGTCTTGAACTCCTGAGCTCAAACAATCCTCCTGCCTCAGCCTCCCAGAGTGCTAGGATTACAGGTGTGAGCCACCGCGCCCGGCCATTTTGTCATTTTTATCTGTGGATCTTTCAGTCTGACTTTGTATAGTCACTGAGATTTTCTTAAGCACAAGTGAAGCCCCATGGAAATGTTAATTACTGCTCCTCCAATTAACCATCTTCATGTATTCAACAAGCAAGCAATTGTTGAGTGCCTGTTACATCTGAGCCACTGTTTCCTAGTAGGTTTCAAATCAGGAAGGAGGCAGATTCAACGGTGCGTGGCAAGTGTTTGGTCCAGGCCAGCTCAGGGAGGGTGCTGCTCCGGCACTGGCGGTGCAAGCGTCCGAGAAGGCCTTCTGGATAAGGCTGGGCGTGAATCTTACACAAAAGAAGAATCAGTGGCCGGGGATGGTGGCTCACGCCTGTCATCCTAGCACTCTGGGAGGCCGAGGTGGGAGGATCACTTGAGCTCAGGAGTTCGAGACCAGCCTGAGCAAGAGTGAGACCCCGTCTCTACTAAAAATAGAAAGAAATTAATTGGACAACTGAAAATATATAGAAAAAATCAGCCAGGCATGGTGGCGCATGCCTGTAGTCCCAGCTACTCGGGAGGCTGAGGCAGGAGGATGGCTTGAGCCCAGGAGTCTGAGGTTGCTGTGAGCTAGGCTGATGCCAGGGCACTCTAGCCTGAGCAACAGAGTGAGACTCTGGCTCAAAAAAAAAAAAAAGAAGAAGAAGAAGAAGAAGAATCAGGCCAAAGAGGGCTGTGGGATGAACCATCTTCCTATCAGTCTTTTCCTCCACTCTCCTCCACACGCCTCGCCCCAACTCTTCGCAGTGTGTAGAAGTTTCTGATGTTAACACTTAACTTCCCCTTCGTTCCTCTTCCGTGTCTCAGGGAACAGCAGATGAAAGAGCACCCCTCATACGAACCTAGCCGTTGCCCACGCCTGGTGAAGGGACCGTGGGAGCTGTCCTGACCCGGACCAGGGCACGGGAGGCCTCCGCAGCCTCGCGGGCTCGCTGCCCCGGGAAGGAGGGGAGAGGCGCGTGCTGGCAAGTGAGGACGGCGTTCTGGCCAGCGGCTAAAGGACGGGCTGGCTTGGCTGGCCACTATGCTTTGTCAAATCAAATGTGGTCTCTGAAATTGTCTTTTACATGTCTGGCAAGTATTTAATAAACCCCTGTACAGTAATTTTGTTGTTGCTGGGTGCCAGTAGCCAGAGTATTATGACCACTGTCATGGAGAAAATGTCTCCGCATCACTTGTTAGTGCTATTTGGTCTAACTTTATTCACTACGCTTCATTCATCAAACTCTGTGCTCACAATCCACACATGCCATTTTATTGTATTCCTCCACTTCACTCCCACAGCAGAAGTAAGAAAGAGTTCGGAACCCAGGGAAAAATGGTAGCCTCACCTGATATATCATTCAGATGCATCTAGTTTTTTCTTTAAGACATTACACATGGCATTGTATGCTAATCTTCAGTTCTTAATTCCTCCAGGAATATAACTCGGTCTTCTAGCTACTCTTATACTGTAGGAATCAAGTGGAGAAGGGGTGAGTAGAGGGATACCAATGAATTAATAGTAACAAGCTCCTAAGGATTTTTAACTTGTCCTTTTGTGAACCAAGAGAGAGCATAAATAATGCTGGCAAGGATAAGTACAGATATTTCATGTAGAGTAGAACTAAGTGCTAGTTATGACGCTTGTGGATAGTTGACTATTATTTTGTCGTGAAAATGATCTTGATGTGGAAAGACGCTTCTGGGAGAACATAGTAACTGATTTCTTTCCCCAGTCACTCTTGCCCACTGTGGTACTGGATTAATTAATATACTACTGAGTGATCATTTGCAAAATTATGAATATAGGAAATCCATCCTTCTACAGCATAAGTTACACATACATTTCAGGAAGTCTGATGAGACTAAAGAGACATTTCTTCTGGGACAGTCTTTTCGGTAACATTGAAATTGTTTCTGTAAGTTCTTTCCTTGGGTTCAGTTCCTTCCAGTCTTTTGCGGCTCACTCCCACTCACGGAGTAGAGTAACTTGTGCTCTCTACTTCCTGTGACAATCATTTTGCTGATAGAATGACAGAAGTTTATGACACTATACAGAAAGTACTTTAAAGAAAAATCCCTTGGGACCAGAAGCAGAGCCATCTTCTTCAAAAGACTTCCTGGTTTCAGCGTAACCTAAGTCACGGGAATTAGGGACCATCATATGTCACAGCATTCAGAATTCTAGCATATTTAAACGTATTTTCTTTGACTCTCAAAGTTCACCATTCATTTTTAATTGAGAAGCCTATATAGTTATCTGGCAATGTGCTTACAGAATTTTTTAACAACAGAATCATTCTAAGGGATTTTTTGTTTAAACCTGGATTTCAATGAAAGCAAATGAAGGGAAAAAATCATAGATTTGACTTACATAGTTTCTCATCCCTGTTTGGAGGTAATACATTGCTTTAATTTATGAGCCCCAATTTTTCTTCTCTCTACACTAAAGCAATATGTGATTTGTTTCCTGCATCATTAGACTCTCAACTTTTCTATAAATCAAGATAGAACCTTTAGATATCCTAATTCACTAAAATGTGAACAACTAAATAAAAAATATTTGGTCTTCAATAATGTTAAATACATAGATTTTTTTGAATTTGTCAATGATTAGATCATTGGAATATCTTATTTATGCATGTACTTATCCACATTAATAAAACCGATAAACCTGTGCATGCTTATTTGTTCAGTGTTGTTATCAGGATATAATCATCTGAGAGGAGGACATTTTAAATACTGTAAATGGTAATAGTTGATGATGTGCACATTTAGACTGAGTCCCACACAGGCAGGGAGACCAAAAGCATATTAATTCCATATTTGTATCATGTTTGTTAATCGTAACTTGGCCCAAATCACATTTGGTGTTTTCCTTCTGAAAAGTCTGAGGCAAACCTATAAATTGCAGTCAAAATTACAGATTGGTTAAGAAAAATGAACCTATTGTTCTATTGGGTTATAGATTAAAAATAACAAACTCTTCCTTGTGCTCATTCTCTTGCAGCCATTATCCTGGAAGGATCCCAAAGGCTTTGTGCCTGTCAGTCGTCACGATCACAGAACACAGGTGTCCCATACCATGACACTCAACCTAGAGAGGGAGAAACCAGACAGAGAGCTTCACTTACTTCTCTCAGGGAAAATTGAGAGTTGAGCACAGAACAGGAAATGGGCTTTGCCACTTTTAGCCCCAGGCTTTTCCCACTAAAGTTTATTTCCTTATGTTCTAGAAAGATCACTAAGGGTCAAGTGGAACAAGTACTACATGACTAACCCCTATTGGGGTTTTTACTTAAGGGAGGGTAATTTTTAATTTAAATTGCTCTGGATGTGAGTTCTGCAAAAGGTGATCCTCACACTTGGCCCTCTGGGCATTTGATCGGAGTAAATTGCTTGTGCCTGTTAAAGAGAATACTGACCGGAATGCTCTTCATGTAGCTTCTACATTTGATTGATTTCATGTGACTCTTGACATGTTTATTTCTACCCTTAATGCAATGAAATGTTTCACTAATAAAAAAAAAAACTATATATAAAATTGCACCAGTAGTCATGTCATCAGATGTCCAGTTGTCTATGGAGTCTCGTTTGAAAGATGTTCCTTGACAAATGCAGCTCAGAGTCACACCCCTCAGGCCACCTCTGATTCCAGCTCAGCTGCAGTGGACAGTCATAGGCAGCTGGTAAGTTCCACTCCCAGCAGGTCCCACATTTTGCTTTTCTGTTTCAGGGCTTTTTCCACAGCCTGGGAAACCCCATGTAGCCTTCAACCAAAGGGGGCAAGAGTTCACTGATAAATGTTCCACTTCTTAGAAGAACTCTTCTCAGGCTCCTTCTTTGTGGTCCATCAAGTAGGACTGCTCACAGTGGTAACTGCTTTCCATGAGTCCTGTCTCACTCTCCCCGCCCTCTCACTGCTTCCTCCCAAATCATCTACCTACACTAACATCTGTCTGCACTATCTTAACTCAGGTCTGCTTCCAGGTAAACCCAACTAAAATCAGATGAGTCATCCGAAGGGCTCAGTAGGATCAGAGAGCTATCGAAGAGGTACAGAAGCCCCAGCTTTTGTTTCTGGGGACATTTGGACTAAAGTTACTAGTACAAAAATTCAGATTATCTTAAAACCTTTCCCATCCCAATACTGCATCTTATTTTTGAAGTCAGCAAATCCAGATCAGTCTTAAAATATCTAACTCAGGCCAGGCATGGTGGCTCACACCTGTGATCCTAGCACTCTGGGAGGCTGAGGTTGGAGGATCGCTTGAGCCCAGGAATTTGAAGTGGCAGTGAGCTATGATAATGCCATGGCACTCTAGTCTTGACAACAGAGCAAGACCTTTCTCAAAAAAAAAAAAAAAGAAAAGAAAAAAGAAAACAGAAGATGTAGCTCAGTGTTACAAATGATGTGGCAAAATTAAAGAATACAGGATAATTTGTTACAACATTGTTTATGATAACTAATGATTGGAAACACACAAGGGTTTGGCTAAATAATTTGTTGCATTTATACAAAGGAATACTATTTAGCCATGAGGTGGGAACAAAAAAAGCTCTTTATGTGCTGGTAAGACCTCAAAGATAAATTACATGAAAATGCACAATTCAGAACATAATTCATGCACAGTTTATCCAGTAAGTGTTTAGAGTGGACAAACATGCACACAAACAGCCTCAAAGATTTATCACCACAGTCTTCATCATAACCTGTCCCAAATAGTTTTCTTGCTAAGATTAAATACGTATTTAAAATCTCTTACCTCCAGTACATACACAGGAAAAGGAATGGAATATATTGGGCATGTGAAAATCATGTTCACTTCCAGGCAATGGAGAATGGAGAGTTTCAGTGTCCTTCATTCCAGCATGTATGGAATATGTATGCGACAATTTGAGTAAAGAAAAAGAAGGCTAGAATACACAAATACATGTAATTTGCACAAAATATTTCTAGGAAGATACATTAAAAAATAATATTGGTTATGTCTGGGAAAATGTATAGGGATGGAGGAAGATTTTTCACTCTAAACCTCTTATCATTTTTGAAATTGTAAATGGGTTACCTGTTTAAAAAATTAAATAATGCTAATAGTGGATATTGCAGGAGTCCTAGTGAGGGTGTAGATATGCAGATGAGGACAACAGGAACGAAGCCTGAGGACGGATTGATTGACTGGATGTGGAGGGGAGGGAAAGAAGGAGTCTAGCATTAGTCCCTGATTTCTGGCTTCTACAGCGGGATAGATTGTGAATGCCATTTTCCAGTAATGGGAGTTTGGGAAGAAGACAAGAAAAATGAGTTCCTTTCTTTAGATACTGTGTTTGAGAAAGCCTGGCTGGGGATATCCGCAGATATTTGGATGTGTGGGGCTGAAGTTGAAGAAAGAAGCCCACGTTTGGATTGCAGTTGAAGTCAAGGAAGTAAATGGAATTGACAGGGAGAGAGTATCAAGGGAGAAGAGGTTGCAGCTAAGTGCCAGTATTAGGAAGAGAGCAGAGAGCCCTCAAGGGAGTGGCGGATAGTAGCCAAATCCAGCCCACTGCCTGTTTTTGTAAAATACGGTTTTATTGGAACACAGACGCATCATTTGTTCATGTGTCTACAGCTACTTTCATTGCTGCAAGAGAAGAATAGAGTAGTTGTGATAAAGCATATGGCTTACGAAGAGAGGCAATCAGCAAAGAGTTTGGGGTTGAATTGGTGATAAACACATGGGACAATTAAACAATGTTGTTTGAGAAAGGAAACGTAGTAAAAAAGGTTTACTACAGGAGTCAATTGTAGAAAGTTTCCATGTAATCCCAATAATGTAAATTGAATATTGATCTAGCCAAAATTATGGAATAACTATATTGTAAAATGCCAGAAAAAGGAAAAGCTGAAATAAAAAAGTTTTAAAGCCCAAAGATAGCTACAGGATGGACATATAGGTAATAGAAACTGGGCCTGTGAACTACACTGAACTCTCACTTCCCAGGATGGGATCTGTCACATATATTAACACACTGACTGCACCCCTGCCTACCAGATGAGGCTCAAAGGCAAGCTAGGATCAACCATCCCTCTCCAGACCCTAAGATGCCTACGCACCCCTTTTTATTCCATATACATTAACCACGTATTGGCTTTATCTTGCATGTAATGTCACTGAGAACCACTCAGAATTGTAAGAATGTCACCTTTGCCTCACTGCCCCCTTCTCCCATTTTCTGTGTAGCAAAACATACAAACACTGAGCCTCACGTAGCCCACTCCAGGGTGAATTCTCGGTTTGCTAAGTTTGTGTTCTTGGGCTGTGGTTCTCAACTTGGCTCAGAATAAAATGAACATTTCTTTAAGTTTATGGGGCCTGTTGTTTTAACCTTATTTTGATTCGGTGTGTGTAGGGCAGGGGAGCAGGAAAGAGCCCAATCTTCGCCCTCCAGGGTGGGGAGTCAGGGGCGATGCTCAAACTAAAATTCACCAGGCAGCAGGTCATCTGGAGTCAAGGGGGTAAATTAAAAAACAAAAAAAGGTTGAAAGAGGTGCTTCTGGGAGTGGTGCCTGCTTTTCTTCATTTTTAATAATACGCCTTCTAGAACTGTTTGATTCTTAAAACTATGTGCTTGTAGGTATGACTTTAATAAAAGTAAAAACAAACAAACAATAACAAAAAAGCCCTTGCATCTATGAAAATTACAATTGTCCTTTGACTCAGCGATGCCGCTTTTGCCCTCAGGCGGCACACCTCGCGGGCTCCCCAGCGTCTCACCACAGCTGTGCTACCTGACGCCACGTGAAGCCATAAAGGCCCCGGAAGCGAGCCGGGCCGGGGCACGTTCCCGCCGCACCATACACCCAGCTCCGCCCGCGCGGCGGCGTCTCAGCCTCTTAGGCTGGGCCGGAAAGGAGGCGGAACGCGGCGACACGGCTCGCGGTTTCCCAGCCGGACCGAAAAGCGGAGCGCACCGAGCGTCGCGGGAGCATCGCGCCGGCCCTCTGCTCTCGCGACATGGCCTTCAATTTTGGGGCTCCCTCGGGCACCTCGGGCACCGCTGCGGCCACCGCGGCTCCCTCGGGTGAGTGGCTCCCCACCCCTGGCTCTTCTCCGGGGAAAAGAGGGGGGACGTGTCTGGTCCGCCCCCCTCGGTCCGAGAATTTCCGGCTTGGGGATCCCAGGGTCTCCCGCCCGCGCGGAGCCTCGAGGGGCGGCGGGAAAGGGCGGGCGGCTCCCGGGGCGGCCGCGGGGTGTTCGAGGTCCAGGGGGCGCTCACGGCGCGTGGTCCCCGCGGGCCCCGTCCCGCCGCCGGGGAGTTCGACTCGGAGAGATGGGCGGCTACTCCCCTGTCCCCTTCTCTCGCGTGGCTGGGGACAGGGCTGGCGAACCGGGGCGCTGCCTGCGGCCCCCGGCCCACCCCAGCGGGGCGGGAGCCGTCGCCGCGGCCCCCGGTGTTCCTGGGCGTGGGTTTCACGCTCCTGCTCCTTCTGTCTGTCCCACCTCCTCTGCTTTCTTGACCTGTTGGAGCGAAGTCACATTTGTTCGCTTCTGCGAAGCCTTCTGCTGACTCTTGTAATCCTTATCTTGCTTTCTTCTTTTTCTTTTTCTTCTTCTTCCCTTTCTCCCCTTTTTTTTTTTTTTTTTTTTTACAATTTTGTTTGTTTCTTTGCCTACACGCCTATCAGGATTTGGTGGGCTTGAGACTGCCAACTCCACCGCCAGTGGGTTTAATTTTGGGGGTTTCGGATTAACTGCTAATCCTGCAGTGAACTTTAATATTGGGAATTTCGGTGTTTCTACTACCTCGGCGACTCCGTTCAATTTTGGTAACAGTCTGGCGAGTGCAGGTAGATACTGCGGGTCGTATGTGTAACCAGTTGTTGGGAGCCGGAGTCCAAGAATATTGCGTGATTCCTGGAGTTTGGGGAAGAACAGTGACTTCTCTAATAAGGAAAGGAAATTCATTTCCTTATATTGAATCAAAAACATTTGTATTAAGTTTTGACTGTAAAAGGTGGTTTTGAGAAGACTTGCAACTTATAATATTCTCCTGTTAAATTTGCACTTAATTGAAAAGAATGTATCTTCCAAATGATAAGAATTTGGATTATAATTTTGGGTAAAATATATATTTTAAGTTATGAGATATGTCTTCCAAAATATAAGCTCACCAGTCAGGCCTGTTTTCCTGGGTTCTTGGACTCCTGCAGTCATTTGTCATTTTTCTGCATCTTTCATTGGGATTTCATGTTATTGTCCTTGTGTTTCCAAAGAGAAACAAGTCTTATACGAACAGCAGTAATCTGTCTTGTTTTTTAACCTGTATGATAATGATAATAATGTATTTCTTTGGTTGACTCAGCAGATTAGGATACATTTCTATAAGGTATGTGATTATAGAAAGAATCCCCAGTTCTTCACTGGATTTTTGGGATATGCTCAGAGAGCAGCTTGATTTATTGTCAGATAACATTGAGTTCTAAAAGGTAGGCTAGATATCAATCACTACATTCTAAAAGATAATTATGAAGATATTTGTATCTATATGGATTGTGTGAAACTGATTAAAAATTTTGCAAAACACAAACTGCAATGGAGATATATATATCAATTAAAAATAGATTTATATGTACTTTCCATTCAAGGGCCCTATAGAAAAATCTTGTTCTTCAGCTGCTCGTATATGAATTTATCGCCCATATTCTCTTACATTATGCCTCTTATGCCCATGCCAATTATATGCATTTGGTAAACATCATTTGTTCCCTAAAACTTATTTGAGAAGTCTGGTATTTTGTTCATTCACTTGTTACAGCAATGTGAATATCAGCCTAACATCTGAGTTGAAAACAGTTTGAAGAATATTTGAAAATGCCAAAGGTAAAATAATCTGTTATCATTTAAGATATATTTGAAGTGATTATGTATCATTATCCTTTGGTATGTTTATTTTTTCCTGTTTGCTTAAAATTGGCACTGGGTAAAACAGAAACCTTATTTTGAAATGTGTGTTATGAATAAAGCCACTCAACTCATAATTCAACAGCAATAAATACACCTGTTGGTATTCGCTTGATTTCATCTTCATTTGAAGTTATCACCGTTAAGTTTTAGTTACGATAATATAACTGTTTTAACTACTTTTTTATGTGTTTATTAACTTAGCTTGCAGCAAAGGGCTGATAGAAATTCTTGTGTATATTTTATTTTGTTTCTTTGCAGATCTGTTATTAGTAATAAAACATTTTTGGTGTTGTGGAGCATAAGATATGAACTAATATTTTTATTGAGTAGCCAATTCAGATTATATCATAGTTATTCTATGGAAGTGAGGAGTAATGAAAAGAGATTAAGAACAATGCTTAATACTTTAGGTGATTTTTATCAAAATCTTTACAGTTTGCAGTACTGCAGTAGAACCTACAAATAAATAGAATGTGGCTGCATGCAACAAGCAGTCTATTCTTAAGTAGTTTTCTAAAAATTATGTGATTAATGTCAAATGGTTGTGTTTTTCTTATCTTTAATGTTAAAATATTGATGAATCTGTCATGTATACTAGAAATATATGCGCTCAAAGGGAGAATCCCAGAAAAACCTGTGGCATAACTCAGCACTAATGGCTCAAACATTTGTCTTGAAAGGCTTTTTGACACCCCATTGATAATTAGCTGAAGACTGAAACTGAGTTAAAAATAATAAAAACAGTTTTGGATTGGCTAGCATTCCATTTATATGTCAAGTGAGATATAGCTGAGAGTAATTTCTTCTCTAGACTTATCTAAAAATTTGTCTGAGTTGCCAAACTGTGGTGGTGCGGAGGCCTGTGGGAGCTCTGCTGCCCGCCCTGCCTCCACCTGTGTTGTTTCTTTGCCTTTATCTCTTCCTTCAAGAAACACATTCTTTTTGCATAGAGGTAAGCATATTGATATGTTTCTTTTGAAAAGTTACTTAGTCTTGAAACCGACTAAGTAGAAATATAAGCTAATGTAGATATAAATTAATTTACCAAAACCAAGGTTGCAACTGGAATAAGTTTGCCTATGTGACATGTTTGGAATACTATTTTTAAACCATTTGAATTAGTTGCAAAAAAATAGTTGAATTAGAGCTTAAAAACCAATGAATTTTACATGGAAAATCCAGTTTTCTATTTCTCTTGGGGGAAAATGGAAGTATATGGCACTAGTAAAGTACCATTCTTCTGTAATAGTAATATACTGGAATTTAGGAATTGCAGCTATTTTTTAAACAAACTGTTCGCTTTAAACAGTTCCACCTGTCAGTAAACACATGGTCTGCTCATTAATCTTATAAATCTAAATCTTGTAGGCATTTGAATTTGCAACCCCTAATCTAAAAGCACATATATAGTAAGCTTCGAGTTATGGCAATAGTCTTAACACGTTTTCTTGGATGTTACTATTAATCACCCCTTTAGTTGAAGAGTATATAAGCATTTTGATTTTTCTATCTTAAATACTTAGTCACTTATATCTTGCAACATTGACTTCTTGGTTAGTAGTATAGTTTTTTTAAAAATTGATGTTGAAAATAGAGAAAGGAAAAACCAGATAAATATATTTTGATTTAATATGTAGCATTTACTTATACTTTGAAAAAGAAATTGCCTTTATGTATACAAAATATTTTTCCTTTCTATTTTCATCCTTTTCTAATTAGGTGGGTTTGGAGGATTTGGAACAACATCTACAACTGCAGGCTCAGCATTCAGCTTTTCTGCCCCAGCTAACACAGGCACTACTGGTAAGAAGCCATCTTAAGTCATTTGTAGTAGTAAATGAGGTAGAGATTAGGGGTTTTTGGGTTTTGTTTGTTTTTTTTAACTTATGCAATTCCAATTTTTCATTGAAAGGACTCTTCGGTGGTACTCAGAACAAAGGTTTTGGATTCGGTACTGGGTTTGGCACAACAACAGGAACAAGTACTGGTTTAGGTACTGGTTTGGGAACTGGACTGGGATTTGGAGGATTTAATACACAGCAGCAGCAAAGTAGTAAGTACGATGTTTTCGTCTTCAAATATAAAACTGTAACAATAATAGCTAACATAATTGAGTGCATTGTTTGATATACTTTAGTGGATTATCTTTTTTTTTTAAGAATTGTAAATATTCTAAAGGACTCCCTAAGCTACTTTTCATGTTTATATATAATAGCAGCTGGGGAGAAGACTGAAACCTTTGTTGTTGTTAAAAATAGAGAAAACTGCACGAAAGTACAGCTTAATGGATTATATACGAGTGTAACACCCTGGTGACCATTGCCCATGTCAGGAGATGGACCTTGGCTGGCCACTTCAGAAGCCCACCCCGTTCCCTTCCCAAACACTTCCCCAGCAGGGGAACTGCGGTCCTGTGTTTCATGGTGATCATTTCCTTACTTTTCTTTATAGTTTTGTCAGTCAAGTATGTAAACAGTATTGTTTAGTTTTGCCTATCTTACATCTCTATGGGTTCCCCTTTTATTTCTCTTTTATATTTTTTAATTTTTTGGAGAAATCAGATCATTTGTCCTTTAGAGCTGCGGTCCCCAACCATTTTGGTGCCAGGGACCAGCTTCATGGAAGACAATTTTCCCATGCACTGGGGATGGGGTCAGGGTGGAGCTCAGAGCTCAGGCGATAAGCCGCCACTGACTGGTAATGGGCCACAGCCCAGGGATTGGGGACCTCAGAGTTTTTAGTCAAGATTTTACCAATTACGTTGCCATAGTATAGCTTAGCATATTCCTTTGTCCTGTATGTTTCTTTTTTAAATAAAAGGTCTCATATTTATTACTGAACCAGCTTATTAGTACAGGGCATATAAACAGAGAAAAATCACTTTTCCCAATGAAATGTGTCTGTCTGGATAACAGTGAGATTTCCAACTTGATATGGTAAGATGATAGTGACCTTGATACAGCATAAAACATGTGTGCCATTATATCGTGTACAATTCCTTATAGAACCAGCTTGGTTTTTCTCCAGTGTCTCCTCTTGGAATTGTACCTGATTTTATTGCCAGTTTTCATACGAATCCATTGGGGAATGGGATGGTTTTGCTTCTGTTTCTTGGCCAGAAAACGCTTGACTCTGAAAGTCTTGTGAGAAGACATGGCGAGAGAGTCAAACGCACGCAGCACGATGGCGGACGAAGGGAGAAAGATATGTTTCTCAATAATTGGGTTGTATCTGGGGGCTTATTCATATTGATCAGTTTTTTGTTTGCAAAACTATTTTATAGGTATTATGTTCTTTATCAAGAGGCATATAATGTCTAATTGTCTCTTTTGTATGTGATGTTAGCAGCCATGGGTGATTATTACCTAGATCCATTAATTCATTAGAGGTTACAAAATGGTGCTATTCTACCTCAATTCTTTTTCCATTTATTTGTTGAAATACTTTTATAAAGAGAAGCTTCACCTCATGTATTTGATCCTTTCCTTTGTTCATAGTTTTCAAAATAAAGAGTTGGTTGTCTAGCATTTTCCAAAGGTGACCAATTTTTTTTTAATGTCAGTAACACAAGCATTTGAACTATTTATTTTTTAATCCGTTGCAGTTGTTATTCTTATCGATGCTTAAGTTATTCCCTCTTCAGCCAACGCGAACCTCTTCAAGCTGGCTCCCAAGTCCCATTGACACAAGTCTGGTATCAGTCTTTGATAGCTTCCTTATTAGCTGGTATGGCCGTAAGTTCCAGGAGTTATCTTGTATGAATTAACTTATTTAATTCTCACAAGAACTCTGTGAAATGCACTGTTGCTATCCCTATTTCATGGGTGAAGAGACGAAACTGAGAGATTGTGACTTATCCTTACATCTCTTAAGGAGTACAGGAGCATAAATTCAAGTTCCTTGACTCTCTGTGTAGTGCTCTCTTCACTTGTCCACAGTCTGGTACCTCTTAAAATCATTTTTGTTTCATTTTTCTTAGGTAACTTAATTAACTGGGTAAAATCTATCCTACTCATTCATTGAAGATTAATAATTAAACATGAATTTCAAGGATTACCTAACCAATAGGATAAAGATAATAGTTGTGTCAGAATTCTTTCTGGTGTTCCAGTCATTCTTTTCTACAGTCCTGCAAAAATACAAAGTTCAATAAAAAAAAGTTCAATGAAATGTCCAAGTAGTTAAGGAGAGAAAAGCAAATATAAAGTATTTGTTTCTTGAAATGAAGTCTCTCCAACTCTGAGTAATTGTAATTGCAATTACTGTTGATGGGGAAAAATGGGAATTTGAATCTGATGCTGTTTTAGAAATGAAAGGGGCTCATTCAGTTACGTCATAGCTGTTTATTGTATATATTGTATGTCAGGCGCTGATGTATAGAGGTGAAAACCATAAGCCCTGCTCATAGTCTACCAGGAGATTCCAGGGTTATTAACATCGACAAAGGCATGGATTCATGGAAGAGCATAATGCATTTGGGACCCGCAGCTTGGTCAGTATAGTTTTAATGCATAATTGACCTCAGGGTCACTGGTGAAAGTTGGGGAGAGAGAGATGAACTGGTTTATGAGGGGCCTTGTGTGTTTTAATAAGTAGCTGTCCTTTAAGCATGTATGAACCATTGTAAGATTTAGCTTACATAAGAAAATTATCAGATTTTTAGAACTTTCTGAGAGAATGGATAGGTTACAGGTGGGCTGGAATAGAGGCAGGGATGCTTGTTCTGACGCTGTTGCCAAAACCCTAAGTAAGAAATAGCGAAGACCTGAATTAAATTAAGGCAGTGGTAGTCAGTAGTGGAGAGAAAAAAACAGGAGATGGAGTTGAGAGATTTAAATTGTAGAATCAATAAAACTTAATGACTGGATAAAGGTATCTTGGACTCATGGACGGCATGACTGACAGAGCTCTTGCTCTTCACTAAGACACAGAACACCAGAGCAAGAGCCGGTGTTTGTAGGTAGTTTGAGTTGCCCCTCTGTGGTTGTATATGTGGCTGTGAACTCAGGAGAAATATAAGAAAACCATCGCTGCTTTAAACAGTCGATACGGATGATGTCATTTAGGAAACTTGATTCCAGAGCAATATTGAGTAGGCAGAGGAAGAGAGCCGCCACGGGTACTGCCTCTCTCGGTTGACAACACCCGTGAATGAAGAGGAACAGACGCTCAGCTTTCCCTACAACCACCAGACCTCTTTTTCAAGCTAAAGCACTGATTTTTCCAGAATAGTCCAAAAGACTGTGGAGTCTTTAGACAACTGATATTTGCTGCTCTTTTCCGTCAGCTCTCTATGGCCTCCATTTCAGTGACTCTTGCCAGTGTGCTAAACTTACTGTTTTTGTACCACATGTGCCTGAAAATCCCCCAAGTCTTTGTAAGCCCAACTGTGTATTCAGATACTGCTTAAGAAAAGTCACATGGTATGGAAGATTGAATAGTACTTCTAAATTCTTGATTACCAACCTTAGGCCTCAACATTGCCTGGTAATCCTGTGAAGTTTCTATTTTTGATTTATTCTCTCACTTTCTATAATGATTACTTTAAACCTTTAGTGCCTTCAAATCTCAAATTTCTGTGTTCTTGCTTTTAGCAGATAGCCTTGACCCCTGCTTGAAAGAGAAAATAGAATCTTGCATTGTAATTCCTTCAAATTCCCACCGTGAAATCTTTCTCTTCCTCTCCCTACTACTCATCCTTTCCTCTTTTCAACTGTGCTTAGGAACCCATGACCTCCTACCTTCTTTAGGCCCTTGTGCTGTTGATTATTCTGGCTGTCTTCAGTTTTCTCCTCAGTGGTCCTTCTCATCCACATTTAACACATTGCCACACTAGAAAAAAATTTTTTCCTTGGGGCCTTAGTGCTTGATTATGAAAATAGAATAAAAACTTTGAAAACAAAATGATCCTTTCTAATGTAATGAAAATGAAATTTATTGACTTCTATTTAATCCGTGTTTTTAGAATTAATTTGTCAATATTAACTGTAACAGTAAGAACGTCAACAGATTTTCATGAACCAGCTGCAGGGTTTTGCCCAGGGCTTGCTTCGAGGCCCTGGGCTCAAAACTAGCATGAGTTAAATACAACTTATGTAGCAGTTAATGTGTTAAAAACCTGAAGTTTCTTTTTTCTTATATTGGTAATACCAACAAGAAAAAATGACTTTTATCTCACATTTCACTTCAGCTGCCACTCTTCTCCCCTTTACAGACTACTCGAAATAGTTGTTAGAGAAGAGCAGGATCCCCTACTTCTGTCTCCTGTTCCCTCTTAGCCCACGATAATGTGGTTTCTATTTTCTTTACCAAACAGTTAAGGTCGTTAATCATGTCAGTAAATCCAATGAACGCTTACTGTTCTTTATGAAAAATTCCAACAAAGAAAGAATAGTGACGTGAACCTTTGTGTGTCCTCCAGCGAGTCATCAAAAGTCAGAATTTGCCACATTTGTTGTCTATTTCCTTTTTCCCTTTTTTTCCTTGTGTGCTGACGTACTTTAAAGCAAATCCCGGCCAGGTGAGGTGGTTCATGCCTGTAATTCTAGCACTCTGGGAGGCCGAGGTGGGTGGATCGTTTGACCTCTGGAGTTCTAGACCAGCCTGAGCAAGAGCGAGACCCCGTCTCTACCCAAAATAGAAAGAAGTTAATTGGACAGCTAAAAATATACAGAAAAAATTAGCCGGGCATGATGGCGCATGCCTGTAGTCCCAGCTACTTGGGAGGCTGAGGCAGGAGGATTGCTTGAGCCCAGGAGTTTGAGGTTGCTGTGAGTTAGGCTGACCCCATGGCACTCTAGCCTGGGCTACAAAGTGAGACTCTGTCTCAAAAAAAAAAAAAAAAAATAATAATAATAAAATAAAGCAAACCCCAAGCATGTAATTTCTCTCTTTCTTTATTATATGTCTTATGTCATTCCAACCCACAATAATTCCTTGGTATTATCTAATACCTAGTCTGTAATCACATTTCCCCTTATGTCTCAAAATGTTTTCTGCATTTGGTTTGAATCATGATCCAAACATTTTCTTGTTATGTCTCTTAAGTTCATTTTAGTATAGAAAATTCCCCATTCTCTTTTTTTCCCCTCATGAATTTCCTAGTTGTCCTGTGAAATGTTCCTCATTCTGGATTTTTCTGTTTGCTCCTTATAGTATTATTTAACGTTATCTCTCATAATTCTGGTAAATGAAGTTACCTTTAGGGACTTGATTAGATTTAGGTTGGACTTTTTGGCGGGGATGCTTTGCAGGTGGTGCTGTGTGCTTCCCATCATGGTGCATGAAACGGCTGTCTCTCAGTGATGCTCAGGGTCATGAGTGGGGTCAGATGCTGACAGCAGGTCTCTATCTTACAAAGTTCCCCGTCAACTTAATGGCTTAACTTAATGGCTTCATTCCTTCGTGATCATTGCCTCAATCAAGTTGTCTTATCAGGAGTTGCAATATGGTGATTTTCTAATTTCCTCCCTTCCACACGAAATTCTTCTGTAAAAGGAACTTTTTCTTCATCCCCTGAGACTACTTGATCACCCTGATACATAGTTTGTATAGGAAAGGCAGTAAAAATTCTTTTTAATTGACAAGTTTTGTAAGAGAGTTGGTGGCTCTATTGCCAATGGTGTGCAAGGAGTTAGGATTTTTAAAAATTTTGATCTTTACTTTTTTTTTTCTTCCCTTGAAACAAGAGTCTCACTCTGTCACCTCGGCTACAGTTGCAGGCCACAATCACAGCTCACCGTAACCTCGGACTCCTGGGCTCAAGCAATCCTCTTGCCTCAACTTCCAAAGTAGCTAAGGCTACAGGTGTGTGACACCATGCTGGGCTAATTTTTTATTTTAATTTTTATTGTAGAGACGGGGCCTTGTTATGTTGCCCTGGCTGGTCTCAAACTCCTCACCTTAAGTGATCCTCCTGCCTTGGCCTCCCAAAGTGCTGGGATTACAGGCTGAGCCACTGCACCAGACCTGATTTTTACTTGTTAAAATTATCATTTTGAATGCACGGGCATTAATAAATATGTCAGGTAGTTGCATTCATTATTATTTTTGATGCTTACCCTGTCACATTTTTGGCCAGTGGGAAACTTTGACTGCTATGACACCCTAGTCTGTTTTTTTCCTATCTCATTGTTCAGTCCTCCTTAATTGCTTTTGCCAGCCCGTCTGCCCTCCTTCTAAACGGAGATTTTGTATATGCTGTTCATCTTTACCCTTGCTCCATGGCCAGGCTACTTCCTTTAGGCCTTAACTGAAGTTCTAATGGGACAGCCTTCTCTTGACCCCTCTCTCAGGCTCAATTTAGCTCCCTCACATGGTACTCTCGTGGTCTCTGTGCTTTTCTGAGGAACTTATCACAGTTGTTAGTATTTGTTTCATGTGCTTTGTTTAGTGAACCTTGTCTTGTATACCACTGTATCCTTAGTATTTACCTCTATTCCTGACATTTAGTGGGTACTCAGTAAATATTTATTATATGAATGAAGGTGAATGAACAAATGAATATATGATTTTATATATACACATAAATAAAACCAAGAGAGACTATATTGCCGGGAAATCTAAGGGAGAAGGGATTTTCAAGGAGGATGTGTGTTCAACAGAAGTTGAAGATTTTCTTTGGGGGCTGAAGGAATATAGTCAACAGCATAAGGACCCTAAAAGGTAGGAAGGTACAAGAAGTCTAATATACTAAGGATTGAAAAGAATCTATATTGGATTTTGTAATTTGAGGTCATCAGTGACTTTCAGCCACTGAACTTTTGAGTGGATTAGTATGGTTGCAATTCAGTGTGAAATTAAGTGAAAAAGGAGAGACTGAATGTAAATCAGTGTAGATCATAATTCATCTCATGTAACAGTTGAGTAAGATAAAGCCTAGGAATTTCTTGCTCAAGGCTACACACTGAGCTTATAATGAACCAGGATTTAGGTGTACTGACTTCTAGTCCAGTTCTTTCGTTTTCATATATGCCCATTTGAGAATTAGTAACATGTTCTGAAGAATAAAAGAGCCTCCTCCTAGCCCTGGAGAAGCTCCCTGGACCTTGTGGCACTCTCAGTCTTTAGAGCTGAAAGGGAACTTAAATATCTAGTACAGTGTTCTAAAACTCAGGTCATTTTGGTACTATCTTTATGGTTTCCTCTTATCTTCACACCATTTATTTAGGTTTTCTTTATATCAATTTACTTTTAAACATTAAACAGTTATTTTAAAAGCACAATTTATATTGCTGTTATAAATGGAAAAACCAGTATTATTTGCTGTAAAGATAATTGAAATTAAGTACAAAGAAAATATAATGTTAATAAATTCTAGATAGATACTTTTGCCTAAAGCTCTGAGCCTTAGACTTGTTCCTCTTGTTAAAAAATGAGATGCAGGTATCATGAGTTGTTAAAGGCATATTAGCACCTAACAGATTTTTTTCTTTATACAATTAGATCATCAAAAGAGAGTTTTTTGTTATGTAAATTGCCTAATGAATCAGCTGTTGCTTGACAGCTGTAATCTCATGCACTGGGGTGCTTACTTATGTCACACTTTGGGAAATATTTAGCTGCCCTGGAACTTTGCCCTCCTTTGCATTGGAGAAGGTTGTAGCCCAAGGAGAGGAAGTGGCTTGCTCAGAATTCCACAGCCATCCAAAGCCTTAGCCAAGAATACTGATGGCTAGTCCATTTGTTCTTTTCATTATATATATATATTTTATAATAAGAGAAGGAAAAGTGTAAGCTGATTTTGATATAACAATTTTTTAGCTTATTTTATATCTCCCAATTTATATTTATTGTATTCGTATAACAGCAATAAATGTTGTTTAAAAAAGAAAAAATCCTACAACTTCACAGACTTTTTTTTGAGACAGAGTCTCACTTTGTTGCCTGGGCAGAGTGCCATGGCGCCAGCCCAGCTCACAGCAACCTCCTACTCCTGGGCTCAAGTGATCCTTCTGCCTCAGCCTCCTGAGTAGCTGGGACAACAGGCATGTGCCACCGTGCCTGGCTAATTTTTTCTATGTGTTTTTAGTTGTCCAGCTAATTTCTTTCTATTTTTAGTAGAGACGGTGTCTCACTCTTGCTCGGGCTGGTTTTGAACTCCTGAGCTCAAACGATCCACTCGCCTCGGCCTCCCAGAGTGCTAGGATTCCAGGCGTCAGCCACCATGCCTGGCCAACTTCATAGACTTTTCTGTGTCCATATGCATTCCTCTTTTTTTCTTTTTGTTTTTCTTTTTTTGGTGTGGGTATACTATTGTGGATCTAATTTGTTTTCTGGTAATGGAATTAATTATATTAAGATAGCATCACTGCCGGTCGCGGTGGCTCACGCCTGTAATCCTAGCTCTCTGGGAGGCTGAGGCGGGCGGATTGCTCGAGGTCAGGAGTTCGAAACCAGCCTGAGCAAGAGCGAGACCCCGTCTCTACTATAAATAGAAAGAAATTATTGGCCAACTAATATATATACAAAAAATTAGCCGGGCATGGTGGTGCATGCCTGTAGTCCCAGCTACTTGGGAGGCTGAGGCAGGAGGATCCCTTGAGCCCAGGAGTTGGAGGTTGCTGTGAGCTAGGCTGATGCCACGGCACTCACTCTAGCCTGGGCAACAAAGCGAGACTCTGTCTCAAAAAAAAAAAAAAAAGACAGCATCACTGATAAAGCAAGTTTAACATAAGGGACAAAGAGTTTGTCTAGTGTATTAGTTTGATCAGGATGTAAGGTTTATCCTAGTTTCCTATTGCTGCCATAACAAATTATCACAAATTTAGTGGCTTAAAACAATAGAAATTTATTATTTTATGGTTTCTGGAGATCAGAGGTCCAGGACTGGGTTTCATGGGGCTAAAATGAAGGTGTTGGCAGTACTGTGTCGCTTGTGGGGCTCCAGGGCAGAATCCATTCTCTTGCTTTTTCTAGCTTCTTGGCTTCCTTGTTTTTCTTGGATTGTGGCCCCTTCTTTCATCTTCAAAGCCAGTAGTATCGCGTCTTCAAATCTCATTTTAACTCCGAGCTCACTCTCCGCTTTTAATGACCTCATGATTACATTGAGCTCATCCCAGTAATCCAGGGTAATCTCTCCATCTTAACGTGCTTTATACCATCTTCCACGGCCCTTTGCTACGTAACATAGATTAGGATATGGATATTTGGGGTGGCATTATTCTGCCTACCTTGTCTATGATCTGAATTGATTAAGTTTTGTTTTTAAATACTAATTTGGGTGTATTTTTAGCATTAGGTGGTCTCTTCAGTCAGCCTACACAAGCTCCTACCCAGTCCAACCAGCTGATAAATACTGCGAGTGCTCTTTCTGCTCCAACGCTATTGGGAGATGAGAGAGATGCTATTTTGGCAAAATGGAATCAACTGCAGGCCTTTTGGGGAACAGGCAAAGGATATTTCAACAATAACATTCCACCAGTGGAATTCACACAAGAAAATCCCTTTTGCCGATTTAAGGTATTGATGCTGTTTTTGACCTTCAATTTTAGAGTGTATATAAGAGAGAATGTGATATCGAGATTAAAATAATATCAAGAAAACAATTGCTTAGGTCTTTAGTACTCCTTGAACATAATATGATCAAACTTTTATTTTTAAAATATAGAAATTATAAAAGCAAAGTGATTTCTTACATATGTGTGGTTGAAGAATATAACTGAAGGAAAGCGGGACAAGAATATGATTCATGCCTGAAGAAAAAGGGGAATTGGTCTGCTTGGCTTTTATAAAGGCGTGACCCAAATCTGGAATTTAGTGGTATTCATTTAACATTGTCCAGGAAAGTATATACCCTAACCAGTGGATGAGAATTCTTCTTGGCATATACAACTTTATTACTACTATTATAGCTGGATGCTGAAGTCAAGAAAACAATATAGCCCATTTTCTTTGTTCAGATACCTTGCCTATCAGACAACCTTCTCATTTGAATTTGATGCTTCAGAGAATCTGCTCATCAGCCAGTGAGAGTATTTAGGCCCTTTATGTGGTGCATTTTTCCATAACAAATAAATATATTGCAATCTAGTTTATACTTCAGCCTCTTGTGAGGTATATCAGTCTCTTAAACCTAATCAATGTGTACACAAACCTGTGTTTAGAGCTGCAGGGCTAAACAGCAAAAAGTGATCACCTTGTCTTGTTAAAAGAACATCTCTTTGTCTCATCACTCAATCAAAGAGTATATCTTTTGAGTGCATATAGTTGAAATTTTAATAATTTTGTTTAGTGACTATGAGGTATAAAATAGTAGACGTAAGTTGAATATGATAATTTAAATTTTTTATAGTGTACAGCATACATATGGTAAAATGCATAGTGTACAGTTGAGTAAATTTGAATTGTTTTTTAAAAGTTGTTGGCTCACGCCTGTAATCCTAGCACTCTGGGAGGCCGAGGTAGGCGGATTGCTCGAGGTCAGGAGTTCAAAACCAGCCTGAGCAAGAGTGAGACCCCATCTCTACTATAAAAATAGAAAAAAATTAATTGGCCAACTAATATATATATAGAAAAAATTAGCCGGGCATGGTGGTGCATGCCTGTAGTCCCAGCTACTCGGGAGGCTGAGGCAGCAGGATCGCTTGAGCCCAGGAGTTTGAGGTTGCTGTGAGCTAGGCTGAAGCCAGGGCACTCACTCTAGCCTGGGCAACAAAGCGAGACTCTGTCTCAAAAAAAAAAAAAGTTGCATATAAGTGATGACAAGGGGTAAAATGATTCTATATAAAAGAGCAATTCTTTAGAAAGGTATAGTTGTACATAATACAAAGTAAGAAACTAACCTGTCTCATAAAGTTTTATATTACATGAAACCATAAAATGATATAGACTTTTATTACAGTATTTGTAGGTTGACAGTGTCATTACATACTCTAAAAGCATTTATGTATAAATCACTTGTGTATATTAACATATCTAATAAAATTTAGTTTAAGTTTCCATGGATCAGATATACATATGCTGCTTAATTTATGATGGGTTTATGCCCTGATAAACCCATCGTAAATTAAAAATATTGTAAGTTGAAAATACATTTAATATACCTAACCTATCAAACATCATAGCTTAGCCTAGCCTACCTTAAATGTGCTCAGAACACTTAGATGAGCTTACAATTGGAAAAAATCATCTAACACAAATCATATATTTTATAATAATAAAAATAAAAGTTTTATAATAAAAATATAAAAGATCAAAATTCAAAATATTATTTCAACTGAATGCATATTTGCTTTCTATCATCATAAAGTGGAAGAACATAAGTTGAGCCATTATCAGTCAGGGACTATCTGTATAGTGAAATGAATAAAACATTTGCAGTCATTTTTATAATGCCATAGCAGAGTTATTTCTTGTTTTTTCTTTCCTTTTTCTTTTTAGAGATCAGGTCTTGCTCTGTCACCCAGGCTGGAGTGCATTGGTGTAATCAGCTCACTGCAGCTTTGAACTCCTGGGCTCAAGCAATCCTGCTGCCTCAGTTTTCAGAGTAGCTTGAGAACGTAGGCACATGCCACCACCCCTGGCTAATTTAAAAAACTTTTTTTTTTAGTGACAGGGTCTCACTGTGTTGCCAAGGCTGGTCTCAAACTCCTGGCCCCAAGTGATCCTCCCAGGTTGGCCTCCCAAGTTTCTGGGATTACAGGCTCAAGAGTTGCTTCAGCAGTTCAGAACACCCAACAATAATGGATTTCAGAATTTTTTTGCAGGAGAAAGCTCTTTAGTTACTCTCTTTTAGAGGAAATTTTAATTTCACTTTATAGGTTTAAGTTATTCTTGGGTACAATATTTTTCTTTATAATTTTGTGACCTCCTAGGGCACAGAGTGGTGGGAAGAAGCACTGTTACCTTCATTACCAGACATTAAGTTGTTCTCCCTGTTTTAGCGGGTATTAGACTATTGATATGAAATACCTGATTTAAGATCTGTACATGTTTTTGATATTGTTTATTTTGTCATTCCACAGGCAGTAGGTTATAGTTGTATGCCCAGTAATAAAGATGAAGATGGGCTAGTGGTTTTAGTTTTCAACAAAAAAGAAACAGATATTCGAAGCCAGCAACAGCAGTTGGTAGAATCATTGCATAAAGTTTTGGGAGGAAACCAGACCCTTACTGTAAACGTAGAGGGCATTAAAACATTGCCAGATGATCAGTAAGTATATGTCAAATATATTGTTTATTTCTGCATGCCGTAGTCCAAAGAGAGGGATCAACAGTGTTTTTGTTGCTGAAGCACAAATTAAATCTCAGCATAGAATGTTTTTTCTCAGCTAGATTATTCAGTATTTATAGAATACTTGTTCAAAAGTTTTTAAAAAAAATTTTAGATTTCTTTTTGTTTTTTATAAGACAGTCTCACACTGTTGCCCAGGCTAGAGTGCCGTGGCATCAGCCTCGCTGAGAGCAACCTCAGACTCTATGCTGAGATTTAATTTGTGCTTCAGCAACAAAAACACAGCATATTATGGGAGTACAAATGTTAAGGTTACATATATTGCCCTTGCCCCGCCCCTTGAGTCAGAGCTTCAGGTGTGTCCTTCCCCAGACGGTGCGCTTCACACTCATTATGTGTGTATATTTCCCATCCCCACCCCCACACACTCGATAAATGTTATTCCTATATGTCCACTTAGGTGTTGATCAGTGAAACCAATCTGCTGGTGAGTACATGTGGTGCTAGAAAAATTATTATTAATGAGATATATTAACTGAATCAGATTTTACTTTTTGGTCCTAATTGTAGAGAAGCAATCCCTAAGTTTCAACAGAATCTCTGAAGTACTTTTCAATTCTGGAAAATGTAATAAATAGTATTTATATATGACTTTGCAGCTAAGCAAACCCTTTTATAAATATTATCTTATTTACCTGCCTCATTTTAACTTTATCATTTAAGTTGATTTATGAGTGAACATAGCATTAAGTAAAGGTTTCTTATTTTCCAAGATTTACAAAGAAAACATTCCCTTCTAAAACAACCATTTTTGTTTTTTTTAAATTAATTTATTTAGTTTTCATTTCTTTCCTGTGAAATTAGAAGACATGCAAAAAACACCACTTTTGAATTTAGCTTCCACCCTTCTAAAATCACACATGTTGAGATTTGTGGCTGTGAGTAACATGCTCTGTATTTTATAAATTGGTTATCTTTCCTTTAGGACAGAAGTTGTCATTTATGTTGTTGAGCGTTCTCCAAATGGTACTTCGAGAAGAGTTCCAGCTACAACATTATATGCCCATTTTGAGCAAACCAATGTCAAAACACAACTGCAGCAACTTGGTGTAACCCTTTCCATGACTAGAACAGAACTTTCTCCTGCACAAATCAAACAGCTTTTACAGAATCCTCCTGCTGGTATGTTTCTAGAATCAAAGAGTTCAAAAAATGAAAGATTTAGAACTAAATGCTCCCCCTAGTTTGGGAGACGTTGGTTGGTTTTTAATGTAAATAAAACTAGTGTCAACTTTTTACATGTCTGCATATTTAGGATATAGTTTTGAATAATTATAGTAATTCAGTCAATTAGGTTTTTTTTTTCTATATAGCCTAATATGTTTGTTAGAAATTTTGAGAAATAGTGAACTAAGGAAAAATAGTCCATAGTCTATAATCCATCTAACAAAGGTAATTCACTAGTAATATTTTGATTTATTTTTTCTAGCTTATCTCTTGATTTAACTGAGTATTCAAATAAAACCTGAATGTGTTCTCACTGTAAAAAGATTCTAGATGGCATAACTAGATTCAAATAAAGGGGATGTGATAGATCCTTTTGACCTCCCTTCCCCAGAAGTAGCTATTAGTAATTTATGGTACTCTATTAGTCCTTTCTCTGTGGTTTTAAATGTAAGCATGTTTACATGTCAGTCCTTTAAAAAAGGTTTCTGCATTGTACATTTACTGCAGTTTGCCTTTTACTAATGATATTTCTTAGTACTTTTTATGTCAGTACGTGAAGATAATTCTTACTCTAAACATTGCATAGTATTCCATGAATATACCTTTACTTCTAGGTTGTTTCTGTCTTTTCACTATTATAAACTATGCCACAATTAACATCCTTATACGTATATTTTAGAATACATAGGTAATATATTTTTTTAGAAGAGATCTCTGGCAATGAAACTTTTGACTCAATATTATATGTTAGATATTGTCAAATTTTCTTTTCTTTTCTTTTTTTTTTGAGACAGAGTCTCTGTTGCCTGGGCTAGAGTGCCGTGGTGTCAGCCTAGCTCATAGCAACTTCAATCCTTCTGCCTCAGCCTCCCAAGTAGCTGGGACAACAGACATGTGCCACTGCACCTGGCTAATTTTTTCTGTTTTTAGTAGAGGTGGGGTCTTGTTCTTGCTCAGGCTGGTCTCAAACTCCTGACCTCAAGTGATCCTCCTGCCTCAGCCTCCCTAGTCAAATTGCCTTTCAAAGAAAGTTGTACCATTTACATTGATAACAGGAAATCTATTATTTTCTCATATATCTTTTTTTTTTTGCCACTCATGGCAAAATAATTAAAAAATCAGTACTTATTTTAATTTGCATTTCCTTGATCATCACTAAAGTTGAACATCTTTTTATATATGTTTATTAGCTACATGTTTGTATTTTTTGTGAATTTCCTATTGGTATTCTTCACCCATTTTCTATTCGATTTTTTTGTCTTCCTTTTTTATTTTTTCCCTCACACCCCCTCCCGTCTTCCTTTTTGATTTATAGGAGCGCTTTCTATATTCTGGAGGTTAATCTGTTATCCTATAGGTTATAGATATTTCCTTTCTTTTTTTTTTTTTTTTTTTTGTTGCCCAGGCTAGAGTGAGTGCCGTGGCGTCAGCCTAGCTCACAGCAACCTCAAACTCCTGGCTCAAGCAATCCTCTCTGCCTCAGCCTCCTGAGTAGTTGGGACTACAGCCATGCGCCACCATGCCCGGCTAATTTTTTGTATATATATTAGTTGGCCAATTAATTTCTTTCTATTTATAGTAGCTCTTGCTCAGGCTGGTTTTGAACTCCTGACCTCGAGCAATCCGCCCACCTCGGCCTCCCAGAGAGCTAGGATTACAGGCGTGAGCCACCGTGCCGGCCTAATACTTCCTTTCAATCAGTGCTTTTTTTAAGTTTTATTTATTCTACAAAAATTTTTATGTTTACAGTGATCATCATATTTGACAGTCTTTGTGTAGCTTCTGGGTTTTGAGTATTACTTTAGGAAAGCCTTTCTCATATAAATTTCAAAAAATAGAACATAATTTGTTTTAGAAAATAAATGTTGTCTTAATGATAGGTGTTGATCCTATCATCTGGGAACAAGCCAAGGTGGACAACCCCGATTCTGAAAAGTAAGTGTGTCTTTATCTTGTTTTATATGAGAACTGGTACTTGCTGCTAGGAAAGCAAACATTTGTGAGCTATTCATTATAATTCTTACATATGAGGTGGGTTTATTGTCATTGATATTTTAAAAATATTGATTATGGTAAGGAAGCATAGTGTGGTGAGAACCAGGAATGGAGAAATCTGAGTGCCAGTCCCCTAATTACATTGCATTTAATAATGCAGTGGTTGTTTTTTGTTTTTTTTTGTTTTTTTTTTGAGACAGAGTCTCGCTTTGTTGCCCAGGCTAGAGTGAATGCCCTGGCTTCAGCCTAGCTCACAGCAACCTCAAACTCCTGGGCTCAAGCAATCCTTCTGCCTCAGCCTCCTGAGTAGTTGGGACTACAGCCATGCGCCACCATGCCCGGCTAATTTTTCCTATATATTAGTTGGCCAATTAATTTCTTTCTATTTATAGTAGAGACGGGGTCTTGCTCTTGCTCAGGCTGGTGTCAAACTCCTGACCTCGAGCAATCCGCCGGCCTCAGCCTCCCAGAGTGCTAGGATTACAGGCGTGATCCACCACGCCCGGCTAATAATGCAGTGTTTTGACTGAACTATATTTCCTCATTTGAAAAATAGGTGAAATAAAAATCTCTATGGTGTAACATTTTTTTCCTTTCTTTTTTCTTTTTTGTTTCACCCACCCCTAACATTTTTTATTTTATAGTCATAGATCTGCCTTAGAACCCTAGAAATTTGATGTAAAATTTCATGGATGTTATCCTAAGAACCCTAATGTCTTATATTTTGTAATAGTAGGCTTAAGATCTGAAAATTGTCCACTTGAATGTCTTCAGGTTAATTCCTGTACCAATGGTGGGTTTCAAAGAGCTGCTCCGAAGACTGAAGGTTCAAGATCAGATGACTAAGCAGCATCAAACTAGATTAGATGTAAGCATTTAGCTTTTCATTCTCTGGCCCAGGGAGTAGGAAGAGCTATTAAATATATTTAGTTGTTTTTACTTTGTGTACTACTGTTTTATTTTACAGGGGAATAAAATAGCATACACTGCAAATTAACAATTATAGTTTTATACAACTGTCTTTTTATGAGAGTTCCAAATCATGTAGATCTGATTTGATATATTTTAATAATTAATTTAGAATTGTTGGCTTAGTAAATTAGATTGTCATTGCCAGTTTCAGCAGGAGATTGCATATTACTTTTTTTATTAAACACTTTTATTTATGGTGCCTTATGAAAATGAAGGCTACACTTATCCTTTATGTTGTTGTTTATAAGGTATAATTGTCTTGGTATATGTTGATGAAGCAAATTTAAATTATTGAATGCTTAAATCTACTTAATATTTTATTTAATAAGCTTTCATAATCAAATAATTAAAAGATTCTTAAACTTCATGTGATTTCAATTCTTTTAACTTTGTTAAGGTTTTATAACCCAGGCGCCTATGAAAATCATGTATCTTCTGCTGTTTTGGGGTGGAGTTTTCTGTTAGTGTAAATGAAATGTGGGATCCAGTGGTTGATAGTATTCTTCAGTTCTATATTCTTGATTTTTCTGTCTGCTAGTTTGATCATTGTGAGAAGACAATTGAAGTCTCCAGCTACAGTTATGGATTTGTTGTCTTTCAGTTTTGTCTATTTTTGCTTCATATATCTTGAAGCTTTGATAACTAAATGGTATTCCATTGTGTATATGATTCCTATTTTTTTTTTTTTTTTTTATGACAGAGTGTGACTCTTTGCCCAGGCTAGAGTGCCGTGGCATCAGCCTAGCTCACAGCAACCTCAAACTCCTGGGCCCAAGCATTCTCTGCCTCAGCCTCCCAAGTAGCTGGGACTACAGACATACGCCACCATGCCCGGCTAATTTTATTTATATATATGTATATATAAAATTTTTTTTTTAAGTTGTCCAGCTAATTTCTATTTTTTTAGTAGAGATGGAGTCTCACTCTTGCTCAGTCTGGTCTCGAATTCCTGAGCTCAAATGATCCTCCCGCCTTGGCCTGCTACGGGCGTGAGCCACCACACCCATGAGATTTTCTTTATTCATTTTTTTTTTTCTTTTCCTCAGCCAAGACTTGCTGTTTCATCTTTATCCATTCATCTCTTCATGGACACTTACTCAGACACTTGCTCTGAAGTCTCTTTGTGCCTGATATTAACATAGTCACTTTTTCTTTTGATAAGTGTTTTTGTAGTGTATCTTTATCTTTTTGGTTTTAACCTACCTATATCATTATATTTGATGTGAGTTTCTTATAGCTAGCATAAAGTTTGGATTCAGGTCTCCCATTTTATTTGTTTGCTCTGTTACCTCTGTTTTTCATTCCTCTCTTACCTGCCTTCTTTGGGGTTATTTGGACTTTGTTTAGCATTCCATTTTTAATTTATCATTTCCACTATTAGTTTGTTTTCAGTGGTTGCTTTAGGGCAGCAGTTCTCATTGGGAGGTTGCAGTGACAGTGGTTGGTGGCCGTGGTTTCGTCCCCCAGTGTCTGGAGACTGGGTTGGGAAGGGCTACCGGCAACTAGTGTACAGGACAGTACTCCTGCAACAAAGCGTTATCTGGCCCCAAATTCACAGGGCGAGATCGCAGTGTGTCTCCTGCGTTAGAACCAGCAGGCTTCTCCTAGAGCTGTCAGCATGCATGCTCGTGTCCAGGTTTGGGGTGGGGCTGAGACCAGACTAAGGATGCCTGAGGGGACAATTGGAACACGCACCACCAGTTCAGTGGTACCTCCAACTCAGCTTCTTCCCCATCTTCCTGCCACAGTTTGCTTTTCAGAGTCCTCAGACAGCTGTCGCATGCCTTCCATCGAGTGTATAGCAGTATTAAATGGGAGAGGTCAGGTGGCGTGCTTAGTCCATCTTGTCCAGAACTGAAATCTTTCATATTTTTTGCCTATTTTTCTATTGGGCTTCCTGTCTTTTCTTTATTGAACTTCAGTAGTTCATTTACTCTAGTTTCTCATCTCTCTTAACTCTGTCTTTGGTGTCCTTAGTTGAATAGAAATCCCTAATGTAATGATATCCATTAATTTTTCACCTTGTGTTTTCTTTTTGAGAATTTGCTTAAATCACTTTTCACCCCAAGGTCTAAGAGTCTCCATTTTTTTTAACATTTTAGAATTTAACCTTTCACATTTGGATCTTTTGTCCACATGGAGTTCACCTTTATATATAGTATGTGGTATGAACCCAACTTTATTGTTCTGTAAGTAGTGGTTTCATATTTTGAATATCATCTGTCAAAATTTGATATTCACCATGATGTGTCCAAGAATTTCAGTTATACCAAGTTTCCATAGATACCGGATGTCTCTAGACCCTGTCTTATTTTTCATTGTCCAGTTGGTCTGTTCTTATTCTAGTACCAAATTTTTTTTATTTTTATGGCTTTGTAGTATATCTTAATATCTAGCAAGTGAATCTCTAATCTTTGTTCTTCTTTTCAAAATTTTCTTAGTTCTTTATGGATCTTTAGTCTTCCATAAACATTTGGAATTGCATTAAATGTAAAGACTAATTTGTGGAGAATTAAATCTTATTAAATCATTCCATCTGTGAATGAATGCCATTTGGCATGTCTCTTTAATCATTGGGGTCTTTTATATCCTTTAAAATAGTTTTTAAATATTCCTTTAAAAAATCTTGTGCATTCTGAGGTTAATTCCTATTAGTTGTCAGTAAATACTATGAATGCTAACATTTCTCTTTTTTTAGTTATTACTGGTAGAAGATAATGTTATAATTACTCTTGTGTCTGGAAGCCCAACTTTGACAAAATTAGGATGGATAGGATGCCTAAGTTACATAGTATAAAACATGGCTACCTAATTTTGTCCCTTCAGTTTGGCCTGGCATTGGAAAGTTTCTTTAAAAGATGACATGCGCAGGTAGACATGCTAAAATATGTCTCACATAGTCTTATCCTCTTCCTTATAACATGTCAGTGTAAGTCAGTGACTGAGAATGATTCATTATGATTGGAGTGCTTTAATGAAATGGTGAGATTTTAACCCAGTCTGTAAGATTAAGACTTCATAAGGCAGAACAGTGGGATTTTAGACCAGGCGAAAAGCAAATCAGAGGCATAGAATTATATTTGGTCATATAATTAATATCATTCCTTTTCATCTCTGCTCTCTCCAAGTATTCTATAACAGTTAATATTGGACTGAACTGTACTTCCCTGAAGAAATTAGATTCAAGGCTAATTACCTACTAAGGCACTGCCTGGATGGCATCTTATAGATCTTTTTTTTTTTTTGAGACAGAGTTTTACTCTGTTGCCTGGGCTAGAGTGCCATGGCGTCAGCCTAGCTCACAGCAACCTCAAACTCCTGGACTCAAGCAATCCTCCTGCTTCAGCCTCCCGAGTAGCTGGGACTACAGGCATGCGCCACCACGCCCGGCTAATTTTTTCTATATATTTTTAGTTGTCCAATTAATATCTTTCTATTTTTAGTAGAGACGGGTCTCGTTCTTGCTCAGGCTGGTCCAGAACTCCTGACCTTGAACGATCCTTACGCCTCAGCCTACCAGAGTGGTAGGATTACAGGCATGAGCCACTGCACCCAGCCCATCTTACAGACCTCAACTTTTAAAATTCAAGCCTAATGTTGGCTCTAATCTATAACATTACTTAAAATTCCTTAATTATTTCTGAAGCATATGTTTTATTTTTTCTATACATTGTCTCATCACTAAATTTCCTGGACCTTTAAAGAAAATTTTGAGTTGTACTTTCAAAATTTTTACATGTATAAAAAGGGAAGAAATATAAAAATTGATTTAAGGGAAAAGAGTTTATATTTTGAGGGCTGAATCTCAGGCTTATCTGAGAATTAGAATTTGCATATTATACTTCGCTAAATAACTGTGATGTCTATACTTGATTTACCTAAAAAAAATTTTTTAAAACAACAGATCATATCTGAAGACATTAGTGAGCTACAAAAGAATCAAACTACAACCATGGCCAAAATTGCACAATATAAGAGGAAACTCATGGATCTTTCCCACAGAACCTTACAGGTAGTAATATGGAATTTTTTCTTCAGTGTTTATAAGATTATATGTGCACAGTATGTGCTAAATATAGATTTTCATAATAGGAAAAATGGACTAAAAGGAAATAATCTGAAACTAAAATTAACCAAACTTTTTCAGTGACACCTACAAATTGGAAGAGAGATCTCTTGGTAAGGTTAGGTGAGGAGAATCAAAATATTTTAAGTCCATATCTTAGAGAGTGAGGGAAAACAGTGAAGAAATAAGGTATCTTGGTGTGCGGATAAGATCACTGATATCTAGTTTTCATAAAATAGCAGAAAAACAGTTTTATTTTGAGTGCTAGAAAACGTAGTGTAACCATAATGGTTGAAAAACAACAGAATTTCCAGATTAATGAGGAACTCAAAGAATGAATCGCAACAAAAACAGAAATTATAAAGTATCATGAAAACAAATATTTGTAATCTCAGAAGTAGTCCAATAAAAGTTTATTTATTTATTTTTCTCACTGTTACCCAGGGTGGAGTGCCATGGCATCAGCCTAGCTCACAGCAACCCCAAACTCTTGGGCTCAAGTGATCCTCCTGCCTCAGCCTCCTGAGTAGCTGGGACTATATGCAAGCACCACCATGCCTGGCTAATTTTTCTATTTTTAGAAGAGATGGGGTGTCACTCTTGCTCAGGCTGGTCTCAAACTCCTCCTGAGCTCAAGGATCCTCCCACCTCAGCCTCCCAGAGTGTTAGGATTACAGGCATGAGCCACCTCGCCTGGCCAGAAAACCAATTTTAAAACTTCAACATTATAGGCTCATGTTTTTACATAAGGAATACTTGATTTTGAAAGGTTGTAAATGTCTAAAACTGGCATTTTGTTGCCCATTTTTTTGAGTTACCTTTTTAAAAGCCATAAAATACCATACTTTTAAAACAATTAAGTTTACATCAGTGTATATTATGTGATAACCTTTGCCTAATTAAAATGGACAAATATAATTCAATTCTTGAACTATTAAGCCCTACTATATTGTTAGTATAATTTTCAGCTGATTTCTTTCAGCAACTAATTGTAATAAAATTACTTGCATAACTGAAGAGAGATGATTCTATTGGTATTGGTGGCTTTTCTTTGCATAGGTCCTGATTAAACAAGAAATTCAAAGGAAGAGTGGTTATGCCATCCAGGCTGATGAAGAACAGTTGCGAGTTCAGCTAGATACGATTCAGTGTGAACTAAATGCACCGACTCAGTTCAAGGTAAGCACTTCTCAGACCATAAAGCTACATTTGTTTCAGGTAGATCTGCAGAAAAATGTTACAGTCTTCAAACAGGAATTTTACATACTTATGTTTATTAAACATTTGCTCCTTTTAATTAAAACCTAGTTTCTAAAGTAAACTCTTAGTTATGGTTCTTTTTGCTTGTATTAGTGCTTCAAATAATGTAATATACAAATGCACAGATAATGTATAGGGGGAGAATGCGAAAATTTTAATAGATGGTTTTCAAAACTGTCAAAAGAATATATTCTCTTTTAGAAGTGGGGGTGGTGGTGGTTAGCAGTTGTAATTTGACTCAATCTTATTTTTAGGGTAGACTAAATGAACTGATGTCCCAAATCAGGATGCAGAATCATTTTGGGGCAGTCAAATCGGAAGAAAGATATTATATAGATGCAGATCTATTACGAGAAATCAAGCAGGTAAGTGTTGCACGAAGGTATACTCTTTAAAGTTACCACATCTATTAGGATTTATTATTATCCAAAAAAAGAGTAGTATTGGTGAGATGGTGAAGAAACTGGAAGCTTGCACTTTCAGGGTAATGTAAAATGGTGCAGCCTCTATGGAAACAGTATGGTAGTTTTTTAAAAAATTAAAAATAGAATTACTATATATGATCTAACATTTCTACTTCTGAATGAATACCCAAGGAAGTTGAAAGCAGGGACTCAAACACATATTTGTACAACTATGCAGCAGCATTTTGTTGGTTTTTTTTCCTGAGACAGAGTCTCACTCTGTTGCCCGTTCTAGAGTGAGTGCCATGGTGTCAGCCTAACTCAAAGCAACTGCCAACTCCTGGGCTTAAGCAATCCTCTTGCCTCAGCCTCCCGAGGAGCTGGGACTAAAGACATGGACACCACCATGCCTGGCTAATTTTTTTCCTATATATTTTTAGTTGTCTAGCTAATTTCTATTTTTAGTAGAGACAGGCTCTCGCTCAGGCTTGTCTCCAACTCCTGAGCTCAAATGGTCCTCCCACCTCGGCCTCCCAGAGTGTTAGGATTACAGGCGTGAGCCATTGTGCCTGGCCCATAGCAGCATTATTTAAAATAACCAAAATGTGGAAGTAACCCATGAGTCTGTCAAGGAATGAATAAAGAATATGTGGTGTATATACACAGACAATGGAATATTATTCAGCCTTTAAAAAGAGGGAAATTCTGACACATGCTACATGAATAGGCCTTGAAGATGTTAAGCAAAGTGAAATAAGCCAGTCACAAAGGGACAAATACCATACGATCCCACTTACATGCGGCACCTATAGTTGCCCAATTAATAGAGTAGAATGGTGATTGCCAGGGGCTGGGAGAGCAGAGGATGGGGACTTACTGTTTAATGTGTACAGAATTTCAGTTTGGGAAGATAAAACTTCTAAATGAAATGGATGATGGCGAGTGTTGCACATGAATGTACTTAACGCCATTGACTTACACACTTTAAAATGGTTAAAATGGTAGATTTTATGCCTGTTTTACCTCAATAAGAAAAGCAAATCATCCCCTTTTTTAAAGATGAATTTAGAGGTAGTAGAGGCAGCAAGTGCCCTAGACATTGCCACTCAGTGCAGGCAGCGGCAGCACCTAAGTGGGTGTTAGAAATGCACCATTTCAGTCCTTACCCCACAGCTGCTCAGTGTGCATTTTTTCAAGACCATGGAATGATTTGTGTGCATGTCAAAGTTGAGAAGCAACTGTTCTGGATCGTGCCTTCCCAGCCTGTTTACCACAAGTTACAAATGTGTTCAGTTTCTGGTCCCCGCAACCCTGGGGACCCAAGTGGAGGCTGGGTCTAAGGCTCGCCATGTATGAAAAAGTTGGGAAACACTGCTTTGGCTTGTTTGCCTTAGTGTAGTTACAGATTAGCTTAACAAAATCTGTCCGGCCATTGTGTCTAAAAATATATTAAGATGGTAACTTCTGTGGAACATATGAGGCAGGACTGTTGGCATGGCTCTGAAGATTTTAGATGGTTATCAGTGTCATCAACAAACCCAATTATGTGCTTTGCAATGGATATTACTGTTTTATGTAACTAAAAAACTAGTTTGGCTAAGTTCTTGGAAAGTACACATATACTCAATAATATTCCATTTTTTAGGTATTTACAATAAAATTAACAGATTCTAGTCTATTAAAGAGTTTGTATATGCAATAAAATTGCGACAAATACCTTTTTTAAATTTTAGCATATTATGGGGGTACAAATATTAAGGTTACATATATCGCTCATGCCCCCCTTGAGTAAGAGCTTCAAGCGTGTCTATCCCCCAAATGTTGCACATCTGACTCGTGGTTGTATATACTCATCCCCTCCAGTGTTTTATTTGGAATTGAATCATGGCTCACCATCTACTTATGATCTTGAACAGGTTACTTACCTGTATCTCAACTTAACTATTAGAGAGGATAATGGTACCTTCCCCCAAAGGGTGCTCAAAAGCATTTTAAATGACTTGAGTGAATACCAATAAAGCTATTAAAATAGTGCCTTAATCCATAAGACTCTTAAAAATGTTAGCATCTGTAGTCATCACAATATAATATGTACATCAAAACATAAGGCCAGGCAAAGTGGCTCATGCCTTGTAATCCCAGAGGCTGAAAGATCGCTTGAGCCCAGGAGTTTGAGGCTACAGTGAGCTATGATCATGCCACTGCACTCCAGCCTGAGTGACAGAGAGCCTATCTCTTAGAAAAGAAAATTCTCAGTTTTTAGAATGATTTTGTTCATCTAGATTTGAGTACATTCTTTGAGTTCTATTGTATCATAGCTTTGTTTATCAGAGATTGACAAGAGGAGTAGCTATCTAAAAAACATGTTTGTTGAAGATACTGTTCATCATACATTTGATTTTATTCTTTATAGTGTGTCTTACACTGTCATACAAAGTGTTAGCAAAAGATGTAGTACAAATGTTTAAATATGCATGCCTGCTAGATCTAGAGCAGTCGCTATTGCTGATAGTACTTTTCCTGTGAGTAGGTTATTAGAATCATACATTAATATGTTTTTACATTCATTCTAGCATTTGAAACAACAACAAGAAGGCCTTAGCCATTTGATTAGCATCATAAAAGATGATCTAGAAGATATAAAGTTAGTAGAACATGGATTGAATGAATCTATCCATATCAGAGGCGGTGTCTGTAGTTGACAGTTCACAGACCTGTGTTAGGAGTTGTGTGAAATGCGTCGTCTTTGTGCATCAGGCCTCCTTAAGAATGAAACTGACCACATGGAGGGAACAAAAAACAAAAAAAAGGTAAATAATCCTCTCCCGGCTTGGTTTTTTGAGGTTACTAACAAATTACTGTTCATCAAATCTGAAATAACATAGTCACCTCACAGCTCTTCAAAGAAAACCATTGAAAGATTTATATCTAAAAGCTGTTACTTTAAAAAAGTACATAATTACCAAAAGCATATGTACTATTGTACATTTTTACAACAGCATTTTCTTAAATATAATCAGTGTTTAATGATTATTTGTCCATTGAACTTGTACTCTGCTTTCCATAGCAAGTAAATATAAAATATCTACTTTGCATATAACAAAATAAACTGTATAATTACTTGACTGTTAGAGGTTTATACTTCAGAATGTAAAATGTACATCAGTTTTTATATTTGTGAATTCATCTGTGGGAGGAGTAAAGAAAATCTAAAAGTATTTAATGATTAATGTGGTTTTCTTTTTCTATAAAGATTTAAAAATATATTTTTATATTTATTTGGAATTTACAGAACACACACCTAAGCAATTAGGATATAACAAAATTACCATTTTTGCTATTTTTAATAAAGATTTATTAAAAATGTAAACAAATAAATTCTTAATTTGTAGTTTTATATAATTCTGTCTGGTGCTTTATTTGGCTTTTGGGGAATGATCATTTATGTCCATACAGTTACTAAATTCATAATCAAAATTCAGGAATTTTAGTCTTAAGTCTGATTTCCCTCCTAAAGACAAAACTTCAGATGTCTGGTATAAAGAATTCCCTAATATGTCATTAGCATCTAAAAACACTAAAAATCTGACTTAATATGCAAGTGATTTTTTTAACATTTTAAATAGTATTTCTGACTACAGACTACATACTTGGGTTGCATCATGTTGGCCCCTCTTCAAATGCTTTAACTGTGCACTTCTGTGTGGTGCTTTGGCTTATGTGGGAAGGTATCGTAAGACATGGCCCCATCCCTGTGAATCTTGCTCGTTTCACTGCGGGGATGGCAGTGCGTGTGACACACGTCCGCCCTGAGAGCCCACGGAGGGGACTGCTCCTCCGGTGCTGACTAGATTATGGTTGTGGAGGAGACTGGGAACTTTAAAACTATTCCTTTCTAAGTTTGCAGCCACTTTTGCCAAGTCTATGGCATACAAATTTTTCTTCTACCCTTTTTCATCATACTTTTCCTACCCATTGACGGGAATTTCTCTTTGTCCACATTTTCTCCTTGGCCTAGAACAGGCATCCTCAAACTATGGCCTGCAGGCCACATGTGGGTGTTTTTGCCTGTTTGTTTTTTTACTTCAAAATAAGATATGTGCAGTGTGCATAGGAATTTGTTCATAGTTTTTTTTAACTATAGTCTGGCCCTCCAACGGTCTGAGGGACAGTGAACTGGCCCCTTGTTTAAAAAGTTTGAGGACCCCTGGCCTAGAAGATAGGCACTTCCATTGTTCTCATCCACGCAGCCAAGTATGGAAGGAGTGTTTCTGTCCCTCTGCACACTCTCGCTTACAGCAGGGAGAACTGATCTACTTGATGAGAATTATTACTGAGCCACATCATTTAGTGGGTGGGTCACTCGTCATGCATACCATGCTCACTTCTCAGGTTCTGCTACTGTTTGGTTCCTAGTTCCATAAAATAAATACACCTAGACAGGGCCCAAAGCCCCCTTTAAAGACAGGCTTCGTCAGCCTGCTAGGTTTCTATGCCACTGGGGGCTGCATGCGTATGTGAGGCCGGCCTGTGGTCCTTGGTCACACAGCTAGTTAGATAACTGGACTCAGAAAGTGATAACCAAGTGCTATAGACTGGATGTTTGTGTCCCATTGAAATCCTAGTACCCAATATGGGGGGCAGAAGAGATCAAACTTTCACTTCTTGCTGATACCTAGAAAACCCCAAGGAGTCAACCAGGAGAGTCCTTGAATTGATAGATAAATTTAGTAAAGTCTCAGGTTATAAAATCAATACACACAAATCAGAGGCATTCATATATGCCAATAACAGTCAAACTGAGAACCAAATCAAAGACTCAATTCCCTTCACAATAGCAACAAAGAAAATAAAGTACCTACAAATATAACCCTAAGGAAATAGCAGGGGACGTAAACAGGTGGAAAACCATACCATGCTTGTGGGTCGGCAGAATCAACATTGTTAAAATGTCTATACTACCCCAAAGTGATCTACAGAATTGATGCAAACCCTATTAAAATACCATAATCATTTTTCAGATATAAAAAAAGTAATTTTATGCTTCTTATGGAACCAGAGAAGACCCTGTATAACAAAAGCAATCTTAGGCAATAAAAACAAAGTGGTAGGTATCAATTTATCAGACTTCAAACTATACTACCAGGCTATAGTAATTAAAATAGCTTGGGACTGGTACAAGTACAGGGACATTGACCAATGGAACAGAACAGAGAACTCAGATATAAAACCATCCTCATCTAGCCAACTAATCTTCGACAAAGCAGACAAAAACATACAGTGGGGAAAAGAATCCTTATTCAATAAATGGTGCTGGGAAAACTGGATAACCACATGTAGAAGACTGAAACAGGATCCACACCTTTCACCTCTCACAAAAATCAACTCACGCCAGGTAACAGACTTAAACCTAAAGTGTGAAACTATTAGAATTCTAGAGGAAAACATTGGAAATATTCTTCTAGACATAGGCCTAGGCAAGGAATTTATGAAGAAGACCCCAAGGGCAATCACAGCAACAACAAAAATAAATAAATGGGACCTGATCAAATTAAAAAGCTTCTGCACAGCCAAAGAAACTATCACAAGAGCAAACAGACAACCTACAGAATGGTAGAAATTTTTCACAAGCTACACATCCGATAAAGGGCTGATAACTAGAATCTATTTCAAACTCAGGAAAATCAGCAAGAAAAAAAATCAAACAACCCTATCAAAAAGTGGGCCAAGGACATGAACAGAAACTTTTCAAAAGAAGACAGAATGGCCAACAAACATGAAAAAAGGCTCAACATCTCTAATCATCAGGGAAATGTAAATCAAAACCACAATGAGATATCACTTAACTCCAGTGAGAATGGCCTTTATCAAAAAGTCCCAAAACAATAAATGTTGGTGTGGATGTGGAGAGACAGGAACACTCACACTGCTGGTGGGACTGCAAACTAGTACAACCTCTGTGAAAAGCAATATGGAGATACCTAAAAGTGATACAAGTAGATCTACCATTTGATCCAGCAATTCCATTAATGGGCATCTACCCAAGAGAGCTTTAAAAGACGCTCTATAAAAAAAGACATCTGCACTTGAATGTTTATAGCAGCACAATTCACGATTGCAAAGACAACCCAAATGCCCATCAATACATGAGTGGATTAATAAAACGTGGTATAGGTATACCATGGAGTACTTACTATTCAACTATCAGAAACAATGGTGATATAGCACCTCTTGTATTTTCCTGGATAGAGCTTCTACTAAGTGAAGTATCCCAAGAATGGAAAAATAAGCACCACATGTACTCACCAGCAAATTGGTTTCGCTGATCAACACCTAAATGGACATACAGGAATAACATTCATTGGGCATTGGGCAGGTGGGGGGAGGGGATGGGTATATACACACATAATAAAAGTGCGATTGCACCATCTGGGGAATGGACACGCTTGAAGCTCTGACTCCGGAGGGGGGCGGGGGAGATGCAACACACATAACCTAAACATTTGTACCACCATAATACGGTAGTATTAGGAGGGGGGCCACTGGAAGGTGGTAAGGTCATGAGGGTGGAGCCTTCATAAGTGGAATTAGTGCTCTACCTCTCCCGTTATTTCTGCCATATGAGGGTGAGAAGCAGCAGTTTGCAAGCCAGGAAGAGGGCCCTCACCAGGAACTGAATCTGCCGGCACCTTGATCTAGGACTTCCCGTTTCCAGAATTGTGAGAAATAAATTTCTGTTGCTCATAAGCCACCCAGTGTATGGTGTTATGTTATCACAGCCCAAACCAACTACAACACCAAGTTCTCAGTGTGGGCAGATGGGAGAAAGACCCGCTTTGACCCTAGGACTACGTTGTGTTCTGTAGCACAGTTTACCACAGATTCTGTATTTCATCCTTAACTAGTCAGTGGTTCTTGTGGACAGTCTTCACTCAAAACTTTAAACATGAAGAGCAGTGGCAAAGTGAACACACACTCACCTGTAACACCCAGGTTAGATTTCATGTGGCTTCTCTGTACCTTTAAAAGTAGCCTCAAATCCTTTTTAAACATTGGCAAAGTGTAAACAAATCACAGTTACCAAGGCCCATGCGTAAATCAGTCCCTTTGTAACTGCAATACCTCAGGAAAAAGCGTAACTACACTGCATAATTTTGTTTTTCCTTGCTTGACGTACATACTCAGTACCCTGTCCACTCTCCTGGGTTAGTATGAGATCTAAGAGACTATGTATGTGAAACATTTTGTAAACTGTTGAATTTATAAAAGTATAAATGTTCAAATACCCAGAGAATATGAAAAGATTGAGGGATGATACTATTTGAAGGCAAAGTTTAATCCTTTGCCTTCAAAGATATCAGTAAAATAACTAAAATTCTAATTCAAGTATTAAATTCATGTTAACAACTAAGATTAGTATTAGACATTTTAATACGTGGCAATTCTGAAATTATATCTAATAAAGTCTTTTATTGAATTTAATCAGAAGTATACAGTTTGAGTTTTTTTTTCAATTATAAGATTAGTATAGAAACAAGTGAAAAGTTAATTCTGTGACATTATATCTGGACCAACTTTCTGAATTTACAAAATGAATAAATAATACAGTTCTCATTTTGTCAAGTGACTTTGGCCAACAAGTGAAAAATACATCATTCCTTCTGATCTCCTGTGGGATGCCTATAATGTATTTCAAGTAAAGAATAAGAAAGAAAATGAATGTATCAAACTACAGAAGAACAAAGATTTATAGCAGAAGCACTGATTAAAATGACGAATGTCCCAAACGGTGGAAGGAGCATTTTGCCAGAGGATGCAGAAGGATGAGATTTGGGACCTGGAACAGGAACTGGACCTGTTAATGAGAATACACAGTCACTGACACATGTCATTTTTGATGTCAAGTATCATCCACCTATAAAGTATATCCTGAATATGGAGACAATGACACTAAACTTGAGTTAAAAATTTAGCTGAAATGAAATATATCCAACCAGGAAAATTTCTCAAATGCAGTTCATTACAGATTTCAGGCTGTATTCCCATACAGTTGACCCTTGAACAATGAGCAACAATCCCCCGTGCAATTGAAAAGCCACATACAACTTTCAATTTCTGAAAACTTAACTACTTAGAGCCTACTGTTGACCAGAAGCCTTACTGATAACATAAATAGTTGATTAACACATATTTTATACATTATATGTATTATGTACTTATCATTCTTGAATAAGCTAGAGAAAATGTTAAGAAATCATAAGGAAGAAATGATACATTTACAGTTCTATGTTTCCATTGTTCAAGATGAACTGTCTGAAATGACGAGCAGCTGCAGCCCTCAAACTACAGTGCACAGCAACTGAGCAGTTCACCTTTTTCTTGTAATGTCATGACTTTTCTCTGCTTCTTGGGAGCACGGGTTCATAATACTTGATAATGAACAACTGTGTTACTGGTTTATGTATTTACTATACTATATTTTCTTCTTATGTTAGACTGTATTCCTTTTTAAAGTTACATGTAAAAAAAAAAGCCTGAGGCGGTTCCTTTCAGGAGGTATCCAGAGGAAGGCACTGTTATCCTGGGAGCCGGCAGCTCCATGCGTGTTACTGCTCTTGAAGCCCGTCCAGTGGGACTAGATCTGGAGGGGAAGACAGTGACACTGGTGACCCTGTGTAGGCCTAGACTAATGTGTATGTGTGTCTAAGTTTTTAAAAAAACAATTTAAAAAGTAAAAAAATAAAATAAGATTTTAAAATTAGAAAAAAGGTTATAGAATAAAGATATAAAGAAAAAATATTCTTGGACAGCCATTTAATGTGTTTGCATTTTAAACTAAGTGTTATTATAAAAAAGTAAACAATTTTACAAAAATTCAAAAGTTTATACAGTAAAAATGTTAAAGTTAGCTAAAGTTCATTTATTGAGGAAAAAACGTTTTAATTTAGGGCAGCCTCAGTGTGCAGTGTTTTTTTTTTTTTTTTTATTCTGGTGTGTTAGCTTGACGTGTGCAGTGTTTATGAAGTCTGCAATAGTGTCCATTCATGTGCCAGGCCCTCACTCGGCACCAACTCATCCAGAGCAACTGCCAGTCCTGCACGCTCCATTCATGGTAAGTGCCCTACGCACGTGTACCATTTTTTATCTTTTATATCATATTTTTACCATATTTTCTGTGTTTAGATATGTTTAGATACACAAATACTTACCATGGTGGCACAACTGCCTACCGAATTCAGAACAGTAGCACGCCACACAGGTTTAGAGCCTATGAGCAACAGGCTACCCCACACAGCCCAGGTGTGGGGCAGGCTGTACTAGGTAGGCGTGCGTAAGCGCGCTCCGTCATGTCTGCGCAACAGTGAAACTGCCCAGTGACTTATTTCTCAGAACCTATCCCTGTCGCGGAGCAACGTCTGAATGTATGTTACTACAGACCAGTGGTTCTCAAGGGGGCAGTATTGCTCCCTGAGAGGCAATTTGGACAACTGTCAGGGCATTTTTTTTGACTGTTCCAACAATGGGGTGGAGGTAGGGGGCTAGATATTAATATTTTGCAATGCTAAGGACAGTCTTGGACAATGAAATATATTGACCCACTTCCTGTACAACTTTCAAATGCACTGACATACATGTAAGTTAAAAACCTATTTAAAATGATCAAACCCAGAACCTAAAGCAATTTTACACATAAACAAAACATTTAGGGATACTTTAAATAAATTTTAAACATTAGTTTTTATCTAGTGTCTGTTGTATTTCTTTACTTTCATTTTCTTTCTTTCTTTCTTTTTTTGAGTCAGAGTCTTACTCTGTTGCCCAGGCTAGAGTGCCATGGCGTCAGCCTAGCTTACAGCAACCTCAAACTCCTGGGCTCAAGTGATCCTCCTGCCTCAGCCTCCTGAGTAGCTGGGAGTACAGACATGCGCCACTATGCCCGGTTAATTTTTTCTATATATTTTTAGTTGTCCAGTTAATTTCTTTCTATTTTTAGTAGAGACAGGATCTCGCTCTTGCTCAGGCTGGTTTCGAACTCCTGACCTTGAGCGATCCCCTCCCGCCTCTGCCTCCCAGAGTGCTAGGATTACAGGTGTGAGCCACCTCGCCCGGCCTACTTTCATTTTTATACTTACTGTATACAATAGTTTCCAATCTTCTCTTAAATCCAAATTTACTTGCATAAATAGATATAAGCATCCTGCTACTTCATTATCCTTTTGAGTATAATCTAAATCTAAGTATTTACATATTGAAATGTATATAATTTGTTATAAATCATAGTCAGGACATTACATTGATCCTTATGGGTACAGGTACAACTTATCTAAGATCTTCCTTCAGTGTAAGGACTTCATAAGCTATTTGTTATAAAAAGGGAGAACTGAGTTGCAAGAGTTGAGAACCACTGTTCTAAACAGCATAGTCTCCAGCCACAGTTAAAAATGACTATTTAAGAAACAAGATCAAGTTGCCCCCAACATACACACAGACACACACGCATTTGGATACGACATTCTACTTTGTTATTATGATGCCTTAAACTCTGGCAACTTTATTCCCTTCACTAAGGAAAAATAAATTCTCACATTTTCTGTATTACAAAAACAGACATTTATCAACTGAGGAAATGAAGTATTTCTTACTAGGATTGTTGATATTTTCTTGAGCTTTGTCTTCTAAAACATAAAGAGATTTTGAATTAATTGCATTGTATACCTACTTATCCACAAGAGAAAGATACAATTAAAGATTTAGCAAACTTGGTTATCTCTGGAATGGGTCTGAGGGGCAGGGTAATAATAGGGTTACAGCAATGTGTGGGGTTAGGGGAAAGGCTTAATTTGTACTCATCTGTGCTCTGAAATGTTTTAATTATGAATATGTGTTTCTATTTTTAAAAAAAGGTTAACATTTTGTTTACAAAAAAGTACTTTTTCCTACATATTGAACTCAGATTCCCAAGTACAGCAGTAGCACCCGCCACTGACTGTGTTCTCCGTGCCATGCTTTATGTGCCTTGTTGCCTTCACTTCTCACAGTCCTGTGAGGTAGGCACAGTTAGCTGTATTTCAGAGATGTTCCTGAAAACATCTATGAAATGTTTTGAGGAGTGACAGGCATTACCACAGAGGTAGCAGAATCTCATTTCAAAGCCTTTGCTTTTAATTACTGTGCTATACTATATAAAGGCTCCTCAACTTACAATGGGGTTATGTCCCAATAAACCTAAGTTGAAAATATTTTAAGTCAAAAATATGTTTAATACACCTAACCTACCAAACGTCATAGCTTAGCCTACCTAGCCTACCTTAAACATACTCACAGAACACTTACATTAGCCTACAGTTGGGCAAAATCATCTAACACAAAGCGTATTTTATAATAAAATGTTGGTATCTCACGTAAGTTATTGAATACCATACTGAAAGTGAAAACAGAATGGGTGTGTAAGTGTTTTCAGTACAGTTTCTACTGAATGTGTATCTCTTTCACACCACTGTCAGTTGAACCATCCTAAGTCAGAAACTATCTGTAAAGTATTATAATATTATCATTATTTTGACAGCTCTGAAGCCAAATGCCAATTCTAGGAGCCCAGGATAGAGGTGCATAACTAAATCTGGCTGGAACACAAGTGTTATATAGCACAAAATAAACAAAACTTGAAAAGTCTGACTGGGAGTGGTGGTTCACACCTATACTTCTAGCACTCTGGGAGGCCAAGGTGGAAGGATCATTTGAGCTCGGGAATTTGAAACCAGCCTGAGCAAGAGTGAGACCCCCGCCTCTACACAAAAAATGGAAAATTAGCCAGGCGTGGTTGCTGTTGTCCTAACTACTTGGGAGGCTGAGGCAGGAGGATCACCTGAGCCCAGGAGTTTGAGGTTGCAGTGAGCTACGATGACACCACTGCACTCTACCCAGAGTGACAGGGTCTGTCTCAAGAAAAAGAAAAAGTTTGAGTCCTGGTTGTCTCTTTCTAGCCTCTTACACGTTCCTTAACCTTCCTGCGTTTTATGTCCTTATCTCTGAAGTGGCAGTAGCAATATCTACCTTACTCTATTAAATGAGATCCTGGGTACTATTTTCACATCTCATTCATTCATTCACTTATTTGAGACATGATCTTGCCCTGTTGCCAGGCTAGAATGCAGTGGCATCATCATAGCTCACAGCAACCTCAAACTCCTGGGCTAAAGCAATCCTCCTGCCTCCGCCTCCTGAGTAGCTGAGACTAAAAGTGCATGCCACTATACCTGGCTAATTTTTCTATTTTTTTGTGGATGTGGGGGCTTTGCTCTTGCTCAGGCTGGTCTCAAACTCCTGGGCTCAAGGAATCCTCCTACCTGGGCCTTCCACAGTGCTAGGATTACAGGCGTGAACCACCGCGCCCTGCCTGTAGAAGGCAATGTTAAGCAAACTTGTGTGGATAGATATAATTTTGTGAATGCAAAAAATCTAATTTCTTTAACAGATGACCGTTCCCATAGTAACAAAACCTACAAAAAATTATTTTGAAAGCACTACATGAACTCAGGAGAAAAGATTTTACGCATTGGACAGTGGCTCTGAACCTTGACATTTTGTGGTTTTATAGTCCTTACAGACATTCCTGGTGGTAAATTTGACAAGTTGGCCACATTCGAGAGATGACAATTCTGAAGCACAGAGAAGTCCACAGCTCTCTGGTAAAATATTGTATCACATCCACTTTTTCTTACTTCTCCTTGTCTTAAAAAATAGATTTAGTCTGTGGGCCTTTTTATGTTTTTCCTCCCCTATAAGCATGAGTTTCTAGGTTGTTCCAAGGAAGCTGACTGGGGTCGCTGCTCAGTTTCTTTGGTTACAGAAGCCCGCTCTGGGAGGCAGGGCCAGTGCAGAAGGCTGGTGCAGAGGAGCAGGAGAGGCTGGGAGGAGAGAGCCAGGCCGTACGTGAGAAGGGGGAGGGGAGGGTGGCCAAAAAATAAAATAAAATGTTCATTTGTATTGTTGTATCTTAAAGGTAGGTGAAATCTACCGTGGCAGATACACTGGAAAAGCACTCAAAGAACCACCTATGTTGAGGAACAGGTACTTGGTTAAGAGACCTGGGTCCTTCACTCACTTTTGTAGGCTTGTGCTAGGTAATCACACTTTCCTGCATGTCTAATGGTGATCGTTATATCTATACCTCCCCCCCAAAACTGGCACTTCCCCTCTGGCACACCTAACATTGCTTACCAGGTAGTGGAAAAGGTTCTGGAACTTTCATTCCTAAATGAAAAAGAAGTTTTTAGTGACCTGCAATTTACTCCAATAAGTATAATTTTCAAACTCTTGTCTGGTAAGCTCGAGAGATACAAGTATCAAATGTCGCACCGCGCTGCAGTTTCTGGCTTTTTATTTAAAAGTTCTGGCTACATAAAACCTCCATCGTGCAAATCCGCTTGAAGTTTAGAGAAATCTTCTGCCACTGCACTTCACTGAGTGGGTGTCTATGCCAGGGGAGTACTGTGTTTAGTTACCTGGAGATCCCAGATGAAGAAATTTGAGCCCAAGCTAAGAGTCAGCTTGTGCGTGAAGCTGAGGTTTCTACCAAGTAACGTTAGCGGCAGAAGCTGGAAGGTGCTGGACAGAGGCATCCAGCCGGTCCGCAGCCTTGCCTCGGCCACAGTCCCAGCAGAGAGCCAGCTTTCCTGCCCACAGACGATGCTCCGGAAGCACATGGAGGCTAAGGAGGAAAGCAACTTTCTCTACTCTCTTCCACAGCTCAGTCTTTGTAAGGGAAATATTCAGGAATGATAGTCTCACTATTGATAATACTCTCTTTAATGCCTGGGGAATCTTCCTTACCTCAGGCTCAGGGAGCAAATAGAAAGGTGTCTTACCAGGTATTTGGGTGGGTTCAAAGATTTTCATACCTAAAAGCAGAAATGAGTATCAGTTAATCAGTTATCTTATATTGTTAATGCTCCCCTCGTCTATACTTCCCCCATCGCCAACTATCAAATAAAAGGGAAAACGAAAGAAAAGGAAAAAGAAAGAAAAGAAAAGAAAAAAGAAAATGGCAACTACAAAAATTCTTTTCAATGGCTCTTCACTCTCTCATGAGAAAAAGTCCAAACTCCTTAGCCTGGACTTTCAAGACCATCTGTGATCTAGCCCCTACCTCTCTAACCTTATTCTTCATAAGGCAGTCCTAGTACATTGGTTTTTAAATGAAACCTACCGGGTTTAAGTCTCTGGTTGGTTTAGCACTATTGTCATTATAGTTATTAGCTCTGTGACTTTGGACAGGCTACTTAATCTCTCTGACCTTCAAATGCTCACTCTGCAAAAGAAATGCTTACCTTGTAGGTTTGTAGTGAGTGAGTGAGGACTAAAGGAAATATTGCATAAAAGTGCTTGGTACACTGTATGGAACATAAAAAGCACTCAATAAACAAAGTGCCTGTGTTCTAGCTCAACTCATTCCCCACACTCTCCATGCTCAGGTAATGTTCTTAATCCTAGGAGTCCTCCTAACCTGTAGCTAGTCTCAGAGAGTAAGTAAAAGATGATTTACCGGGTAAGACAGTGAGCTCCTGGCTTTTTTCCCCTAAGGATGAGAATAAGAACAATTTAGTAAAAAGTGTCATCAGTTTGAACATTAACTTAAGGTTATACTTGGCTTTATTAGTAGAAAGCTCCGAATGCTTTGAGAAATGGCAGGGGACAGGGTAAAAAAAGAGGAGAGAAGATTTAACCCACTAGAGCCTAGCTTATGGTAGGAACTATGGCTAGTAACCCAGCATCTCTCCAGATTAAGCAAACAGCTCATTTTTTTTTTTTAGATTCAATACAAAGACTGTGACCCAAAGTTGTCATGACTGATCTATATATTTAAAAACAAATTTTTAAAAAAAGAGGTGGGGTCTTCACTCAGGCTGGAACACAGTGGTGTGATCATAGCTCACTGCAGCCTTGAACTTCTGGGCTCAAGTGATCCTCCTCCCTCAGCTTCCCGAAGAGCTAGGACTACAGGTGCATGCTGCCACCTTGGCTAACTTTTTATTTTCTGTAGAGACAGGGTCTCACTATGTTGCTCAGGTTGGTCTTGAACTTATGGCCTCAGGCGATCCTCCCACCTTGGCCTCCCAAAGTGCTAGGATTACAGGTGTGAGCCACCACGCCCTGCCTGCCTGCCTGCCTGCCTGCCTATCTATCTATCTATCTATCTAAATATATATATATAAATAATGTTTCCTAATTATATAATACATTAAAATTGTAGATAATTTCAAAAGATACAGGAAACTATTAAGAATTAAAAATCACTTAAAACTCAAATCTCTGATTAACATTTTTGGTGTATTTCCTTTCAATCTTTTTTTGCTATGCATTTATATGTGCATGTATATTTTAATATTGTATTCTATATGCTGTTTTATATCCTATTATTTACCACTGTATTATGAATACTTTCTTATATCTCTAAATGTTTTCAAAAACATTACAAAAATGAAATTTCTAAGTTGTTTAGTGCTTTATAATTTTATTTAATAATACCTAACTGTCAGACACTGAGGCTGTTTCTAAAGTTTTGCTACTGTCAAACAAAAATTATAGGAAGCCATGCTTTGGACTAAGTTTCTGTACTGGGTCCCAACAGACAAGACTAAATATCGAAATGGAGTCCCCATATTAAAGTGCCACACCACCCGAACTAAGCTGTCTGACCTTTGAAGAAATCAGCATAAAGAGATAACAGCCAATTTCCCAAACAGTCCAGTTTAAAATCTTCAGTCAGCTTGATACTGAAGTTCCCTCTGCTTTAATCCTTACACACACAGAAAGACAGCCTGATAGAACAGGACATTAACCCGCAGTTATTCTACTGTTCTAAAATTAACTAATACACTCTATTCTTTCCTTCTGCTTTCTTCAGCCCTTCCCTGTCTATAAAGCCAAAGTCTTGGTCAGCTCACTGGAACACTTACTCTGTTTGATGGAATGAAGTGTCGCCCAATTCCAGTATGGCAAATGAAATTTAAATTTGTTGTAATTTTGTCTTTTGACACTACCATGACACTGTGATAAACATTTTAAACTCAAATCTTTGTGTGTATCTCTAATTTTCTTTGGACAAATATCTAAAAGTGTTTTAACCTGGGTCAAAGGTATAAACATTTAAAAAGCTAGTACTGTCAAACTGCCCTCCATAAAAAATTGTTCCAATTTATAATCTCACCAGTAATTTATGAGAATGTTCCTATCCAGTACCCTTGAGGACATTTGAATAATATCATTAAAAAATATCACAAAAACAAACATTTGGGGATGAGTTATACTTTGGAATGTACTTAATAATCAAATGGTACAGCTGATAGCATCTGTTACTCAAATTGCTGGAAGTTGAAATAAATACACAGAATCATCATCTTTTTTTGTTTGTTTGAGATTAGGGTCTCTCACTCTGTTGCCCAGGTTAGAGGGCAGTAGTGTTGTCATAGCTCACTGCAGCCTCAAACTCCTGGGCTTGAGCAATCCTCCTGTCTCAGTGTCCCGAGTAGCTGGGACTACAGGCGGAGTACCACCACACCCAGATAATTTTTGCATTTTTTTGTAGAGATGCGGGGGTGGGGGTGGGGTGGGGGTGGGGGTGTGTCTTGCTAATTTTTGCTCAGGTGGGTCTCGAACTCCTGGCCTCAAGCAATTCTCCTGCCTCAGCCTCCCAAAGTGCTAGGCTTATAGGCATGAGCCACCTCACCTGGCCCAGAATCATCATTTTAATTTAGGAAAAAACGATGCTATCTGTTATGTCCTGCCCAACACCCAAGGTCACAGGAGTATGTGGAATAATGAGTCACATCTGTTTGCTGGGATGACCTTTAAAGATTGTTAGGAGAAACACACCTGCTGTGTCATTTCCATAACGAATTCTATCTGACACGCAGGTGGGTCCCTGATATGCCAAACTAGCAAGCTAAGGCGGGCCCTGCCTTCTTCCCATGTCCCCTTACCATGCCGTGCCTCCCTGCTCCTCCTGTGAAGGGAGGTACCCTGCAAAACGAAAGCCCCAGAGCGTATGAAAATGTCTTACCAGTGTCTTCAATCTTCTGGGTTTTCTCACCTAAGTTACAAAAAGAAATTTATCAGTTTTAACAATGGAACAAAAGAACCGGGAGTTACTATAGCTACAGCAAAACTATTTTCAGGTAGTATTGCCATCAAGAACCATTTTGTATATCCAGTAAACTACTGCTACTAAATTTAAATGTTAGCTAGAGTCTAAAAATATACCCTGGCTAATGGGCTAGAACTTTCCTCTGGCCCCTCTATTAAAAAACCATCACATAGGCCGGGTGCGGTGGCTCACGCCTGTAATCCTAGCACTCTGAGAGGCCGAGGCGGGCGGATTGCTCGAGGTCAGGAGTTCAAAATCAACCTGAGCAAGAGTGAGACCCCGTCTCTACTATAAATAGAAAGAAATTAATTGGCCAACTAATATATATACATAGAAAAAATTAGCCGGGCGTGGTGGCGCATGCCTGTAGTCCCAGCTACCTGGGAGGCTGAGGCAGGAGGATCACTTGAGCCCAGGAGTTTGAGGTTGCTGTGAGCTAGGCTGACACCACGGCACTCACTCTAGTCTGGGCAACAAAGCGAGACACTGTCTCAAAAAAAAAAAAAAAAAACATCACATACAGCTAGTCTCCTGGGGATCTTGAGGAACCCAAAAATGTCTATTTTGAAGAATGAGCTGAGGTCCCTGTGAAGTGATCAGTAGACTCGTGGCTGTAATAGGCCAATAGAGGATTGCTAAACAAGTGTTCAGGGGCATAAAATGTTTCACTTCTATCAGGACAGGAAGTACCTTCCCAAACATGAAGTAAATTGCATGTTTGAGGAAAGGCTGGATCCTTTTCTCTCTTCAACAAGAAAAACTTACTGTAGACATATGGACAAAACACATAATAATGAACTTACATGCAAATAAATGATTTGGGCCATATCTCGCTAAGTAGAAACGTTTTTTTTTAAAAAAGCATCTAATCACCCAAATGTTTTAGCTAAATGATACAAAACATTAAGCATCAGCAAATTTGAGAGATGCAAATGTGCTGAGAGTTTTCTATCTTTATCTTCTGAAAGAAACTTTCCCCAGAAAGTTTCCACATCATTCAGATCTCCATAGAGCCAACTCTCTCATTTGAAGCATGTAAATTTCTCCAGAATAGGTTTTCTCCCCCCCCAATATAGTCCAAGTCACTGCTTTGTATCTGCAAAGTACTCTTCTGTGAGCTAACAAATGCTATCTGCTAAACAAGAAAGAGCTATTCAACATCCATGTAAGAATCGCATTTAGAAAATAAAGCACACTCACCAGCATTGTAGACATAGATGGGCTGAAAATACTCTGAAATACAAACATGTTTTCATTGTGTGGTACTATGCTCAGATGTGAATATCGGGTTCAGGCTATTATTAAACACTTACTAATAATAAAGATTTGAGTTGGCTTACATTTAAGATACATAAAACTACAGTTGTAAGAAATATAAAATTTCAAATCAAAGGCAAATAGATATGAATTCATTTTAATTACATGAAAAAGAATCTATGGAAAAACTAGCCAGGAAGACAGCTAGAAACAGACCCCTATTTTCAAACTTTTTAATAAGAAAATCTTCAAAAGGATCCATCCAGAGCATGCATCAACCCAAAGGCACTTTCTGGCAACTTTGGTTCACATCTATTGGGCCTATTTGATAATGCTGCTCCTGAATAATTGTGGAATTTCCTGTCTACCTTCCCAAATCTTTCCCACAGTCCTCTAAGACAGATTATTTTCTGTTACATCCTATTTTTCCTTAAGGAAGCTGGAATAGACCACATTGCCATTCTGTCATACCATCCTCCGTCCTTGAGCCATATTCATGCCATTCCTTCATTAGTCGCCCAAATGTTATTTCCTAAGATATCAAAATATAGGAATAGGAACTAGCTTTTTGCATAAGAGCCATGTGGGAAATGGCTGAAGTTGTAAGGGCATTTGGAAGTCCTCAAACTTCTGTGAGGCCAGGCTGGGGTGAGAGTGGCACGTTCCTTGTACGTCCAGGGCAAGGCCGTGTTTGAGAGAAGAGCCACAGGCGAACCTGGGTTGGGAGCGGAGGGCGGGCAGCAGTGGCTGCCTGAGGTGGTGGTGGCAGAGCACAACACAGCCGCGAGAGATGGTGGCTGCCAGTGGCTGGTACACGGGTGGGGCAGCTCTGGCCCTTGCCTATGACAAACAACACTGACAGAATCCCCACTGCAGAAGTAGTACTGTAAAAGCGTATCTTACCTAGGTTCTCAACACAGTTTTCGGTTTTCAGCCCTGTAACAAACACAAAGGTAAAGCTTTATTAGTTAAACATGACCTACCTTGGTAAAGATTTCAATTGGTCTGTGGCTGTTGGTAATCTAATCCCTCAACTTCTAGTATCAGACCCATGACTTAGTGGGATGCAAAGTGCAGAACAATTATATTTTTGTATTTATAGCATAGCCACCAAACACCTGTATGACCTTTGACAAAACACCTAACTCTTCTGAAATTCAGTTTCCTCACCTGCATCTTTTACTAAGATATTGCTTCATATGACCCTCAAGGGCCCACTCAAGAGTAATGCTTTAACATTCTATTCTATGGTTAGTTTGCAAAAGTTAGGAGAAAACTTACCTGTCCGATTAATCCTCTCTTCAGATACTAAATGTCCTCAACAGCAAATCTATCCCTCCACTATGTCACCTCCTATTCTCTGGAGAAAAAGCATCTCAATAAGATCCTCAAGATCCTTTAATTTGTGAACAAAAATCCTTCGCACTCATACACAGAAACAGAGTTGGTATGCCTCAGAACATTCATTTATATGTGAGGAAATCCACAGCTTTTGGAGAACAGGAACATGGCACCTAACAGCACCTTTGTAAGGCCCTGGACCTTCTCCCTGATGATGTCCTAGAAAAAGCCATTGGTGCTGCAGTGACTCCCCTGAGAACTGACAGAAAGGAGAATCTGCTAGCCTGCCCAACAGCAGTTAGGCAGGAAAGTCAGTAAGAAAGCACATAGGTTTGGTGCCAGTATGAGCCATATGGAGGGCGTTCCAGAATGCACCATGAAGGTCTAGATGCTTTATTGTCCCTTCTCCACACCTAACACACTGATCTAATCTGGAAGTTGAGCTACCTGAGGGATGAGCCTCTCTACCTACGACTGGGGGAGTCCCTGAGAGGCCTGGCTCTAGTACGAGATATGTGCTCTCCTACAGTCTTGTTCTCAAGTCCTGCTCTATTTGTGGAATTTGAACCAAAAAATCTAGGTAACTTGGTCCAGATTCTACTGGTCCAGGGAATAACAAATCAGTTAGAATATGGATGGTGTCCTGAGGCTAAACTCAGGCATTTGGCCAGACTAAAACACTAAAAATCAGTTCTAGAGGCTATTATAAAACGTCTTGGCAGCAGAAACGTGGGTGTAAGCCTCACCCAGGGAGCATAGTGGAGGGTGAGGTGAAGGTGAAGAGAACTGCAGATGGGAAAGCTACAAACAATAAAAAGATGCAGCCTGGGGTCTAGCTGGGCACTAGAAGGATTTTAAGAGCCCTTGTCTTTTGTCTGTAGCACAAGTTAGACCATGTTTCTCAAAGTATAGTTTTCTAGCCACATACTTCAGAATCACCTGTGTGCTTATTAAAATTGAAAATTCCAGGACCCTAGCCAGGAGTATGATAGAGAATTTCTGGAGGGGATGCCTTGTAATCTGCATTTTAAACAAGCACTCCAAGTGATTTTCATGCAAAAATTTTTTGAGAGCCTCCTAAATAGTAGATGATGGGTATCTTTAGTGTTTAACCAGATCCATTTTGTTAGATTGCATTTCTTCTCCCTATTTGACTCTAGATTTTTTTAGTATTTTCCGTTAGTATTTTCATTTTCCATTAGTATTTTTATTAGTATTTTCAGCAGCAGGAAAATAATCAAACTATTTTGAGTTTCTAAAGTTGTATGGGATTAAAAATGGACACGAGATTGATCCAGAAATAAGAGAAGGCACAAATATATAATGAATGAAAAGGGGGACATAACAATGAGCAGATATAAAAAGATATAAGAATGCTATGACCAACTTTATGCCTATGAAAATTTGATATACAAAGATAAATGGACAAATTCCTTGAAAAAAATATAACTTAGCAAAAATAATTCAAGAATAAATAGAGAACTTGAATGGTATTTTAACCATTAAGTAGTTAAAATTTTTTCCACAAGGAAAATACCAAGATAATTTGGTTTTTGTAGAGAATACTAGAGAGAGGGGGAATGGCACAAAGAACTCCCAGGACCTGCAGAGGGTTCCCCTCAATGTTCAGCAAAGTACTGATCAGTTTTTGAGTGCGAGAAAACTACCCGAGGCCAGAGAGAGAAGCCCTACAGTCAAGAATAGTGCATACTTTCATTAGCCAGACTGGAAAACCTTATAACTCATAGGCATTGGGTAGAGTATTCAGAAAATTATAGCCTCAGGAGTGATAATTAGACATAGATTAAAGTAACTCTGGTTCTGCCTAAAATAACTGCAAAGCAAGCTCTAAAAGAATCAAACTTTTCAAGAAACTTAACTATGTACCTGAACAAAGCTCAAAAATATTTTTAGAAATACAAGACCATGCAAACTGTAACTTTGGGTCTGCACTTTAAGTCTAGCTCCTACAAGGAAAGTCTGCTTGGTCCCATGTTGATGCTGGCAAGGATGGGAGGAGCAGGAGCTCTCATTCCCTGCTGGCAGTAATGCAGGTGCAGAAGGGAGACAAGACGAGATCAATGTTCTTCTGTTACCTACCCAGGGACATCTACAGAACTGATTCTTCCTTTTTCTCTTCAAACACTCACCATCTTACATTGTGTAAAATGTAGATTTCCTGGGCCTCACAAGAATGCAACTATTTGCCTCGCCCCCCCCCCCTCCTTTTTTCCTGTACACTTTTCCTTAAATACTGAAGTCCCCAAATTCCCCTTTGGAAACACACTCACAGATATGTCAGTGGTTTGTGTTTTTCCTGGGCACATCCTCAAACTTTGGCTTGATAAATCTCCACTGACTGAGATCTTTGCCTCAGTCACTTATTTTTCCATTGTCACTCTCGAAGGTCCCACCTGCAAATATCCTAGTGGGGAATAGGGCTTCACCACATGAATTGTAGGGGCTACAACACTCAGTAGACTAAAAGTTAGTACTACAAACAGGTGTTAAGTAGAGACATGGAAGATACAAAAGAAATCTAACTGAACTTCTAGAGATAAAAATCCTAAAATGAACAATACATTAGATGTAATTGCTGACAAACTAGACACTGCAGGAAAAAGGTTAGTGAACTTGAAGACATTATAGTCTACAGAATAATACCCTCCTAAAGAGGACGCTCTATCCCAGGGGTCCTCAAACTGTGGCCCGCTGAAGACATTTATCCAGCCCACCGGGTGTTTTTGCTGCTGCTGCCTGTCCTGCTTAGCAGCTGACTTGTCCCAGGCCCACGGTGCACATGTGTGGAATGTGCACAGCACTCTCCAACAGCCCTCCAACGGTCTGAGGGACAGTGAACTGGCCCCCTGTTTAAAAAGTTTGAGGACCCCTGCCTATCCTAACCCTAGAACCTTACGTGAATATGCATGCGAATATGTTAAGTGGCAGGAGATAATTAAGGTTGCAGATGCAAATAATGTTGCTAATTAGCTGACCTTTGGGTGGGGCAAGTATCCTGGATTATCCAGGTGAGTTCAATCTAACAACATAAATCCTTTGAGGTAGAAGAGAGAACCAGAGAGATGCAATGTAAAGAGGACTTGACATTCCGTTTCTGGCTTTTTGTTTTAGAGATGGGGTCTTGCTATGTTACCCAGACTGGCATGGAACTCCTGAATCAAGTGATCTTCCTGTCTCAGGCTCCCAAGTAGTTAGGATAACAAGTGCACTACACTACTGTGCCTGGCCCCAGTGAATTTTTTTTTTTTTTGAGACAGGGTCTTGCTCTGTCACCTGGGATAGAGCACAGTGGCATCATCATAGCTCACTGCAATCTCAAATTCCTGGGCTCAAGATCCTCTTGCTTCAGACTCACGAGTGGCTGGCACCATCACACCCAGCTGATTTTTCTTTTTGTAGAGGCAGAGCCTCACTATGTTGCCCAGGCTGGTCTCAAACTCCTGGCTTCAAATGATCCTCCCACCCCAGCCTCCCAAAGTGCTAGGATTATGGGTGTGAGCCACTGCACTTGGCCAATGGAATAATTCTTAACAATAAGGAATGGAACTTGACATTCTGCCTTTTTCACATTTTCTAGAAAAATAGTATGAAAGACAGTTAACCTGTGGTATTTTATCTTGGAAATCATAGGCAAGTCCACAACAGTAACACAGGATTGTGTTTAGCACACTTAATATAGTAACATCTTTTTAGCCCTTTTAGAAATATTGTCTTTCTTTCGTTTAGAGGCACAGTTATACCCAGTCACAATGGAGCAAGATTCTGATTACATCCTCCTGGCTGGAGCTTCTAAAACACCTGGTCACAAGGTTTCAAAGGCGCGTCTCCAAAGACCCCGTCAGTTTCGACCTGCGCTCCCACGGCCGACCTCTGGGTGGCAGCAGAGGGCCGCGGCGCGGCGGGTCGGACACGACAGCTGCGCACCCCGCGCCCTTCCCGCTTCCTCGCGTGGGCCCACGACGCCCTGACCGCTGGGGACCAGATCGGTGGCGCCCTCTCTTTGGCGCGCTCACAACCCCACTCGCAAGCGTGGAGGGCGAGGGCTCCGCCGCCCTCCTCCGCCCCCCCACACACACCCAGCGCTGCGCACGGCCAGGGCCTCCCTGCCTGCGTGGCTGGCCTGCACGGGTGCACCGGGAGCAGTGTCGTTTCTGCCGGCCCGGCTGCAAGTGGGGTTTGCCCGGGAGACGCTGTGCAGTGTCTCCTGAACGCCGATGATCTAGTCACCAAAGAAAGCGCCGTCGTCAGAGGATGGTAAAGTCTAACAGGCTCGGGGGCCGACGGGGGGACTCTGGCTTGCAGTGTTTGCTGATTTCCGTGGTGTGACTCCAAACCACAGCCAATGTCAAGCTAGTGCGATGTAGCAGGAACTGGGAAGAAGACACGCATGCCTCCCAACCAATTCCTGACAGCTTGTGTAAACTGACGACAGCTGGCTTGGTTTTTGGTTATTTAAGTAAAATCCCTAACATAATACAAATTTGTTAATTTAGTCCTCATGTAATACATTAGATCTCTAAACTTGTTCCTCCTACATACCTGCTATTTTGTATCCTTTGACCTACATCTCCCCATTTCCTCCCACTCACGGTAACCACTCTTTCATTCTTGATCTCTGTGTCTTTTTTTATATAATACATATAAATGAGATCATGCAATATTTTCTGTCTGGTTTATTTCACTTAGCATAATGTCCTCCAGATCCATCATGTGAAAAATGGCAGGATCTCTTTTTGTAAGGCTGAGTAATATTCCATTGTGTCTGTGTGTGCACATGTGTAACATACATGGCACACACACATACACCTTTTCTTTATCCATTCGTCCACTGATGGACATTGAGGTTGTTTCCATATCTTGACTATTGTGAACAATACTGCAGTGAACATGGAAGTGCAGGTATCTTTCTGAGGTGATGATTTCATCTTTTTTGGGTATACACTCAGAATACAGCTTGCTGGATCGCATAGTAGTCTATTTTTAATTTCTTTAGGAGCCTCCATACTGTTTTCCACGATGGCTGCACCAACCCACATTCCCACTAACAGTGTTCTAGAGTTCCCTTTACTCCACACTCTAGCCAACATTTGTTATCTCCTATCTGTTTTTTTCTTGTCTTTTGGATAAGCACTTTTTCTCTCAACACAAATTTACTCCAACCTTCACCTGCCTCCTTGACACAGGACTAGGGTGAGGCAGATGAGGTTCCCAGAATGCAAAATGTAAGGAGGCGGTCACGCTCAGGATCATGCAAGTGCAGGTGGCACAAGCGTGCAGCCCTAAGAGTGACAACTTCCTTACACTTTGTACCCTAGGCACCTCAGTACCTGCCATCCAGTCATAACCATATCAGCCCCTCATCCAGCTATTAATGTCTCAGCAGCACTACCCTACCCCAGCTTTTTAATCTCATAGTATGTTGGCCACATTGAGTCAAGGTCTAAAAGTCGATCCCATTTCTGGGGCCTACTGCAGTATTCACTCTGCTTGACTCAGCAGCATTGGTTTTTGGTTCAGCTAGACAATTACACTCACAGGACCCCAAACCAGTTTACTTTGTTTTGCAGAAGAACATAAGACAGGGAACACAGCATACTGTTTAGCAACAGGGCAGCATCAGATACATCCCTTCAATGCAAGTCCTCATGGCAGTCCAGGGCTATTCTATATCCCCCCAGAGGACAGCTTAGATACAAGGAAACAAGATTACACAGGAAGGTGCAAGAGCCTCCCTAGCCCAGTAGCTTCACGCCACATAAAAAAACAATGACTCTTGAACTTATGTAGGATTGGCACAAGAGTCTTGCTTTCCTTCCAGGACTTAACAAGGAGAACAACTGGTATGTCACACCACATTCAAGACAGCCCAAAGCTATGGCCTCCCCGCAAGTATTTATAGTTCATTCACAATCCTCCCAGCTCAGATGCCCTTTACCAATCAAGGGTTATGTTTACCATAGGCAGTGTTGCATGGCCACACAGCTGTCATTTCACCTTTAGGAGACTGCAGAGAAACAGTGCTAGAAGAAAATCAACAGGAGGCCATTTTCATAGAAGAAAAGAGAAAGAGTTTTTATTAACCCTTTACTCACATACACCAAAGCACAACACCATAAAATTTCATAATGTTGGGGATAAAGAAAATACTCTAAAATCTTCCAGATAAAAAAACAAGTCTCAAAGTCAGTAATTAGAACAGCTTCACACCTTTCAACAACAGCTCCAGAAACGAAGTCATTGGAAGAACATCTTCAAAATTCCAAGGAAAAATAATTTCAAAAACACAAATTCAAATCCACATAAACTATTATTCTAGCATAAAGCGGGATTTTCAGACATGCAAAGTATTAGAAAATTTGCCTTAATGTACCATTTCTCAGAAAACTTCTGTAGTACCCCACCCCTACCATACCGAACAAAGAGTAATCCAAGAAAGAGTTGCAAGTACAAGAAATAGGAGATCTTTCACAGGGAAGAAACCAAGTCTCAGAATGGTCATGAAGAGAGATTCCAAGACATTGAGCACACCTAAAGAGAGTATCACAGGAGCAGGATAATGGGGAAATTCAGGGAAGTATGTCCAGAAAAAGAAAAAAAGAGAGAAATGAGAGAGTATCTAATACATCTGGATGTATTAAGAGGAAATTTATATTTCTTTCAAAGGATTTGGAGGTGAATTACTGATGGGACATAAAAAACTAAGGAAACAAACAAATAATATGATAACCCTGGGGTAAAAGAGGTGCCTAAGCACAGAAAAACAACTCCCTGACTCAGCTAGGATCTATCTTTTCTACACTGAGAGAATGGGGAGGGGGAAATGGACATATGTTGGGAAGGAGAGGGGCAGTTATCAGATACTCTGGGTTACTGCCCTAACAGCCGTCTCTAACTCCCTCCTCCCTTGTCTCCGTACACTGTACTTCCCTTGGCTAGAAAGGCTCATTACCCCCTTCCCAAGCTTGTAGCTATGGGTTACCAAGAAACTGTTCTAGTTAATCATCTGCAATCAGAAGTTTAAGAGTTTCTAGAAAAGCTTTCACTTTCCCCAAACAATAAATGCTGGCATGGATGTGGAGAGTTAGAAACACTCTTACATTGCTGGTGGGACTGCAAATTAGTTCAACCTCTGTGGAAAGCAATATGGATCTTTAAATACCTTAAAGCGATTCAAGCAGATCTACCATTTGATCCAGCAATCCCATTACTGGGCATCTACCCAAAAGAACAAAAGATGCTTTATAAAAAAGACACCTGCACTTGAATGTTTATAGCAGCACAATTCACAATTGCAAAGATGGGGAAACAAATCAAGTGCCCATCAATACAGGAGTGGATTAATAAAATGTGGTATATGTATATACCATGGAGTACTATTCAGCTATATGAAACAATGGTGATCTAGCAACTCTTATATTTTCCTGGATAAAGCTGGAACCCATTCTACTAAGTGAAGTATCCTAAGAATGGAAAAATAAGCACCACATGTACTCACCATCAAATTGGTTTCACTGATCAACACCTGAGTAGACATATAGGAATAACATTTATTGGATGTCGGGTAGGTGGGAGGCGGGAAGAGGGGATGGGTATATACATATACAATGAGTGTGATGTGCACCATCTGGGGGATGGACATGCTTGAAGCTCTGACTTGAGGGGGTAGGGGAGACAAGGACAGTATACGTAACCTTAACATCTGTGCCCCAATAATATGCTGAAATAAAAAAAGAAATGTAGGTTTGGCTGTCATTCCCTTTCTTTTTGTCTTAGACATGGATTGATGCCTAGAGCTACAACAATCACACTGCACACAAGAATCACAAAAACCATGCATGTTAAGGATGTTGGAACATAAAGAACCTGAGTGACTTATGATGTACATGAGCCACTGGCACCAATTCGGGACAGCCTCCCTCTAGACTTATTCAATGAAATCTACCAGTCAGGTTTTCTGTTACTTTATAGCTGAAAGCAATAAAGAATTTTTAACTAACACATGGTGTATGTGGGCTAAAGACTCATTCTCTATAGTGGGAAGTCAATAGATAATGTCTAAAAGTTTTAAAATCAAAAAATAACATGTTGAATGAAGCATGTTATTTACTTAGAAACATGACAGTAAGTACCTGAAGACAGCTAAAAGAATTCAAATAGATGTCACTGAGGAGTGGGCACTGGGGACATGTGGGGCAGGAGACTGCTACTTTTCATTATAAGCCTACAGCAAGGCCTCTCAACATCAACACTAGTGACATCTTGGGCCAGATGATCCTTTGTTGTGAGGGGCTGCCCTGTGCACTGTTTAGCAGTGTCCCTGGCCTCTGCTCACTAGATGCTAGTAGAACACCCCTCCTCCCCAGTTACGACAACCAAAAACATTTGCCACCATTGCCAAATAACTCTACAGGGCAAAACTGCCTCTGATTGAGAACCACTGCCTCATGGTACTATTTTATCTTTTTTATTGTTAATAATATTGTAAATGTATTATTTTGATAAAATTAAATTATGGATAAAGAAACAGACCGTATGGAAAGAGCTAGACTGGAAACTGCCAATTGTCATTTCTCCCTTCAAATACTTCTCTCCTCAACTGACCTCTCCCTGGGCCTAAGAATCCTACTCCTGCCTCCTAGACGAGCAGAGCCAGAACAGAGGTACTTACCACCCAGAAATGCACACTGGTAATGGCTGCAGGTCTTGTTTATGCTTCGAAGGATAAGGTTATTGCCAGCCCCTTCCCGTGACACTTGAAAAACCTCACTCAGAGGTATTAAAGTAATTCTTTCACTTTCTTCATCAAAAAATTTTTCAACGGCAACTCCAAAGCACGTATAGATAGATAACACAACGAGCTGATCATTAGTAGCTTGAGGTTTGGCTGAATATGCCAAGGCGAAATGGCCAAACCTGGCCTGGTTTAGCCCTCCAAAGGTAAATGAGGTGTTCTGGCTTGTTCTGTACACCACATTTTTATAACTGTCATCACAAGGTCTTCTCAGAAACTGCAGGGCTCTTGTTAGGTAAAAATGAAAAGCTTTGAACTGGAAGCCATAGATATAATCTTTTCGAGACCGGCCAGCCATCTTCACAGCTTCATTGAACTGACGGTAGAAGGGAGTTTGCTCCTGGGCTTCAGAAATATATGCCTTCAGGGCGATCCCATGGTTATCCTTAAAATTCATAGGGAGAACAAGCTGTGTCTTTCGGGCTTCCCATTTGGCTTTTGCATTTTCCCACACAGTGTTTAAGAGTTGGTGGCTCACTTTTTCCTCCTTGAGCAGTTGAGGGACATGTTTGATTTCCATCCTGTCAGTACATTTCAGGTACTCATCATCAAATGCATTGTCTGCCATGTCTAACACTTCAGCCTTCACCTTCAAAGGAAAACGAAATGAATATTCTTGCAATAAGATATTTAGTGAATATCACTTTCTCTCACATTACTACCCCCACTCTCTCATTCCCTGCCAAGAATCTCTCCTTACTTATTTGGATATGTTTTTTATGTAGGAAGTATATTCCATCGCTATTGGTAACTGTTCTCTCTGTGACATTTATTTCTATGAAAGAGTAATGTCAGTGGGTGAGAGGCATGGGCAGGACCTGTAACTCAAACATCTGAACAGCATGGTACAGAGGAGAGAAGTGTGCAGTTAAAGAACAGGGTGGCAATCCTGGCTCTGAACAATATTCTTACCTAGATTTTCTCAAACCTTCAGAACTGTTGGGAATTTGAAGTATCGTGTTTGTAAAGCACTGCATATGATAGATAATACGTGATGACAAATATTATCCCCTTTCCTTTGGGGATGCCCCCCCCTTCTCCAGGTGGCTTGGCCAGAACTGATTTTGCACCCTCAGCCAAAAGCATAAGCAAGTGATCCAGAACACTCCTTGAGGGGAAAAAGATATTTCTTCCTGTAAAACCATAAGCTCTAAGGATAATACTGACTTGGGGCTTCCAACAAGTTATCCTTTTAGTCCCAAGGAGAATCCTGTCTGAAAATAAATCAACAAAGAGAGGCTTGCAGAGCTAAGAGGCAGAGAGAGATGAACCCCTAAAGACATACTTGAGGGTGAGTCTAGCTGTACCTAGAGACTGTGTTTTACTCCAGTCATAAGAATCACTAAATGCCCTAACTGCTTGAGCTAGTTTGAATTGTGTTTCTGTCACATACAACTGAAAAGGCCAAATGCATCTCTAAATGACACACACCCCACACCATAAGCATCAGGGCGGTATAATGTAATTAACACTAATTTGAAGCCAGACAGATCTGAGTTCAAATGCCATTTCTGTTACAAACTAGGTATGAGTTACCTGACATTTCTGAGCTTCAATCTTTTCATTTAAAAATAAGAATAACAGAAATACTATCTTAAGTGCAGGACTGTAGTGAGGCTTAAATTACATAATGAATATATGCAAAGCCCTTCCACCTCCATGCCTGGCACACCGTGGTTATATTTTTATTATTTCATGATAGGAACGTATGTATTATATTGTAAGTTCTTCAAGGGCAGAATATTTATTTTTGAATCCCATTATATTTATCTTTGAATTCTATCATATTTATCTCTGAATCCCAAGCACCTAGTACAGAACCTAGCAAAATATTCAAGTGCACTAAATAAGACCCTATACTCTGGCTTATGGATCAAATAATTGGATGAGCAAAATATACCCGGTAATACCATTTATGGGTTTCTGTAGATAAAAGAATAGTGCCTCTTTTTCCACCATTCTATACTTGCATGGTGCATGGCTGCACCAGTCTGCCTAGGACCTCGGCTAGAGACTTTACAGACACATCTAGCCAGGAGCTATTAAAATTACAGTTTTAAAGTGTGTGTGTGCACACATGCACATGATGAGAGAGAGAGAGAGAGAGAGAGAGAGAGAGAGAGAGAGACAGACAGACAGACAGACAGACAGACAGACTAACTTAAAAAAAGCAAAACAAAACCTGAGAGACAAGCTTAAAAAAGCAAAACAAAACTTGGTCACATGTCCATCCTACTCTAGTTACATCTTCTTTCCACTATCTCTCTTCTGCCCCTCACAACCAAACTTTTTTTTCCCCCCTTGAACTTCTGGGCTCAAGTAACCCTCCTGGCCTCAGCCTCCTGAGTCGCTGGGATTACAGGTGTGAGCCTGACACAACCAACTTCTTGAAGATGTCTATCCTTGCCATCTCCACTTCATTTCCCACTTATATCTCAACCCTCAACCATTCTGATTCCTACCCCCATTCCTCCATCCAAACAGCTCTCACTAAAGGGACATTTGTTCTTAGACTCCACTGCAGACCCACCATATTCTAGCCAGCCACTAAATGTTGGAGTTTCTCAAGACTACTTATTTTCTAACTCTCAATTGTATCCCTAGGTAATTATATACATGCTCACAGTTTCGATTATCATCTACATACCTCTGACCTGTCCTGCAAGTGCCAGGCCTATATCAAATGCCTACTTAACACCTCCACTTGAATGCTTAAGGACCCTTCAAACGGTAACCTAAGACCAAACTTATAATCTTACTTCAACTGCAAACACCTGGTCCTTATTTAAGATCATCTGTTCATTTGTGAGGTTTTCCTATTTCTCTCCTCCTCATTCACTCTGGGTGACCATTTCACCATTAAGGCCTCACAAACATCTCCAGAGTTCTTTCCATATGCCAGGCACTAAGTGCTGGATATACATTACCTCGTTTAATCCTCAGGGCAACCTTGTGAGGTGGGTACAATTATCAGTCCCCCTTTTTAAATAGGAGGAAACTAAGATATAGATTGAGGCTTATACAGAATTGGGATTTGAAACCAGGCAGTCTGGCTCCAGAGTCTTGTCCTCTTAATCAAAATCTTCTGTTGCCTCTAAAGAATGAGAATATTTCCAATGATGAAGACCACCGACATTTATATAGCACCTTTTTTTTTTTAAAAAAAAAGGTATAATTTTGTCTTCATAACCACCCTCATAAAAGGCTGGCAGTTATTAACATCATTTTATAGATGAGAGAACTGTGCCAGCATCAGAAACTGTCTTGATACCAACCACAGAGTCTTCTGCCAGGGAAGTCACTGAAACCGCTGTTAACTCCTGGGTTTGTAGGTCAGTTTCTTATTATGGGAATTTGAGCTTTAAGAGATCAAATCACTGCTGTCTCATGGCCAAGAAAGGCACTTTCTTTTGCAGCACAGAATGTACCAGGGTGCAGCTTGGGCACCAATGCCCGATTTATCTTCAAAACTTCAATACAGTGTAAGACACCAAATCCTGAAATCACATCCCACATTCCTCACATCACATCAGAGTTGATCTAATATGTTCCTGTCTTTTCCCTATGCCTCTAATCAGTCTCCAAACGTCTAATTTTAGACATCAAGCCTTTCTGGCCAGACACCACAGCTGATTGTGTGTTCCGGACACTGCGTGCCTTGAGTGGTGAAAAAGCTCTTAAATGCCACCACCACTCAGGGACAACGGAACGAATACTAAGAAATAGGTACAAAAGGCTTGGTGAACAAGCTGATTACATTTTCTTCCTCTGATCTATCCACTGAAACAAAAGCTCATTTCATGAAATTCAATTACCAAAAATGTATTACAGAAACATGGAAATGACCTAAAGTTCAGGAGAGAAATTGGTTAAACAAATAATGGAACATTCATAGGACAAATACATTAAAATTATTTTGCAAAAGAATATTGAATATGCAAATCAAAACCAAATGAGATACCACTTAACACCCACTAGGATGGCTATAAGGATAAAAACAAAATCAAAAACAAAAAGTAGGCCGGGCATGGTGGCTCACGCCTGTAATCCTAGCTCTCTGGGAGGCCGAGGCAGGCGGATTGCTCAAGGTCAGGAGTTCAAAACCAGCCTGAGCAAGAGCGAGACCCCGTCTCTACTATAAATAGAAAGAAATTAATTGGCCAACTGATATGTATATAAAAAATTAGCCGGGCATGGTGGTGCATGCCTGTAGTCCCAGCTACTCGGGAGGCTGAGGCAGGAGGATCGCTCGAGCCCAGGAGTTTGAGGTTGCTGTGAGCTAGGCTGACGCCACGGTACTCACTCTAGCCTGGACAACAAAGCGAGACTCTGTCTCAAAAAAAAAAAAAAAAAAAAATAAGGAGTAAAACAAGGACCCAGAGAAATTAGAACCCTAACACATGGATGGTGGGATTGTGATACTGTGTAGCCAGACTGGGAGAGTTTGGCAGTTCCAGAAAAAAGCTAAACAAAGTTACCATATGACCCAACAATTCTACTTCTAGTTATACACTCAAGAGAACTGAAACATATGTTCACAACCAGTAATTCTATTATCATGTGTCATAAACTGTTGCTCCCTCAATTCTTTTTCACATATATATGTACTTCTGCATATAAAAGTAAACTTCACTCTGTAATACCAAATAACCAAAGAGTGCTTGCATTACCACCGTATATGTCAATAAAGATTATGTGATTACAAAATTTTTTAAAAAGAAAAAAAAACCCCTATGTTCACAGAAAAACTTGTATGTCAATGTTCAAAGCAGCACTATCCATAATAGCCATAAAGGGGGAACAGACCAAGTGCTCACCACCTGATGAATGGATAGGCAAAATGTGGCATAGCCATATAATGGGATATTACCTGAATATAAAAAAGCATAAAGAAATAATACATGCTACAACATGGATGAGGTTTTGAAAACAGTATGCTAAGTAAAAAACACCAATCACAATAGGCCACATACTGTATGATTCCATTCAGGTGAAATGTTCAGAATAGGCAAATGCATAGAAACAGGAAATCGATTAGTGGGTGCCAAGGAATGGGGGAAGAAGCAGAATGGGGCTGACTGCTAATAGGTAGAGGGTTTCTTTTGGGGTGATGGAAATATTCTTCAATTAGAAACTGGTGATGTTGCACAACATAATATACTAACACTTACTGAAGTGTATACTTTAAAATGGCAGATTTTTATGGTATGGGACTTATGTCTCATTTTAAAAACTGCATTACAGGCAACAGAATATACAATGATTCTAGATAAAGGATGGTTTAGAATATCAAACTCAAAAATGTGTAACATTTTAAAAATTTGAGGTATTTTAGGCAATTTAAGGTATGCTAGTTTTGAGCCCTGGGCCTTGTGAAATAGATGTAATTCACATGTCTCTTCACCTTGGGAGTCACACGAACTATTTTTCAAACTGCATATAACTCACACAGAGAAAACAAAAAATAAGAAAATTTTCATTAAACTAGAAAGGATCATTTTGTTTTCAAAGTTTTTATTCTATTTTCATACTAAAACACCATGGCCCCAAGGAAAAAAATGTTCTTTTCTAGCATGGCAGTCAATGTGTTTCAGAAGGCGTTTAAAATCAGTACACACACACACTCACCCAGTGCTGATGCGATAGCTAACAATGTGGAGGTGGGGCAGGAGGGATCAAGGGAAATACCTGTCTCATATCTTAAATAAAAATATGTTACAGAATGCTTGAAGATTCAACTACAAATAAAATTATGAAAGTTCAAAAAAATCATAAAAGTTCTATCAGAAAAAAATTCTGAACGTGATTAAAATTGTCATTAAATAATTTAATAAAAACCATGTAACCAAACAATGCAGCATTATATTATTGGGAAAAAAAGATATTTTCAGAAAATGTAATGACATGGATCAACATGTAGCATAGTATTAACTTAAAAAGCAAGATAAAAAATTACTATGTAGTGTGAACCCATGTTTATAAATTAAATACAGTATGCAGAAAAAAGCCAAGAAGGCTGTATATACCCACAGGTAAAACTCTGTCCCTCTTAAGGAGGGATTATGGATGATTTTTACTTTAATCTGTTTGCTTACTTTTAATTTTTTCAACTTTCCACAGTTAACAAGTATCACACATCTATAAAATGAAAAACAAAAGCTGCCTGTAGTAACATTTACCTATTCTACGCACTCTCGTTTCCATCATCAACCCACACAGATGCCTGAGCCAATGTTATCAAGAGTTTCCATTCTAACGTCCACACGCTTCCCATGCCGAAGGTTACCTGGAAGATGTCCATTAGAATCATGGCTGCCAGCAGCATGGTGACCATTTCAAAATGTCCTGTCTTCATTTCTCTTTTCTAAATTAAGATGAAAAAATTCCAATTAATAGGCTTAAAAGAGAAGTTTAGGGGAGTAGAACAGGATGACACTATATATATTTTCATTCTGGATGAGAATGATATCATGGTGGTCAGGAGGTGATTATCAATAAAGTTGTAATGGCTGCAGGAGGCATCAGGTTTTATCTAGTGGTCTAACATCCTTACCCTTCAGAAGAGGAAACTAAAACTCATAGAACTTAAGTGATTTGCTGAATATTCAATCTGTCCATTTCCATACTCTTCCAGATATGTCGTCCTTCCTACCATAGTCACTGGTAGGCATATTTTCTTTCTATCTCTAAATCTCCCCTCACTATGCACAGGAAACAATCAAACTAAAAAACAGCAGTTTTAATTTGGTCCCCTAGCTTCCAGTTTCTAAGAAGTCTCTGGAAATATCTCCATCCGTATCATCTATTCTCCTATCCTCTCTGCAAACTAAGTCATGACCATTTAGGCAGGATGGAAGAAATAGTAAGGCTAAAGCCAAAGAGGTGGCCTCCTTCCCCCAAGTATTCACAATCAAGAGAAGCCTAGGAGCAGAACAAGTGTCTGAGTGGGAATGAGGATACAAAGAACTAGGCAGGCAGCAATACTAATAAGATTATACAACTCTACTGACCAAATGCCCATATTCTTCCCAGTATTTATGATACTAAAAGGGATAAACAGGAGGGTAAGAGGCCCTCAATGACTGAAGCTGTCCCAGAGCCATTAACTAATTCAATTAAAGGCTACACCAGCCCAGCCTACAGTTCCTTCCACCTGCCTCCAACAAAACTGACATTACTGGAACTGAAATGAAACTTCCGTTTTATCCTAACAATCACCATATTCTGAATTTTGAAAATGGGAATGAACAGTAGAGAAAGGGAAACAGTCTTCCCTTTTATAGATCATTTTGGCCCTAGTTTCTCATCTTTCTTCAGAAACACTTAACTAGAGATACTAAACAGTAGCACCAAATTGCTGCTGTGTTAAACTTCCCCTTGAAAAACAGATTTGGAATATAACACTGGACAGATATCTGTCACATGGCAGCATGTGCCACGCAAGCTCTGGATTAGGATTTTCCTGAAAATTCTTCACTTCTGTAGTCTAAGTGTAAATAAGTCAAAATGTTTACCTGGCTTTTGTGCCTTTGGAGGAAGTGTCAATGAAGCTAGACCTCAAACTGACTCCCACTCTCAGTTGGGGTGCGTGTGTCTTCAGACGAGATCGGGCGCGTTCAGGGTGGTGTGGCCCTGCGTGTGTCTTCAGGATGGGACGTTGTTGACAGTGAGAGCTGACAAGGGAATGCTTTGCTTTTTATAAACACCCCAGCAGCAGCTTGGCAGTGGCACATTACCCCACTTGTGTTCTGCTATTTATATCTGGCCCCCACACTATGCCTTGGAATCACTGCTGTTAACACTTGAAATCTCTAAGAGGCTTGTGAAGCCACAGCAGCTCCCTTCAGTCCCACCAGCATGTTCGGTTCTCAGTCTATGGTTCTGGGCTTCTCTCAGAAAGAAACCACTTCCCACTCCTGACCCAGCGACACTGAGATGTCAGAATTAAAGCATGGTGATTCACATAACGAAGGGGAACTGCTTTGTTAATCACTTGCCATGGTGACACCTATCACCATTCACTCAACCAGCTGACTGTATTTTGGGTACTGTTTAGGTGCCAGAAGACACAAACAAGTAAAAGGAAGTAGTGAAAAGCATTGATGATCTAATAAAAGAATGAATATGCATACTTAACCAGAATACAACATGTTAAGAATCCTAAGTGTAAAAAAAAAAAAAGAATCCTAAGTATAGACCGAGTCCAGTGAAAACACTAAGAAGAAAAGGGACTTCATTAACGCCTACAACTACAGCTCTCATTTGCGTAAGGTACACATGGTAAATACACTGACTGAAGTGCTGAAGAACACTTAGGGTTCACTGACTATGGATTTTAAAATCCCACAAAATGCCCTAGGAAATTCATGCATATATACATCAAAATGCATTAACAGAAAATTGACAGTAGCATAATTCATAATAGCCCCAAACTGGAAACCATCCAAATGCCCATCAAAGTAGAATGGATAAATCATGGTATACTTATACAATGGAATTTAACATAGCATTGAAAATGAACAAACTCCAACCATAAGTAATACAATACAGATAAATCACACAGAATTTTGAGCAAAAAAGATACAAACATGTATATACATACCCATATGATTTAATTTATACGCAGTACAAAATCAGGCAAAACACATTTATGGCATTAGAAGTCACAATAGTGGTCACCCGGGGTGGTAGGTGACTAGTAACTAGAATGGGCACAAGAATAGTATCGGGAAGCTTGTTAGGTTGTTTTTTATTGTATGTGCCAATTATACTGATGTAGTCAGTTTGTGAAAATTCAACAAGCTCTATACATATGTGTATTTTCCTGTACACATACACATATTACTTCAATGAAACATTTCAAATTATCATGAAATACACCCATATTTACAAAATTCAGCTCTACTCTTCAGACATTCTAAAATTTCCAACCCCCTCCCACACCATTGGCTAAGCAATCTAAGATTAAATACACAAAGTAGACTCTCAGAAATATCACTTTAAAAAAATCAGATAGAAAGGAAAAAGAGGGTTTCTGTATGTCCTTAGGACTAAGACTCACACTGACCTGCTTTTATGTCCTGGACATGCAGGCCTACAGGGAATGAGGTAGTGAGCTTCTCCTGTCTTGGGGCCCCACAGACCTACCAGGTTTATCTATATATCATGCAAAAGACCGAGTTCGCCAAAAAGAACAAACACTGGATGAAGTCCAAGGTAAGTCTGGCCTTGTCCATCCCTAATATGGTTTTGCTCCATTCCTGTTTTGTTCTAGTTTTTAACTCTTAATTTCTTTCATTCATCCATTCAACAGATATTTGAGTCCTTACAATGTGCAAGGAACTGTTTTAGATACTGGGGGTACATCACTAAACAAAACAGATAAACATCGTGCCCTTGTAAAGTTTATGTTCTCATGGGAGGAAGCAGTCAAATAACTAAAATAAATATGTTATAATGTAGTAAGTGCTATGTTTTGGGGTTATTTTGTTTTGTTTTGCTTTTAGTAGCACAAAGGATATTAGGAGTGCATGGAGTGTTTGCAACTTGAACTGGATGGGTGGACTCCCTGAAAAGGCGATATATGAGCAATGAGGAGACCTGAAGGAAACGAAGGAAGCTCAGCCAGGAGGACTGTGGGGGTCAAGCAGAAGGAACAGCGAGTGCTGGAGCCATAGGAGAGAGAATGCCTGTTGTGTCTGAGGAACAGCAAGCAGGCCATTATGGCTGGAATAGAAGAGTAGTAGGGACAGAAAGAATAGTAGATAAGGTCAGAGAGGTAAGGGGGCTGGTGAGAAAATAACTAAAAGTCTTTGTAGGCCATTGTAAGAACATTGGCTTTCATTCTAAGAGAAACAGAGCGAATCACAAGTGTCAACTAAAGAATGATGATGTTAGTAAATTTGGAAAGGAGAACTTTATTTCTAATAAAGGGTGCTGAGCCTGCAGGCTGGCCATTCTGACAGGCTGGGAAGTGTAGCCTCAGGCCAGAAGTGAGAAAAACGATGAAGGGAACAGGAATTTATGCTAAGCCACTGAGCTTCTAGCTGCTTCATGGGTCCCCTGTTCAGAAAATGGCATTAGCATGATCGAGAGTGGAGTTTTCGGCCCTCTGACAGCAAAAGGCGAGGCAGAGGACAAGGCGGGCCTCTGTGCACAGCCTCCGTAGCCTGGCCAGAACCACTCCGTGGTCCCTGGGCTCTTATCACGAAGGAATGCTGGTCAGTTGTGTTGAAACCACAAAAGGGAGGAGCAGCATTAGGTGGCTGGTTGAAATCAGTGGTAGAACAAGTCTTCCCAGAGGGCTGGTTTCTGTCTAGCACTGAGGGAAGAAAATCTAATGGTGGTTAGTGAGGGAGGAGATATCACAAGGCATGTCTGACTACCTATCCTGTCATGGCCAGGAACTCAGTTTTAAGATTTCTTTGGGGCTCCCCTGGCCTGTCAGTCAGTCAGGTGGGGGACTCAGAATTTTCTTTTTATATTTTATAAGGTTCTGAGCAGAGGTATGACATGATCTGACTTATTTTTTAAGAGCATTACCCTGGCTTGTCATGGTGAGAATGGTCTGTATGGTGAAAGTAGGAAGACCAATTTGTAGGTTATGACAATAATGCAAAGATTATAGTGGCTTGAACCAGGACGGCCGCAGTAAAGGCAGTGAGGCATGGATGTGCATGCGTGTGCTGTTGCCACCGCGGTGGTGAGAAGTAGATATCTCAGTGTGTTTTGGTTGTTGCTTTGTTGTTTGCTTGGTTGTTAGAAATAGACCATTTTATATGAGCTTGTTAAAAATCCCACTTTTGAAGATTAAACACAGTATTTCCTATATAAGGAAAAGTAATTGTGAGTTCTAAAAACTATTATATTTTCAGAATGTAATAACTCACAAAAAGTAAATGGGAATTATCTATAGAGATCAATTTATTATATAATTAAAATGTTTGGCTTTAAATTCAGGATGTATTTTGAAGGTTGAGGCGACAGAATGCACTGACAGACTGAATGTGTGCTACAAGAGAAAGAGGAGTAAAGGACAGTTCCAAGATTTTTAGCTTAAATAACTGGAAGGATGGAGTTATCAGTGACTGAAATAAGGAAGACTGTGTGTGGAACAAGTACCCTGGAAGTCAAGTGAAAATATTTTCAGGAGGAAGGAAAGACCAAATGTATCAAATGCTTCTGACAGGTCAAGATGAGGACCGAGAACCGATCACTGGGTTAGCCACGTGGAGAACACTGACGGCCCTGACAACGGCAAGTCTTATGGGGCCGTGGGATGCACGCCTGGGAGAATGGAAAGAGACAGTCAATATCCTCAACCCTTTCAAGGAGTTTTTCTACAAAGGATAAAAGGGTATGAAGCAGTGGCTTGGTGATGGGGTTGTGGAAAAGACAAAGAGAAGGATCTAAGAGAAGGTTTTTCTAAAAAACAGAAAACAGCAGCATGTTTGGTTATGTTTCCAATGCAGAGGGGAAAAAACTGATGACACAGGAGAAGAGAGAGGACAATGACTGGACAAATGTCCCTGAGTAGGCAAAGGGGGATGAGACACAGCACACAAGTAGATGAGGTGGCCTTAGGTAAGTGTAGGAACAGTTCATCTGACATGAGCAGAAGGAAAGGCATTGTATATTGGCAGACGCTGGAAAGTAGTGGTTGTGATGGCGAGAATTATTTTCTAATTGCTTCAGTTCTCTCAAAAAAGTAGAGACAAAAGATAAAGGATGAAATAGTAAAAGTTTGAAGAGATTAGAGAAAGGATGAAACTATAAAATTTGAAGAGACTAGAGAAAGAATGAAATATTCATCTAGAAAAGCAGAGGAGTGAATGCAGTAGGACTGCTGGGCTATATTAAGGTCATGTGAATTTAACATGAAACCACTCAAGATGGTTGTTTTTCTCTCCAGCTGCACTGAGTTCCATGAGTAGACACAGAATAAGTAAAATTGGACTGAACCAACTGGTAGCTTTTTGAAGCAAGGAAAGGATTTTTTTTTCATTTTGATACGTTGCATTTTATTACTTTTTAAAATTATACAAAGAACACAAGTGCATGAGTTAAAAAACACAATGGAAATGTATGATGTTAAAAAAGAAATACAAAATGAATCTGAGACACAAAACAAAAAATTCCATTCTGTGAATCGAAATAAAAAGGTATTGCGCTTACTAAAAAAGCGTTATTTCAATATATTAAGAAGTCTTTTGATTAGGAATACAGCACAAGACTTTCTTCACTTATTCATTAACACATCAGTCTCACAAATAGAAGAGAGATCATTATGTTATCTTACCAGCCGCAGGCAGGTGAGTAAATGTGTATGGATATGGTACAATGTCTGTGAGGTATTACAATAAATAAATTCTTTATTATTCAATAAGTTAGCAGTGGATGTCACTGTCTCAACTTTCAATAGAGAGACCCGAGAGCCAGTCTTTTCTTCCTCAGATGACTTTCTGTGAGAGTCTTTCACATTTAACTAAAGTAGTACTCAGAGTTCTAAAAGTGGCTTTTCACTGTCTTTTCTTCAGCTTCTTCAGATCCTGCTTCAGATTCAGGAGGGGAATAAAACTGACCATCAGAAAGACCACCGGGTAAAAGTGCCGCACTCTCTGAAACATCCTGAACTATCAGGAGTCTGTTTTCTTCTGCTTCTTGAGGTAACACT